CGGATCATTAACATACAGTTGGTCTCTGGCAGCCCTGGCTACCGCAAGCTTTCCACCAAACGGCGCCATTTCCATCAATTCGACCTCCTCCATTGACTGATAGACCTTGTACATTCGAAAACTGAATCCACATCTCCTTGTTTGTCCATGCACCAATGTTATTCGGTGCAACAATACTCCCTTGTATCTGTAAAACGTACAGAGTTTATAAACAATAGTAATAGCAATATAGGCATCAATTATTATTTTAGTTTTTTAAGTTAATGTGAATTATCGACATTTGTTTACCTGGAAATTGACTTTACTAGCCCTGCAAGGCCCTTCAAACGCCACAGCATTTAACAAGAATCTTTTGCCCTGTGGTACCACCAGGGTAAGGGTGCCTTGAGTTGGTGATGCACACATAGCTCCCCATGCCTTGAGGAAGGCCTTTGAGTTTGAAAAAATTAAACCAAGACACAGTTAAATAGGCAACTTGCTACAAGAAATAAACAATATAATAAAAATTATATATATATTACACATACTTTTGTATCATCTACTAGGCCATTCCCAACAGCACCATAATCTACCACATTGAAAGTATTTGTTTTTGCTTCCCATGCTTCCAGGAAGGCCTGCTTTCAGTTGCACAATCAAGAACAAAATTCATTAGAAAATAGAAAATTTAATGGGAGAAGAGAGGGAGAGAGAGAGAGAGAGAGAGAATGAAGAACTATGTACTTGTGGATCATATTCTTCAGTTTGGGCATTCGCACGATTGAATGAATCTCTTGTTGTTGCACCAGTCTCCCATCCTTTTGGGAAGGCTTCCTTTTAGTTGCAAAATTAATACAAAACAGAAAATTAAAAAGAAACGCAAATTAGATCAATGGGGAAAAAAAAAAGCAAAACAAAAATAATAAATAAATAAAAGAGGATGAAGAAATAGTGTAAATATACTTTAGAAAAACCCTCATCATCAGTTTGGGTGTTGTGATGAACAGCACCATAATCAAACAAATCGAAATCATCTGGCACGACTATTCTAGCACTACATGAATGATTAGGTGAAGCAATTAGCCAAATAATTAGGACCAAAGCGGTGGAGGTAAGCGGGACCTTCATTTCTAATGGGTTTAGGATTTAGGGTTTAGATCGAGAGACAAAAAAGGCAAGGCTTTGGAGCTCTAGAAATAACTCAGATCACAGTGAAATGTTGGTGGGAGGAGAGCTATATATATAATGTGTATAGTGCATGCATGCATGTGATAAAAACAAGGTAAAGTAGAAAGAAAGAAAAAATATCAATCAATCAATCAATCAATTGGGAATTCAAATTATTTCCTCTCTTTTTTGTTCTTCTTTCTTTCTTTTGTCAACCTTAACCGAAATACTTCTTCTGATTAAACAAAATTTCCATGTTGAAGGTAGAATCGCATCTCTACTTTTATTACATAATAATTTATAAAAGGTGAAACTAGATGAGCTCCAAATATTATGGCAATGATTTATTTTTAATCAATTGCATCTATATTCACTTAGGAAACTGATTTTCGAATCATTAGAGGATTGGTCAATGACTTTACTTGCTCCTTACCATTATTGGTGACATGCGATTTAAATATAATAATAAAAAGGTGGAAATGCTAGTGGGGTGGTATTGTATTCCAAATGCAATGATACCATAAAGGAATTATGCACATTAAGTCTCAAATTGAACCAAGCTAATTTGTATATGTGATTGTTTGACATTTACTATATAACAGGGGTCATTAAGAGCAGGTTGCACCTAAAGTAGATTAAGGTAGACTTTGAAAGAAATGTGACAAACTATGAATAAGGTTGCTCAGTTGTTCACCTGATCAATTCCTGATAAGGGGAACTGGCAACAAGTACAATTTCCGGAACTCACAAACATTCGTCTTCTCTTCTTTAATTTCCAATATTTTGAGCAGTTAAGTATAGCAAGAATTCTATAGTAACGGTCTTATATATGGTGCTTAGGTGCAACCCTATCTCTTAACTGTTAGATCAAATTGGTTAGCCGTTGGATCAAATTAGTTAGCTTGATCCAACGGTTAAGACATATGATCTCACCTAAGGGCCATATATAAGGCACTCACTATAGAATGACTCCCAAGTAGGATGACCTATGTTGGCATACGTATATTCCTTCGGCCTCAAACGTAGGCCGTAAGATTTGCGCAGCCAACACATGTTACCTATAAGTTAGAAACATAAATTAGAAGACTACCTATAAGTTAGAAACATAAATTGGAGGACTACCTATAAGTCGGATACAAAAATAGACAAATACAATTGTATGTTACCTATAAAAAATAAAAATAAAAGTACATAAAATACTATTACACATTGTCAAAAATATGAAAAACATATATATATATATATATATAATATACCTATGCAATAGTCAATAGGACAATATACCAACAACATATAATAATATATCTACAAGAGTATATAATAATAATATATCTACATTATTATTGTAGATCTCGTAATTGTTGTCTTATAAATTATTTTTTACATAATTTATACTTCAACCGTATAATAGGAACAACTAGATAATTTAATAATAATAATAACAATAATAGATCTACATCATATAATAATAAAAAAAGGAATGTAATCCTATTTGGTAGAAAAGTTAAAGGACTTATATCAACGACAACAAATGCAATGATATGTTCTCAATTTTGGACTTATTCCAAATTTTCTAATTAAAGTATTAATGTAATACTGATTGTTTGTTCCGCCAACATTGAATCCTTCGTTATACACTTCCATAAACAAATAACATTATCAAATCCCAAGTCATGTTGAATGGCTCCAAGCCTTGATGTCCCTGAGCAATACTGATACTTGTGGAGGTTTCTTCCCAACATATCTGTGCTTTGCTATAGGGAATTTTTTTGTTTTTCTTTTTTCAGTAAAATATGCAAAATCATTAGTCTACTTAGGTGAAATTTCAATTAGATCCATTATCCTATTGTTTCCTTTTGAGGGAGGAATCAATTTCATTATATTTTTGGGTTAAATTTATCTTTGCAGATTGTAGAATGACCAAGATATGAAACAAAAAAGGTTAACAAATTTGAACTAATCATTATGTACAAGAGCCTCATGTGTAAGCTATTGATTTTCGTGCAAGCTAGATTGAATAACTATTTATTTTCATTACAATAGATTGTGTACAACGTTCATATCTTATTTGAGCTCTTTAGCTACAGTGGAGTGTGTAGATTAAAATAAAGCTTCACCGACTCCCTATTTAGTTTGTACCAACATTGAGAATTGTTAGATTTTGAGTTTGACTCTTCCTCAAAATACTCAGGTTGACGGGTAGAATCCAACCATCAAAAGCCAAGGAAAACAATGGGCAAGCCCTAGTGGGAACAAATTCAAGTGAAACGGACTAGTCACGCATGTTTAAATTTGAGATGACATCAAAAGGCCAACAACTTCATAAACACATCCTAAGAACAAAAGAGAGCAATCAACCAAGACAAGGCTTAGGAGGACAACATTGATGTATGAAAATGATAAAACAACTAGCAAGAATGTGCCAAAACAAATGCATCTCAAACCCCCAAAATTTAACGACTTATATAGCACAACATACTCGTAAGGATTTCAAGAATTATGTTAAGCTAAATCATTAAATGTGGGAACACAACTTATCAAGATGACGGGTCATAGACCAAAGTGGCATCATCCAAACACGATCATACATAAACACAATAGTATTCAAACAAGAGTGTAAATGAGATAGGGAGAAGACAAGTGAGCCTTTGTGCTTTGTATCATAACCGATGGTCTTGGTTCTTAGAGAGTGAAAATTAATTTCACCAAAAGGCACGAGATCCCTATTAAGCATGTACAACATGATTTGACGGCCAAAGACATAGCTAATAAATAAGAGAGTGGTGAATGCTCAAGTAAAAACCCTGGAAAGTAAAAAGTTGTGTTCGAGTCTTAAGCCACAAAAAAAAATAAGAACCATTCAATTCAGATGACTAGTCTAGATGACTAGTCAGGCAAAGCAACCATGCCCATCAAAGACTACCCTATGGAAAACAATTGGTTTTTTCTAAACAAATGAAATACTGGCAAACAAAACATGTTACCAAATGACTAGCTTTGTCTATCCAAACACTTCAGCATATTAAACATTTCAATGACTAGCTTTGTCCTTATAAATTAATGTACACTCGAAACCATTATTCTTAAAAAACACAGTAGAAGCCAAAATGTCAAGAAAGGGAACGTCATGTTTGCAAGTCTCCTAATAAACTAGCAGGAATAAAAAAGGAGAAGAAGAAGCGATGTGCGCTCTCCATGCGACAAAGCAGCATTCGCACATGGAGCAAGCAACAAACTCTCACCAGGCCTCGTGTATTTTATTCATGACACGCGCATGCAATCTGCATTTGCAAAGCATTATATTTATTAATCTGCTTAATTATTTTTGCTCACTCTCTCTTCTTAATTTTGAAAAAGTCCAGAAACTGCAACTTGAAAATTATGTCAATTTTTTTTTGTTTATAAGAAAAACGCGATAGATTTCATTCTTAATTTCAATCTAAAATACGGAGGAGTCCGCCAACAACAGAAAGCGCACAAAATGTAGAATTAAAATCTTTGTTTACTTTGGAAGCAAAATTTCGAAACAAAAAAAATCAAATAGAAGCCAAAAGTATAGGAACCTAATTTAATTATTTATTATTATTTTAAAGGTTAATCCACCTGGATCTCTTTCCCAACAGAAAGGCACATGCCCACACACGCTGTGGAAGTTGAGAAGTCATTTTCTCAACCATTTTATTATAATCCAGTATTTTATTTAGTTAAGTGCACTAATCTTCTAGATTTTAATTTACAAATGCTGAGATGAATCATGAAAACGACGGCTAGTTATAACTTGTATATATAACTGACATGGTCACCTCACTTTCTAAGCAAATTAGACCAAAACCAGCCCCAAACTGATCATCATCATGCTAGCTTTATCTCCTCCTTTGTTTTCAACCGTTGGATGGCCTTCAGAGGATCCCATAGGTTATGACCAGAAGTACTTCTACAGAGACAGTTCCAATGATCAAACTGCAGAGTCGTTCCTTCGTATCCTTCCATCTCAGCTGCCACAATTTGAGCTCGATCTTTCCACAACTATCAGCGGGGACAATTCCAGCGGTTCCACAGTGGCTAAGAAGCTTAATCATAACGCTAGTGAGCGTGATCGTCGCAAGAAGATTAATAGCTTGTATTCCTCAATGCGTTCACTGCTTCCTGCAGATCAAGCGGTATGTATACAATGATTTCATTCGTTAATATCGAACTGCGTTAGTTTGGTAATTTATCATCGGAAATTTTGCATGTTAAATGTCGTCAGACTATGAATTTGGACTATACATTCAAACAAAAATTCACCTTATGTACATATCTACAGTCCGAATTAACAGTCTGACACAAGTGAAGAAATTTCCCAGTTGTTATTAGTAGATTTCAATACTAAAGACAAGAAAGTACAGAATACTACTGCTACATACTCACATTTTTGAAAATTCCATGTGATTGTTACAGAAAAAATTAAGCATTCCGAATACAATTTCGCGAGTGCTGAAATACATACCGGAGCTCCAAAAGCAAGTGGAGGGACTAATTCGAAAGAGGGAGGAGCTTTTATCAAGAGCTTCTAAGCAAGAAGATGTAATGCATGAGGAGAAGGACATAAAAAACACAGCTCCAAGCTCATCATTATCTGCTGTTTCAACCTATCGGCTTAGTGATAGAGAAGTAGCAATTCAAATATCTACCTTGAAGACTCACAACAATCTATTATCTGAGATATTGCTAAATTTGGAGGAGGAGGGGCTTCAAGTACTAAATGCTTCTTTCTTGGAGTCATCTGGAGAGAGGGTCTTCTATAATTTACATCTTCAGGTATGTTAATTTTGTACAACATATTTAGCTTTGTTCCATATAAATAATTTTTTTACAACGACGAATATCCCTACTTATATATCTTTTCTTCATATTATATACAGGTGGAAAGAAGTTACAGATTAGAATGTGAGAATTTAACCGAGAAGCTCATGTCCTTCTATGCCTGAGAAAAGGCAGGAGTTATTCCCATAGGAATGTTTGGTTCTGATGTGCAGTGTGTAGCAGGTACTTACGGAGAAGATTAGTCTCAACCATGGGAGTATGAACGAAACAAGAGTAAATTTTAGACAATTCCATGTAAATACTAGTTGAAAATTGGAAGCCATGATCAGAAGGCATGGCAACAAAACTACAAAAAAAGTAGTCATTTGCGACCAATTTTTTTCCTAGGGACTCCAAATATCCTCGGAACAAACACTATTTCTGACAACAAAGTACCATCTGTTGGAAATACCGAGTATTCACTATTTCCAACACCCAAATTGCCCTCAGAAAAGAGTTCTTTTGCCGTTGGAAATAACTGATTTTTGGCGGCAAAAATTGACAATCTGTCCTCACATCAACAACTGACAACACAATAGAGGGGGAAGTTATTAAGTCCATAAAAACCCTCGACTCAAACGTGCTTCGACTTTGGGATTGAAACCTTCAAAAATCTATTGGACTTTTCGCCACATGTGATAAAACCATGACGAGGAAGGATTACCTAAAAAACATATCTTTATAGCCCTTCCAACTTTCTTAATTAAAACGGATCTCCATCTTATTGAGCAAAACCCATAATCTCTTTCCCCAAAGCGTTTGTGTTTTGAGCGAGGAAGCACTTTAATATGAACTTCTTGACCAAATCTTCCCAAGTAGTGATAGATCGGCAGTGAGAGAATTGAGGAAGGGAAAAGTCAGAGTCTAACTTGCTCCTAATCCCATCGGAATGGAAAGTAACACACATATGTTGAGGAATTCTTTCAAGTAGTTAAATCTAATAATGATTGACCCAAAAAATAATTTGTTATCCCTTTTTACTGTCATAATTAAATTAACTTTAAATTAGACAAAGAATTTCTATCATTTTTACTATAAGAGTGATTAATCATGACTCATGATGATTACCTGTAATCACAATACCGCCCTTATTATGGAGTCCCGCTCTTGAAAAATCAAGCAGCAGTGTGATTGTTGATTTTTTGAGGGCTCCACTCTTGTTTTGATTCCTATAATTAGGGGTGGACATTAATTCGGCCGGCTGACTAAACTGGCCCAAGCAAACCATCATAGTTGGTTTGGCTTGATTTTGACCTAAAGAGAATTCAAACGGTTTAAAAAGCAAACTGGACTATGATGGTTTGATTTGGTTTTGAGTTTTGACAAACGGACCTAAACTAAATCCGACAATCTACCTCTTTATTTATATTTATTTTATTTTATATTACATGTATAGTCCTTTCTTTTGATAATAATTATATAAGGATGTTGAATGTAGGTTTGATGAAACTTAAGTTATTGATATTTGAATTTTAATTATATTACTGTGTTAAATTTTAGGATGGTTTGATATGCTAGAAATGAGAAAAAAATAATAATAATAATTGTGCTTACAAACTTAAAATAAAAAAGAATTGGGCTTAGGCTCAAATTGAACCAAAACATCTTAAATTGGGCTGGTTTGGTTTCCATCCTTACTTTTTCAATATCGAATTGAACTAAACTGTTTTATTTTAATTGGTTTGGTCACGAATTTTGAGGTGAAACCGATTCGATCCAGACCATGCCTACCCCTGGCCCTCTATTGAGGGATCCCTCAAATAATTTTATTTAAGAGACACCCTTTAGGGTACCCTACGATTTTTTTTTTAACTATTCAAACCATCTATTTTTAGGTCTTCATTTACATATCATCTTTGCAAAAAATTAGACAAATCGGAAACCGTTTAGACATCTAATTGTGTTAAACAAAACCAACGAACACAGTGCTTAAAGAAAGTACTAAAATTTCAATAATTTAATTGGGTGCTCAAGTGATATCAGATTCAAGTGATTTTTTGTAGAGAGATGATCTTTGAATGAATATCTACAAAATAGACAGTGTGGATTAGTGAAATACAATCCGAAGTGGGCCTTACAAGGGTGTCACTCAATGGAAGATCTCTGTATGTATATATACGTAACAAGATATATAATTGATACACCTATGCTAATACCTAACTTAATCGGGTTGCTAAATCTTAACACAAATTCTCTACACAACGAAAAACCCTAAGAATTCATATAAAACTAACTATGCAAATATTTACAAAAACCCCTTGAGTGTATCACTGAAATTGTGTTATATAAAAATTATATTTTATCCATAAAAATGCAAATGAGACAGAACATTGTTTTAAAATCTATCTATGGATTGAAGTCAAAATAATCTAGTTACAACCATACGTAACATTTTTGTTTTAGGAAAACATAAAGTAATAACTTACGAAAAACTACATTTTTTAGTTCAGTTAAATAACATTGACATTCTAAAATAATAAATATTATTAACGAAAACGTTTAAATCCCTAATTCTGAAACAAGTTTTTATTCATCAATTTAATGGTTTCCTAAAAAAATATTGCATTTAATTAACTCCTTCAATATCTACGATTGAATAAAAATAGGTTATTATGATTTCGAATAAGCCGCTATGGTGAAATCGATAGACACACTGCTCTTAGGAAGCAATGCTAGAGCATCTCGGTTCGAGTCCAAGTGGCGGCATGGCATCTTCTAAAAGAATAAGTCCTATATTGAATTTAATATTCCCAATTTCAATTTCTATAATTGCGGGAACCCATTTTAATAATTTTTATGATATTTTCAACTTTAAAGCATATATTAACTCATATATTCTTTTCTATCATTTCAATATAATTACAATTCATTTGATAACGTTATTAGTCGATGAAATCATAGGATTATATAATTCGTCATAAAAGAATATGATAGTTAATATATATATATATATATATATATGAGCTTAGCTAACGTGGAAAGATAATCAATGAGCTTATTGAAATTAATTAATGCACACTTGAAAACCATCTGCACAGGAAAAACACAGTGCAAGGGAAAATGTCAACAAAGCAAACGTCATTTGTTGCTTGTGTGAAATATATAGACATACAAATGTTTTTTTTTTGGTCTGGACATACAAATGTTTGTTTCTGCATATAAGGAGGATGTGCGTGCGGTCTCCATGGGACACAGCAGCTTATACACGTGGAATAAGTAGCAAACTCCGTCGTGGCCTCGTGTATGATAATGCTTGACACGCGCTGTCTGCACTTCCAACTATTTGTGAATCTTGTAAGAAATCTCACCAACTATTTTCCTTTGCAGTTTTGACCTCAGCCAAACCCGAGACAATTTTTTGTTTTTTTTGTTTTTGTTTTATACAGACAAGATTTTATTTTAATTTAATCTAAACTACGAATAAGAGGATTTGAACTTGGATATAAAGTGAAGAGCATATTTACTGTAACTAACTTGAGTAAGCTCATGTCTACAAGAGCGAGACCATTTTTTTTCTCCTGGAAAAGAACCCACTGAGCATTTAATTGCCCTTTGTATTTCCAACTGCCCAAAGAGGAGCTTGCAGGAGCATGAAATGCATTTGAAAAAACAAAACTCTCATCTTTTATATCAACATTTCTCAACTCCAAGTATTCGAAAACAAAGTTGGGAATTTTAACAATATATAACATGTTTATACTACCCAACTCTAGAGACCTCAAAGATAAAACGACACTAGATCATATTATGTTGCAATTGATGTGCTCTTAATACATGAATTATAGAGTAAATTATTAATTTAAAAAACTATCACACTATAATGAACGAATTAATGTGGCAAAAAAGTACAATCCCTCTAGTGTTACTCAAAGAACAAAACTGCAATATCATGACTTATTTGGGTCTCTATCTCTATGTTTTCCAATTGGATTTTAAGCTGTTTTACTCGAACTCAAACTATAACGTTAATTGAACTTAACTCCCATAACTAAAAAATCAGCCAAATTACCATCTGAACTCATTTAAACATCCAATTTTGCCCTTATTATCAAAATTTTCGAATTTCATCCATTTTTTCATCTGAAAAATCAGGTGTCCGGTGTCCTTCACTTGAGTTTATTATTATTATTACTATTGAAGACTGAACTCTAAACCTTAATACTAATAATACATAAGGTTAAGCCACGTAGAACGCTCCCCCAACAAAGGGCACATGCCCTCACGCAGTGGAAGTGGACAAGTCATTTTCACAACCATCTTATTGTAAAGCATATTTTCATTTTTTAAAGAAAAAAAACCAATATTTTAATTAACAAATGCTGAGATGAATCATGAAAACGACGGTTGTTTGTATATATAGATGACATGATCATCTCACTTTCTAAGAAAATTTGGCCAAAACGCAGCCCCAAATTAACTGATCATCACATCATGCTAGCGTTATCTCCTCCTTTGTTTTCAACCACAGCATGGCCTTCAGAGGATCTCTTGAGTCATGACCAGAACTACTTCTACAGAGACAGTTCTATTGATCGAAGTGCAGAATCCTTCCTTCCATCTCATCAGCCACAAGTTGACCTCGATCGTTCCACTACTATCAGCGGCTACTCCAGCGTTTCCACAATGGCAAAGAAGCTTAACCATAATGCTAGCGAGCGTGAACGTCGCAAGAAGATGAACAGCTTGTATTCCTCACTGCGTTCACTGCTACCTGCCGATCAAGGGGTACGTGCAAAATGACGATTTTATTCATTAACATCAAACTTCATCAGTTTCCTCATTTCTCTTGTCAGATATTTTGCATATAATATATAGGCAGACTAGGAATTTGGACTGTAGATTCAATCAAAAACGCACCTTATCTACATGTACAGCCCGAATTAACAGTCTGACAACGTATGTAACCATATGACATAAGGAAAACTTTGGGAGTATTAGTAACTTTCAATTTTAAACACAAGAAAGTATTAAACACTACGTACTCACAGTTGTGAAAATTCCATGTGATTGTTACAGAAAAAGTTAAGCATTCCAAATACAATTTCGCACGTGCTGAAATACATACCAGAGCTTCAAAAGCAAGTGGAGGGATTAATTCAAAACAGGGAGGAGCTCTTATCAAGAGCTTCTAAGCAAGAAGCTGTAATGCATGAGGAGAAGCAAATAAAAAGCACAGCTCGGAGCTCATTATCTGCCGTTTCAACCTATCGGCTTAGTGATAGAGCAGTAGCAATTCAAATATCTACCTTGAAGACCCACAACAATCTATTATCTGAGATATTGCTAATTTTGGAGGAGGAGGGGCTTCAAGTTCTAAATGCTTCTTCCTTCCAGTCATCTGGAGGGAGGGTCTTCTATAATATACATCTTGAGGTATGTTAATTTTGTACAACATATATTTAGCTTGCTTCGATCTAACTAATATGTTCACAAAGTGCCACAACTAACCAATATCTTATATATTATATACAGGTGGAAAGAGCTGACAGATTAGAATGCGAGAATTTAAGCGAGAAGCTCATGTCCTTCTATGCGTGAGAAAAGGCAAGAGAGTTATTTCCATAGGAATTTTGCATGTAAAGTACTGGTTGAAAGTACCCAACCTTCATTGGTGAACAGGGCAAAAATGGGTAGACAATTTGTTATGTCGACAGGAACTCCCCGATATCGTCTCTACACCTATAAGAACATATGTATAAGTGTATGATTTATAAGTTATGTGTCATACATTTTAATCTGACAAAGTTCACTTGATAATTATCCTGGATCAAATTAAAGAAAAATTGAATCTATTATTAGTAATCCATATTAGAGAGCATAACCTGCACCTCGCATATCAGTAATCTGTCTTAAAAATATGACTGCTGACAACACCATAAAGGGAAAAGTTATAAGTTCATGGCAAAAGTTGGCCTACTTTGTTTACTAATTGGCTTTTCCTAGAAGCATCACGAGATGTTGAGAAAACCAGCATGAGGACTGTAAAACATTGATTGCAATCTGAAAGGTCAATCCGTAAAATATTCATCTTGTTAGTTGAAGTGATCTAATTTTTTTACAGACATTTTCTTTTGATTTGTTGGTGGAATCAGAAGCTTCTTCTTTTACCCCAAATCGCCTTAGCCTCAGAAATAGACCAAGTACTTGAGAATGTCTAATAGACTGAATGAATGAACAATAACTTGCGACCCGCATAATCTAAACCCTTGAGTTGAAACAACCTCACTCCATGCTCAGCTTTGATGCTTCAGTCGCATTGGAAGAGAAAAAAAGCATTTGCTGCATTTACTATCAGCAAGTCTTATAACAGGCTAAAATATCTTTGTTTTTTGGCCTCTTGTTCTTTACTCTTTATTTTCCACACAATTTTGTTTGGCATGTTCTTTCCTGGAAAGGACACCTGCATACCTCGTTGTTAATTACTTCTACTTTTTGAGTTTTAATTTCAGAACTCAAAAAGGAAAGCATAATTATTACATCTTTGTGTTGGATGCTTTGTTAGGCCTTCTAGGCCTTCTTGTTGTATGGCTCTGCCCTTTTCTTGCACGTTCTTTGTTTTGTTCGGCTACAATGCTTTGTTAGGCACCTAAAAACACATCTTCTCTCTTCATCTTCTTGTTACATAAAGAATTCATTAGTGTAGTGGTTTGGAGCAATTGTTCTCCCAGAAAAGGTCTTGGGTTCGAGTACTAGCATCCATGCAGTTTGTGTGTGTTTAGTATATTATCACACTCTCAATAGGAAAGGTCCAAGGTCCTCACAAAAACATCTTGTTAAAATTGGTTTCATTTTCCTCTCTTCTCTCTTTTTTTTTCTTTTCTGTTTTTTTTTTTTTGTGTGTTTGGACTTTTTTAAACAGCTGAGTGGGTGGTGTTTTTCTGCATCATGCCTTTACTTTTCTGACAAATTTTTTGCCAATGTTTGGCAATGGATAGTACTAGCCTCATATCTGGTCATAATGCAATATCCCAAAACCATTTCTTTCGATCTCCACAATCTGCTATGGTAAATATATCCACAATTGTCCAATGAGTCAAATCCCTGTTTTCTACAACCTTCCAATGAGTCAAATCCCAGTTTTCTACAACCTTTGGCCATCTCCAACTCGAGGGGTGGAAACCCAAATTTTCAGTTTTAAGTTCAAAATTCTTCTCCAACCCATGCATTTTGGGGGTTGGAAATTTGAGAAATGTTAAATTTTGGGTGGAATTCCAATCCAAGTCTTCCCTGGACTAGTATTTTATGTGGAGCCCAATAGCCAACTGTGCAGCCCATGTGAAAGGAGAAAAAAAGCGGGCCCTGTGCTGCAGACTAATGTTGACCACTCACCTCCTTTCCATGTGACAAGTGTCATGGCACATGAAGGAGGCGTTGAAATCCAATGACTCCATTTTGAAAGCTCCTGATCCTTTATATAAAAAATACCAACAGCTATTCCAAAGAAGTTGATGTTTCCCATTTTATTTTATTTTTAATTCCAACATCTATATATAATCAATGGCCACGATTATTTTTAGGCAATCTTGATGGGAAAAATTCACATCCAACGGCTGAAATTTAAATCCAATGGTCAAATAATTTTTATAATTAATCTAAATTAGATCTAACCTCAAAACTCATCCCAAACTCTATAAATACCCATCTTTTTGTTATACTTGCTTTTATTCATTAAGTAAAATTATTTTTGGATTTTTTTTAGATCAAAATGTTCAGAAAATTAAATCATGAATGTTGAAACAAAAATAATGTCAAGAAAAATTAACGATAAAATAAATATTAGGGATTAACCATTTTGAAACAATTTAATAAAGTTGCGAACTCAAATTATGAGTCTGCAATGTAACACCCCGACCCCAAATTTATCCCATGTTTTAATTTATTTAAGTGGAATTGAGAAATTACCCGTGGGATAGGGGTATTTTAGTCATTTTCTTACCCGGAAGGAATTCGGGAATTCCGGTTGTACCGTTGCGTAGAGCACGGTGAGATGAGTTCGTAGACACGTAGTGGACTCGAATCGGAGTTGTAACGAGAGAGATATGATCAAATGAAGCTCAGTGGCATAATCGTAAATATTTTGAAGTGGGATTTTTGGTTAAAAGACGGAATTGCCCCCGTCTCTCAGACACTCTCTCTCTCTCCCGCGCGCGTCTCTCCCTCTGGTTTTCGCGACAGCCACTGTGGCCGGCCACGTTTTGGCCGGCCGTGCTCTCGTCCGGCCACCAAAGTTGACGGGGCCGGTACCAAAATGACCGGGCCGCCGTCCTCTTCCTACCCCAGCCAGGTCTCGCCGTCAGCCGTCGAGATTTCGCCGGAAAATCGAAGAGAAAAGCTCGGTTTCGCCTGAAACTTCGCCGGCTTCGTTCTCCGTCGTCCGGCCACCGATTCCGGCAAGTGAGGTATGGTTTCTTACCTATTTTCCGTGATTTAGCTGATGGTTGGGTAGGATTGCATCGATTTTGAGCGTAGATTATCTGATTTTCGAGTTAGGGTTCGGCCGGATTTCGGGATGAGATTCCGGCCACTTCCGGCCATTTTTTGGGGTACGTCCAAGAACAAAAGTGACTCCAAATTAGGTGTTTTACCTAGGGTAGGAGTCTTGAGCCGTGATTGGTGGTTTTTCCGGCGATGCGATATCGCTTTGGACACCCACGCGCTGCCGGCGCGTGTGGCGGCGCGTGGGCACTGTAGCTGAGGGGCATTTTTGTCCCAATGGGATCCTCAGGTTGTCATGAGCGCGTAGGTGTGCTCGGATCTCAATTTGGATATCGTTAGAGTCCCGAATGGATATCGCATATCGCGTATTTTCCGGGTTCGTTGGGTTTGGACCGTTGGATGGTCCTGAGATTATAATATGTTGATCTAGGTATTACCAGGATTGTATAGGATTCGACGGATTGTAAAACGGAGTCCCGGATACTCCGGAAATGCCAACCCTGGGGTTAGGGTTTTAGTAATTGTTCGATCCTGCGATCGTGAGCGATCCGGCCGTCCGATCTGGACCAAACTTGCAGGACATGTGTCCTAGAGCCTGTAGAACCTCTAGGAACTTTCGGATCGAAATTTGGAGGTTGTGGGCCCCGCAGGCCCGTTTGACCCTAGGTTGACCGTGAGACTCCCGAGATAGTCTTACCTTTCCTTGAGGGTTAGGATGACCTTAGTGACAGGTCTTGAGCGTTGTTGAGTTAAATGGATATTGTGGGTTAGGATATAATTGATGAATTTAAATGGGGGAGTTTATGGAATGCTTTATTGGTTGAGATTTATATAAGATTAGAAATTAGAAATTATATATATTTGATTGTGTGGATGTGTAATGATATATAAGGAGATTGAATATTAGTTTACAGTGCTATACGCACTACCCCACGTACCCCTCATATTGTGATTATGCTCAGGCCCAAGTGATGGTATGATGGCTGGTGAGAATGTAGCCAGGCCCAGTGTGAGGTCGCACGCGTCTTTGGGTTAGCCGGCGTGTTGACAGACCCCGTACGTGGCCGGGTGCGTCCCGACGTATGAGTGGGAGTTATGATTGTGTGAGGGCTGGTGAGAATGTAGCCAGGCCCAGTGTGAGGTCGCACGCGTCTTTGGGTTAGCCGGCGTGTTGACAGACCCCGTACGTGGCCGGGTACGTCCCGACGTATGAGTGGGAGATATGATGGTATGATGGCTGGTGAGAATGTAGCCAGGCCCAGTGTGAGGTCGCACGTGTCTTTGGGTTAGCCGGCGTGTTGACAGACCCCGTACGTGGCCGGGTACGTCCCGACGTATGAGTGGGAGATATGATGGTATGATGGCTGGTGAGAATGTAGCCAGGCCCAGTGTGAGGTCGCACGCGTCTTTGGGTTAGCCGGCGTGTTGACAGACCCCGTACGTGGCCGGGTGCGTCCCGACGTATGAGTGGGAGTTATGATTGTGTGAGGGCTGGTGAGAATGTAGCCAGGCCCAGTGTGAGGTCGCACGCGTCTTTGGGTTAGCCGGCGTGTTGACAGACCCCGTACGTGGCCGGGTACGTCCCGACGTATGAGTGAGAGATATGATGGTATGATGGCTGGTGAGAATGTAGCCAGGCCCAGTGTGAGGTCGCACGCGTCTTTGGATTAGCCGGCGTGTTGACAGACCCCGTACGTGGCCGGGTACGTCCCGACGTATGAGTGGGAGATATGATGGTATGATGGCTGGTGAGAATGTAGCCAGGCCCAGTGTGAGGTCGCACGCGTCTTTGGATTAGCCGGCGTGTTGACAGACCCCGTACGTGGCCGGGTGCGTCCCGACGTATGAGTGGGAGATATGATGGTATGATGGCTGGTGAGAATGTAGCCAGGCCCAAGTGATAGTGTGAGGTCGCACGCGTCTTTGGATTAGCCGGCGTGTTGACAGACCCCGTACGTGGCCGGGTGCGTCCCGACGTATGAGTGGGAGATATGATGGTATGATGGCTGGTGAGAATGTAGCCAGGCCCAAGTGATAGTGTGAGGTCGCACGCGTCTTTGGATTAGCCGGCGTGTTGACAGACCCCGTACGTGGCCGGGTGCGTCCCGACGTATGAGTGGGAGATATGGTTGTGTAATGGCTGGTGAGAATGTAGCCAGGCCCAGTGTGAGGTTGCACGCGTCTTTGGATTAGCCGGCGTGTTGACAGACCCCGTACGTGGCCGGGTGCGTCCCGACGTATGAGTGGGAGATATGATGGTATGATGGCTGGTGAGAATGTAGCCAGGCCCAAGTGATAGTGTGAGGTCGCACGCGTCTTTGGATTAGCCGGCGTGTTGACAGACCCGTACGTGGCCGGGTGCGTCCCGACGTATGAGTGGGAGATATGATGGTATGATGGCTGGTGAGAATGTAGCCAGGCCCAAGTGATAGTGTGAGGTCGCACGCGTCTTTGGATTAGCCGGCGTGTTGACAGACCCCGTACGTGGCCGGGTGCGTCCCGACGTATGAGTGGGAGATATGGTTGTGTAATGGCTGGTGAGAATGTAGCCAGGCCCAGTGTGAGGTCGCACGCGTCTTTGGATTAGCCGGCGTGTTGACAGACCCCGTACGTGGCCGGGTGCGTCCCGACGTATGAGTGGGAGATATGATGGTATGATGGCTGGTGAGAATGTAGCCAGGCCCAAGTGATAGTGTGAGGTCGCACGCGTCTTTGGATTAGCCGGCGTGTTGACAGACCCCGTACGTGGCCGGGTGCGTCCCGACGTATGAGTGGGAGATATGGTTGTGTAATGGCTGGTGAGAATGTAGCCAGGCCCAGTGTGAGGTCGCACGCGTCTTTGGATTAGCCGGCGTGTTGACAGACCCCGTACGTGGCCGGGTGCGTCCCGACGTATGAGTGGGAGCTATGTGATTATGTTTGGTGTGTTGTGATGGATAAACCCGAGAATGTATGAATTTATATGGATGTGATGGGTTAATTGATATCAGGAGCCAGGATTGATAGGAAAGAGCTACGTGTGGCTTGATCCCTTAGTAGGGTACGTAGGCAGCCTGGGATAGCGCCTAGGTGCAGCCACGACCTAGACACCACTTAGGTGGTTTTATCGAGTATGATGCGGACTTCGTGGTTGGTCCCAAAACTTGGTTGAATTGAGGCTTGTCCGGTGGACTGAGTGAGTGAAGGTGTGCATAGAGAGATTTGGAATTTGTTATATGCATGGTTGATGCATGAAGTTATTTTGAAAACAGTGTGGGCAGTCTGCTAGAATCATTTGAAGGCCGGAGGCCATTTATGTAAATTGCATGAGATTATATTGTGCGTGCTGCTGGTTGGGTTATAAAATGAGTTTTATGCAGGTGGAACTTTTGGGGAATATTCAATTTACAGGGGAGACTCTGCCGAATTTTCGGCAGAGAGTCTCGTGCCCTTAATCCTCTATGGTGAACGAGGACGTAGATTTAAGGAGTAAACCTGGCGTGGGTGTGATGCCGGGGTCTCCGCAGGGTTCGTCTCGGGTTCCGGGAAATTCGGGACGGGTCCTGTCATGCAAGGTTGGAGGAAAAAACAATGAGTCCTAAAAATACATGAATAGTTGTATTTTAAAGGGTGAAAATTTGAGTTTAGCCTCAACATGGTTGGAGATGGTCTTACAAGCTTTTCCTCTTTCATGTTAAGTGCTACTGTGGTAGGCAGAGCCTTTGCCACTGTACTTCACTTTAGCTGAGATGACACAAATGCAACTATATGAATACAACAAAGAACAAATCCACCTTAAAAATGAAGCTAATGCCATCTTTAGGTGAGGAGCGCTATAAATGATTTTATAAGAAATAGTGTCAAGCTACATTTTAACCATCTCCAGTTACAAATGGCTAAATTTAATATTTTAATAGTTTTTAGTATATTATTTAAATTTATTAGTTAATTTAATTAAACTACTATTTATATCCTATTTAAAATACATTTTAGAGGATAAAAATATTATGGGATAGGATTTTGACATCCACATGTCGGCACGTGATTAGCCCTATAGATTTATGATTAGATTTTTTCTTGTTTTAAAAACAACTTAAAATTTACTTTAAATGGAAAAGGATGAAAGATAGTTTGTAAAATAATGAAGAGATTGTGAGAAATTATGTAAAATGATGAAATTGGGGAAGGATAATATGTAAAATGATGAAGATGTTGTGAGAAATTATATAAGAATATTTATACAAAAAATTTAGAATTTTTTTTCAGATTTAAATAAAAGCTAGTTAATGTCACCTAACGGCTAGGTGATGTCAGCTGGACCCTATCCAATTATTTAGCCCGGGCTGGCCTAAGGGCCACATGTGGGCCCTCATTTTAGGAATTGGCCATTTGTGTAGCCCTCCCTTATTTTTGTAGCCCTTTGTGTATCTCACTCTTGGAGATGGATTTTGGGCTATATTTGAGGATAGAGCCCTCACTTGGAGATTGCCTAAAGGTCTTCATTTTGAACATACGTCTCAAAGCTTTATTTTGAAGTGCTACCTACAATGGCTCCTTCTCCTCGCCAGAAAATTGATCATGAAGGTCCAAACTTTTCTGCTACAACTCTCCAGTTTTTGAACATGATCCTAAACGAGACTTCTTCTAGAGACAAAAAAAAACTTGTAAGCAAACCGAATTCTCTCTCTTTAACCATATGTATGTACTGATTTGCAAGTGCATATACGACTTCTTTTTTTTTTAGCCGAGGACTTCAATTAAAAGAGAAGCTATAGATTGCTTTATGAAATAGCTACATGATAGGTTTTTGTTTTGTGCAGACGGTTCCCAAGACATTTCTGGACAAATATGGATAGCATCTATCAGATCAAATACAACTTAAGTTCCCAAGTGGTTCAGAATGGAAAATCAAACTCAGAAGATGTAATAGTGAGGTTTGGTTTGAAAATGGTTGGCCAGAGTTCTCAGAGTTTCACTCTCTTGAATATGGCAATTTGGCAAATGCTTAGTTTTCCCATACGAAGGGAAATCAAAATTCCACATTTTGATATTTGATGAAAGCGGCATAGAGATTAAAAATCCCAGATGGAAGAAACTAATGAAGAAGACGATGACAAGTCTGTTGAAAGTTTGGAGTATTTTCCACTCTGCCCAAAAACCCAGATTGAAGAAACTGGTCTAGATGATGATGATAAGTCTTTTGAAAGTTTGGAGTACTTTCCACTGCCCAAAAACAAAGCACACAAAAGGTTAAGGTCCTCTGCCATCTCCTCTGCCTCAAGAGAAAAACAGAACAAATACCCACTCCTCTTCATCCAAGTCATCATCTTCTTCATCTTCATCTTTAACGCTTAATGTTAAAGCTGCCAACAAGTTCCTCTCAAGCCACCCATTCTTCAAAGTCATTCTGGGGCCGTCCCTTAATATGGTAAGGGTCATTGACAGCAAATAATTATACAACGAAGAAACAGCAAACCGCATGTCTTGAAACGAACACGTTGGCAGCTTTAACATTAGCCCTCAAAGATGAAGATGAAGAAGATGATGACTTGGATGAAGATCTTTTCTAGTTTCAGCTTTTTTATAAATTTTAGACCTTAACATGTTTTCCTTTTTCAGAGAGTTAAACTGAAGATCAAGGAATGAAGCATGACAGGGAAAATAGAACTCATGGTAAGTTCACCTAGCTTCCTTAGAGAATTATGTAAATTTGGTTATGTTTTTGTGTGTGCCTGCCTATTAAGAATATTTTTTTGTCTTTCTTTTTCTTTAGTGACTTGTCATGGTTTTGAATCATGGGAGCTATAAACAGGTGCTGATCATGGAGGAAAGTCTACTACACTGAGATCAAAAGCTCCTTCGACATTGAGAACTTTTGCAAAGACAGAACTTGAAGATTTAGCCTACTCAAAAGCTTAAAGCTCTTCAAAATCTGAGAATCCATTTTTTGTGATGAAAATGCATCCATCATACTTATCAACTCACCTAGTAAGCAACCCTAGAATGTTAGGAGAGAAATGAGTATATACATTTAAAAAATAATAATTCTTTTATATTTTTGGTTTGGTTTGGTTTTGCTTATTTTGTGTTTTCTTATGTTTGCAGCCAATAAGTGTACCCTTTGCCAACAAACACCTGTGCAAGAGGTGTTTCAGACGTGACCCTACAGATCTCAAATGAGAGATCTTGGCCAGTCAAGTGCATTATCACTGTATACAATGGGAGACCAAGTACAAGATTCCACAATTTTGGTTGGGGAGCATTTGTGAAGGAGAATCATTTGGAAGAAGGTGATGCCTTTATATTTGATACATTCCAAAATGTGCTGAGCCTTATAAATCTTTTGTTTCTAGATTGGTAAAAATTAGAAGGAAGTAAAAGGAAAGGCAAATCAACATGTCAAGATCGTGTTTTCTAAATGGTTTGAGAAAGGGAGGATCCTACTAAAATGCAGATGCATAGGATGTGCTGACGTAAAAATAAAAAAACCCTAGACCAGAATACACTTTGAGTTTGAGAGTATGGTCCTCCAAGTGTGGTCCTTATTTTTTCAATTGTTCCGATTAGATCTTTAAATTTTTAAGTGAAGCAATGAGATCTTTTGTGCACCATAATCATGATTTTGTTATCAAAGTTTTGATGCGGGCCACTGTTTACTGATATGGCGTCAAAGGTAAGTATAGAGCATATAACCATACAGCTTTCCTGCCACCCAAACCCGTCCGTATTATAGTCTATATATGATATAATAAGTCCATTTTTCCGAATTTGAGCATTGAAATTGCTTACAGTGAGCTCAACTAAAATCAGGATTACTAACATTACTAACTTCAGTAGTTCAAATTCTTCGTTTTCTCAGGATATAGCAAATCATTATTGTGATGGAGGAGTAAACTACATTGCTTCAATTCGAAACATAAGAGGACATGGTCAAAACAAGTGAAAAGAAAAACAAGTTATTGTGGCACATTGTGATCACTAGTTCTCTTCACAGTAACAAGGAGAAGAGAAATTTGTTAGAGATGTAAATCAAGTCCAATTTATAACATATTGAATAATAAAAAATCAACCCATGTTATCAAACTGTTTATTTCATTTATAGCAAGACTTCAAAATGCAGCATTAAAATTTCAACTTACTGAAGCAAGTTCTTCAATGACAATTGCTCTGTTTTGCATCCTTCTCAAAAAGTTCACATGCACATCGAGCATGTTGTTCCCAACGATCAAGTGCCTCAAGCTGATGAACACTTAATGCAGTGGCACGGAACTCTTCAAAATCCATTCTTCTGTATTGAAGTCCATTTAGCTGTCATGGAAGAAATAACCAGTCAGTAGTTTTACAACCTATGAGGCCTAACACCATAGAAAAAGTCATGGAACATCGAAGCAAAACAATTAGGAACCAATTTATTACCGATGCAATGAGATCCAATAGTGCAAACTTCTCCTTCAGATAAAAGAATGATCTACAGTCAATGTCTAAGATAAGGCCTGCCACAAAATGAAATGTTAATTATATATATGCCAAAATTTCAAGTCATGAACAATATAAAACATACAAAAACAAGAAAATTAAAAACACAGTTAGGCACACATAAAGAAGTATAATTTGGATGAAGCGGTTGGAGTATCAGATGATAACACCTTAGCAGACCCTGTCCTTTCCCCTACTTTTAACAGGCCTTGATGGGTTCATTGAGTAATCATTATAATTATGGAATACTAACAATTATTTTCAACTTTTAAAATGTTTTAGAACACAGAAACAAGAATCCTATTCATCAAGAAAATATATAAATTTCTTAAGACCAAGAATCTGATTCTGCATGGGCAAAATTCGAGAAAAAGTTCTCTTTCTTTTGTCAACATATACACACCGTTCAAGCAGCCTTTCAAAGGGATGACGATCGCATATAAGCCTTCATGAGTCTAAATATTAAAATATCAAGAGGCACTTTTACATCGTTATAATTTCTCATCCAAGGATGACCTGCCAACAAAAGATTATGGTCAGTGACTCAGGAAAGTGATGGCGGAAACTTAGAACATAATAGAGATAGGGAAAACTCACTTAAAGCCTGCGCTGCAGTCATTCATTTCTGAGGGTCCTTGTTCAACAAGCATTTAACAACATCCTTTGCTTCAAGAGATAAAGAAGGCCAAAGTGCTTCATCAAATCTGGGATCAGCTTTCAACACCGCCCGAAAAGTCCCAGACTCAGTCCGTGCCCAAAATGGGCAACTGCCACATAAAAGAATATATGATATTACACCTATACTCCAAACATCAGCCTCTGTACTATAAGATCTATGTAGAACCTCAAGGGTGACGTAGTATGCGCTTCCAACAATATCATTAAGCCTCTCATCTGTAAGCCAGAGTGAGTATTAAAATCCCATGCCAAACTCCAAAGACTGAGACATTGATAATAAGAAAGAGCTGGATTATTCAAGAAAGGAAAACCTGGTTTGGCAAAATCTGATAAGCCAAAATCAAAGGCTTTCAACTGGGAATTCTCATCCTTAGTGGAATACAAAGAGTTCTGATAATAAATATGAAAATAGAACATTAGTTTAATACAAATATAATTACATACAGAAAGCACAATCAATATATCAAGTAGACCAGAACTTCTAGCTTTAATGATGGATATCTGACATATGTACCAAGGCATCTTGCTCAGCAATAAGACAGACATCAGTTTTCTTGTGAACTAGTTTTAAATTGTTAGGAGGAAACCCTACACTTCCCACATAAAACTTCTTTTGAACAAACCCACAAAAGATACCATATGGACCAAGAAAATATAGGTCAAGACTCAGATTTTTTCTTCAGTTCTTCAAAAACACCTGTTAAAGAAACAGCTGGGAACCAACTACAGCCCCGAACAGCAATGACATCAAAAGATGGCAGGCCAAAGAGATTGATAGGATTTTCATCACACCTAATGAACCAAACATAATGAACTGTTTAGCAAATGCACTGAGAGATATGCCATGCCACCATGATATGACATGGGCGGCTCATCGATCTGGTCTAAGTCCGAGCTTCCATCAATCTAGTTCAGTTGGGCAAAAGGAATGAAGCCTTTCAGCTTTAAGCCGGAACCCAGCTCAAGCAAGGGACCTTTTATAGCCACTTCTAAAATAAGAAGAAATATATATATATATATATATATATATATATATATATATATAACAAAAGAGAAAGATAAACTTAACCATTTGGCTTGTTCCCTAGACGTATGACAACAACGAATTGAATGAACAAAATCACTCAGCTTATTCTTGAAAATTTAAAACCCAATTATGAATACAAACTAAGTACCTTGAATGGTATTGTGATCGGAAAGCATCCTCGATTACAACAAGAAAGACCATTACTAGGGCTAGGACATCCCTAGGCAGGGGAAACCAAAAGCATCCTCAGCCACAAGGCTTGCAACACTAGAGGAGGGCAAGACTCCAAAATACAAAAACGGAAACAATAAGAGAGATCCCAAACAGGAAAGAGCATCTGCTACCACATTTTGTTCTCCATAAACATGGCAGAGCCCCTACAGTTTTGTCTTCTTTCCCATTTCTTGAAGAAGAAGTTCATCTTCTTGTTCCGTATAAGAGCCAAAAGTGTCACTTCCAATTGCTTCAGACTCATTTGAGCAAGCCACTATAGCACTGAAGTATTTTTTCTGACAATAATGACAATCAAGGTGATTGTGCATTTCGACATGCTATTCATCATTTACTTTGCCGGCCAAAAAGATTGCAATCAGCTTGAACGTTTTCCATCATTTTTTCTCCCTTTAATAAGATAATGTTTGCCATTATTTATCCCCCTGCAGAAGCTCTTACCCCACTATTTGGAAGGAGGCCGTCCTTAGCCATGTCACTAAGCACATTAAAAACTTCATCCATATTTCCTTCTTTATGGTTGATGTCAACAAGTAGTTTTGCAAGTTCAGCATCAGAAAGCTGACAGCTTCTCAGTGTGTTCCCTATGACTTGACTCAATTCATTGTTCATCCCCTCTGTGAAAAGTGCTTTAACCAGCGCAATAACCGTCACAGTATGCGGAACAAATCCAGAATGCAACATTTCCTTGTACAAATTATATGCCTTCTGAACATTTCCACCCTTACAATGACCATGAATAATAACATCATAAACTGCTTCGTTAGGCTTGTGTCTTCTCTCAACCATTGTCTCAAAAACTTGGTCTGCCTCGTTCATCAAACCCTTCATACAGAATCCCTTTACAAGGGCTACAACACTCTTAAACTCACCATTAGTGCAGTTCTCTATTAGTGTATTATATGTGACACCATCAGGGACAGATTCCTCGTAGAACAACTTGAGCAGAAGCCTCTTTGCTTCCCTCGTCCGAGCTTGTTTGTTAAGTCCATTAATAAGCACACTGTAGGTAACAACATCAGGTAGGAAACCTTTTTGTATCATTTCATCATTCAACTGAAGAGCCTTATTTAAATCACCTTCCACACAGTAAGCATTGATCAATGTTGTGTATGTAAATTCATCAGGAGGCATACCCATACTCAACATTTCTTTGAATAGATCACAAGCATCAATTAGTCTTCTTTGCTGGCAGACACCTTGAATGAGTGATGAATAGGTAACAGCATCAGGTGATACACCCTTCTCCACCATCTCCAGCTTCATTCTAAATGCGCTCTCCAATTCCTGATGCCGACAAAACCCAGTTATAATAGTACTATAACTTATGACATCAGGGGACAACCCTTTCCCTGTCATATCTTGTAGGATTCCAATGGCATCTTCCATCCTCCCCAATAAGCAGTATCCATTGATAAGTGCATTGTAAGTCACAACCGAAGGTGAGAATCCATTCCCAGTCATTTCCTTCAGAACATCATAAGCTTCATTTAAGAACCCCTGTTGGGAGAATCCATCAATCAACGTAGTATACGTCCTCTGATTTGGACGAAGTCCCCTAACATGCATCTGATCGAAAAACTCCATTGCTCGATTCAAATTCTTAGCCTTACACATAGCATTAATCAATGCTGTATAAGTGACAACATTTGGAGACAAGCCATTCCTCCGCATCTCCTCTTGCAGAACAAGTGCTTGGTGAAAATTATCTTCCTTGCAATACCCACTAATAAGTGTATTACAAGTCACCTCATCAGGAACAAAACCTTTTCTTTTCATCTCCTCGAGAACCTGACTTGTCTCGTTCATCCTCCCTTCTCGACACAACCCATTGATTACCACATTATATGAAATCAAATTTGGCTCCAAACCCTTCAACGCCATCGATCTCAACAGTTCAAATGCCTGATCAATCTTCTTCAATTTGCAGTATGCGTCAATCAACGTATTGTAAGTAACCACATTCGGCAAACATCCATTTCTTTCCATTTCACCAAAAAAGTACAGCCCCATTTTCAAATTCCCTGCTCCACTAAAACCCCTAATCAAAATGTTGTAAGTATAAACATTCGGGGAGACCCCATTCCTAATCATCTCACTAAACACCTCCTCAGCAAATTGAACAGACCTTTTTGACCTAATTATTGCATCTAAAATTGCATTATATGAAAGCACACCAGGTATAAATCCATGAACTTTGGCTAAATGAACAATATTCAGAGCCTTATCAATGAAATTCAAGTGAGAGTAAGACTTCACCACCAAGTCAAAAACCGCCGAGCTCGAATTGCAGATATGCAAGGAGTCACTGAGGCACTGAAAGACCAAATTGCCCCTGTCGTCGATGGAATTGAGGGCAACGTCCTCGGCGATGGCTTGGGCGCTCTTGTACAGCTTGAAGCGAGTGAGGATGTGGAGGGCGAGGCACTTGCATTGGAAGGTGAAGAAACCATGGTTTCGAGCCCAACTGAGGAACTTGAGGGTTAGGGGCTGGTCGAATTGGGACTTTTGGAGTAAATAGGAGGCTGCCTCGGGGGTAAAACAGGAAGATAGTGAATTGAGATTGTGGGGATGGCGTTTGAGGTATGTGATTGCTTTTTCTGCGAGCAGGGTGTCGGAGGGAGCACAGGGGAAGGAAGAGGACTTGGGAATATGAGGTTTCAGGAGGGGCATTTCCGGAATTGAAGAAGTTAGAGGTTTATCAGAAGCGCAACGGGAAGAGATTTCATGAAACCCAGAACTGATTCAACTGAATGAAATTTTCAGAAACTGAGAATTTTGGTAGGTGTGCACCTTTTGTCTTTTATGAAGCATGTGCGTTGCACATGCTAATTGATTTCTTAAAAAAAAATTAAAGAAAACCTGCTATAACAGGTCAAGGTGATGGGTTTTTTCTCTAATATTTTAGTGTAATTCTCACCAAAGCTGGTCCTCAACTTCACACCCAAAAAAAACCTCTACTGCTGAACTTGGTGCGTCTGTTGGTGTTGTAGGTGACCATCAACTCAATTGGGTTTTAGTTGTTTCCTAAGGTTTAAAGCACTGGGTATCACTGGGTTTGAAGCTTTCAAAGGTTAATATTGAGCAATCTCACATATCTCTTGCTAAGCCCTAACTAGCCTCACCTCTTTTTAAGTTAATTATGTTTATGGGTAAACTTTAATCTCACATATCTCTTGCTAAGCTCTAACTAACCTCACCATTTTTTAAGTTAATTTGTGTTTGTGGGTAAACCTTAATCTCACCTAAGTTTTGTACCAAATTTGAATTTAATTTGTTTAGGTAGGTAATCTTATTCTAAATTGTAAATTTGCATGAAAGTCAATAGTATTGCAGTTTTACCTTTTATACAAACAACAAGTATTGTAATATTATGTATGAGAATTTCGTTGGATGTATAGAAGATTATTTATTGGAGCACGAAAATACAATTGCATAAGGGTCATGCAATTCAGAGCTCCATGTTTGGCAATTGGCATATGTGTTGACATGTTACTTCCCAATTGAGTTTGTTTGATATGACTGAAGAGAATGCAATTTCATATATGGTTCAATAAAAACCAGTTTGACAGTTGAAATATAAGTTGACATGTTATTTTTTGAGTTTATTCGATATGACTGACTAAAATTCAATTATATAGGGTTTATGCAATTTGTTTCTATGATTTGACAATTGCATATAGGTTGACATGTTTTGTGGTAAAGATTCCTTCATTGATTGTCAGTTATTTCCTTAAGATTTAAGCATTGGATTTGAAGTTTTGTAAGGGTAGTAATGAGGAATCGCATATTATCTCTTGATAAACCCTAAACTTTTGTAAAATTAGTATTGCAAATATGACCTAGATTTAAAAAAGAATAGTAACCTAATATGAATTTAATTTCCTTTACATATTATTAAAATTGTAAAATTTTCATGAAAGTTAATAGAATGAGAATAAGCATTGAAATAGTTTTGGATGCATAGAGGGAGATATATTGGAGTACAAATATGCAGTGCCTTAGGGTCCTGCAATTTCATATCTCCTTTGGCTGCATATGAGTTGAAATGTTATTTTCCCATTGAGTTTGTTTGATATAGTTTGACAATTTGAGAGTTGACATGTTATTATTTTCGATTGAGTTTATTTGATATGATAAAATGTTTTTCTCGTTTAATGCAGGTTCATCATTAATTGGAACTATAAAATGATGGGAAAGACCAGTGATGTGCATAATAAAGGCAAAGGGCCAAAAACAACAAAAGACCAATCAAATACGGTGATTGGTCGCAAGGCCAGTTATTTTAATTATTTGTAAGTGTTAAACGTCTCTTCCAGTATATTAAGTACTTTTAATATGATTAACTAAATGTGAATGTTTTAAATAGGAAAATAAAGGGCGATGAAATGAAGCAACAAAAAATAGTGGAGAAGGTAGATACTAAGGTGATAAATTGGAAAGAATACATTTAAATAAAGACGTTACAGCTCAAAACTTATAATGATTTGATTGAATTTTATTTTTTTCTTCCTCAGACCAAGAAGGAAATTGTTGATATGTGGCAACAGTTGGATGCTACTCATAAAGCAAAGTATGAACCTAAAAAACCTTCAACGAATGCCTCGAACAAGAATTGTTTGAAGATAGCCACACGATGCAGTCTGAAGGATGTAAATGACACTATAAATGTTTTAAGCAATGAGAAAAAAGCAGCAATTCAAGAAATGGGATTTGTTTCTTTATTGAAAATGAAATGCGGAAAACTATCTCATTCAATGTGTCGTTTTTTGGTTAATAAACTCAATTCATCTGAATCATCAATCGTGTTACATGGGAAAACACTTAAGATATCAGTGGATGACTTTGTGCGCATAATGGGTGTTAAGGATGGAGGAGATGAAGTTGACTTCACCAGATCCATGGATGAGCAACAAATTGTAAAGGTGCGAAATTCTTTTTTGGTTGGGAAGAAGCTTTTAAAGAATAATGAGTTGAAGCAGATAATAGTGGGAACAGAAGAAGCAGGTGACTTTTTCAAAGTTGGTTTTGCCATGTTTGCTTTATGCACGTTGCTATGTCCAACAACTTCCGTGTATGTGAATCTAAAAGATCTGCTTCCATTAAGAGATAGCAAGGCAATATCAAGGAAAAACTGGGCAAGTTATTCCTTCCAATTTTTATTGGACAGTGTCAAGTCATTTAAGGAGAACAATCAAGTTTATATCGGCGGTTGCTTGTTATTCCTTCAATTATTTTACCTTGATGCTATAGCTCATGGTAGTCTACTTGTGGATAGGTCTGTGTTACCACTTGCTGTGTGGGGGAAAGTAGAGACTGAAAAAATGAAGAAGTGGCTAAAGAAAATAAGGGGGTTTGAAAGTGACAAGGTAGTTGTTATCAAATCTGAATCTAGAGGTCTCGGAGATTATGCGAAAACAATGACTCAATTTGCCGAAGAGTTAAGTTTAGTAAAAAGAATGTGGCAACTTTGGTGGCCAATGTTGCTTGTATAGACGAATCACTCTCCAAGGTTATTTTTGAGTTAGAATCAAAAAATGAGGAGAAAGATAGAACACTGCACACTCCACACCCTCATCAACAAAAAGTTAAACTGAATGAGGAACATGATAACATGTTTGATATGGGGTGTGATTGGGGACAACTAGACCCTGGAAATACTAAATCTCCAAAAAGTAGACAAGACAAATAAGGCAGAACTCCCAACAAGCAAGGTGACGATGTCAAAGGATTTGCAAATCTTGATAAAACTTTGGCTCCCTTCGTTAAAGTCATTCGTAAGAGAAAACATGCAAAACAACCTCATAATGAGGTATGATGAGTAGTGGTTGTAGTTTGTTTGTATGTATTTTAATAATTTCACTTGTCGGTTTACATGTTTGTATGATGACAATCATTGAGTATTTGATTTGCAGAAATCATTGTACTATGGGTTATGTTGTATTTTTATTTGGTTTTTCTCCCTATGTAATAACAAAGTTAGATGTCCTTATTTTATACACTCATTGCATCATCTAATGTTTTTTTGTTTCACTTAGATTGATTTGTAAATGATCCTTTATAATCATTTATGGGAACTATGACAAAATGGGTCACAACGATGTAAGAAATTTGTTCATAAAGAATTGTGGATCTGCTCCCTTCTTTTGAGCACACCCATTGTCATCGTATCACAACCCCACCCTCTCTACATCTCAAACGACTTTTTCTTATGCTAAAACCAATTGCAAGAGTATAGTTCCAGTAAAATCTTCCTGCTTTCTCAAATTTTGCTCACTCCCTCCCTTCTAAATCAACAATGCTCATATTTTGGAAGTTTAACTCATCATACTCACAATGTCCGCTAATCACAATAATTTCTTCTATTCTCTCGTCCAAATACTGTAAAGATTGGACATTTTCTATTTCTTCTAGTGACTCAGCCTCCAGAAAATAACCTTCACTGTTAGAGCCATTCCAGCGAGGAGCTCAAGCCTCTGTCTTGGGGGAGGGGGAGGGGGGGGGGCCTGTGCAAAAATCCATTTCCAGCGAGGAGCCAAAGCCCGGGCTTGGAGTGGGACCCACGAAGATGGGCTGGCCCGAAGGCCAGTTTCGCCCGAGCTCAAGCCCAAGGGTTGAAGACGTCAGGCGTGACGTCATCTCGCGGTTTAAATTTTTTTACCGTTGGCGTGTGTATTTAAACTCGTGTGTGTTGACATCAGCCCTACGCAAGCTCTAACGGGTAGAAGACAGGTGTCAAGGACTAGGCGCTCCGATCTGCTTCTCCTCCTCCAATCCAACGGTTGGCATTTTGTTGGCAATAAAATTATGAAAAAAAAATCAAAATTTAAAAAAAAAACTAAAAAATTCTGATTTTTTTTTCTATAAATACCTATCAATACCCTTCACTTTCAACACCAATCCTCATACATTTTCTTCTACTTCTACGATTATTCACTCTTTACTCAACATTTTCCTCTCTTTCAAATTGTATTTTTATTTCTCATCTTTATGGCTTCTTCTATCGAAACCGGAGGGGCGTGAAGCACCATAGAACATGTTTCCTTGTCTGAGGCTTGGCTCCAAGTTTGTCATTGTCCCGTGTCATTTAATGAGACGAAATTTTTTCATATGTGGAAAAAAATTTATGCCGAATTTTATGAAAAAATTCCGAGGTCGACTCGTACAGAAATGACATTGTCTAGTAGGTGGAAAATTCTCAATAAAGAGTTGACAAAATGGAGAGATGCCTTGGCAAAAGCGATGGACAACCATAGAAGTGGGAAAATCTTAGTAACGAGGTAAGTATTTTGTAATTTTCGTTTTATTAAGTTTAATGTCCTAATATATATATATATATATATATTTAATGTTTATTGCATTTTCAATATTTTGTTCATATTTCTTGCATTTTCAATAATTTGTTAATATTTCTTGCATGTTCAATATTTTGTTAATATTTCTTGCATTTCCAATTGTTTCTTAATATTTCTTGCACTTCCAATATTTCTTGCATGTTCAATATATTTGTTAATAGATGATTCAAACACAGATGTGGTTTGGTGCAACTCGGTAAGGCAAAAAAAGTTTCAACCATCATGAATGTTGGGAGGTGGTGAAAAATTGCAAATGCTTCAGAATTATTCCCACGGGTCCCGCCGTTATGTTAAACGAGATGCACTCCGTGATTCAATGACATCGGATTCACCTCTCGATTCCTCTATGAGTCAAGACTCACCCATCAAAAAGGAGCCAAGGCCCATTGGCCGAAAGGCTACGAATGCAAAGAAAGGGGGTAATTCGAGCAGTAATACATCAAAAATTTTGGAGGAAATTGCAAGGCAGAGCGCCATAAGAGTTGAAATGGAGCAGAAACGCCAAGAGAACGAGATGGCAATTCGAGCATAATATGCACAAGAAAGGGAGTATTTGCGCAAAAAAGAGATGGAAAAGATGGATCAGGAAACCATGTCGATAGATACAAGCCATATGTCCCCTGAAATAAAACAATTTTGGAAGCTAGAACGAAGGGATGTTATGAGAAGAAGACTTTTTCAGGATGATGGGCCTAGCAACACGGATTGGTTAAATGATAAAAACCATTAAATTAGTTGGCATACCTTTTATGTATTTGTATTTTTCATGTTTTCTATTAAAGTTGTTGTAATTCATGTATTTTATTTTAGTAGTAGTAATTCATGTATTTAATTTTAGTAGTAGTAATTCTTAATGACTTATATTGGCATTCTTTATTTAATAAACAAAGCATTCAATAAAATACTTTTTTATTCAACATATTCCATACATCAAAGAAAACATAATTAAAAGGAAAAACCACAACCAAACCATAATAAAAAATAAAAGAAACTACAACCAAAGCACAATAATAAAAACAAACCACAACCAAACCATAAAAAATAAATAAATAAATAAATAAACAACACAACCAAACTATAACTAAATAAAACCTAACCAAAGCATCTATACTCCATCATTCACCATCATTGTCTTTCACCACCCATAGATGCTCCATCAAGTCAAGTTGACGTCTTTCATGAACATACGAAGATTGCATCTCTATATATCGATCTAGCATATGGGTCATGAAACGACCATCCCTAACCAACGGATTCGGCTCAAATGGTTCTCCACTTGGCCCCATGGGCCTTTCATAAATTTGTGTCAAGGCCGTGTTCATGGGATCCGGTTCGTAGACCTCTACAACATCGTAATCATACTCATTCTCCACAATCATATTATGGAAGATGATGCAAGTCATCATAATGCTTCTAAGGACCTCCTCATCAAACATATGGGCCGCACCTTGAATAATTAACCACCGAGCTTGAAGTCTGCCAAAACACCTTTCGACATCTTTCCTGTATCCTTCTTGATAGGAAGCAAATAATTTTTGCTTCTGGGATCGGGGTTTCGGAATGGATTTGACAAATGTGGTCCACCTCATGTAGATGTCGTCAGCTAGATAATACCCCGTCTGGTAGGTTGTATTGTTGACTTGGTAGGTGATATTGGGGCATTAGCCTCTCAAAACATCGTTGAAGACCGAGGATTGATCCAGCACGTTGAGGTCATTTTGGGATCCGGCAACTCCGAAGAAGGCATGCCAAACCCATGTATCGAAGCCAGCAACGACTTCAAGGATGATACTTTTTTGGCCTTTTCTATTGCCATAATCTCCTTGCCAGGCAGTTGGGCAACTATTCCATTGCCAGTGCATGCAGTCGATGCTACCAATCATTCTTGAAAATCCTCGACCTTCGGCTTTTTGTAAAAGCCGTTGGAGGTCCCTGGGAGTCGGTCTGCGCAGGTAGTCCCTAGTGTACAGAGTTTCAACTGCATCACAAAATCTTACCAAGGCCTTTAACGTAGTGGACTTCCTCATCCGGGCAATCTCATCCACCTGATCAGCAGATGAACTATATGCCAACATTTGTATAATAGTTGTAAGCTTTTGCTTCGGAAGAAGTCCCAAAACCCCAGCAGCATCACACTTTTGAACAAAGTATGCATCATAATTGCAAATATCATGCATGACTTTATTGAACAAATGGGGTTGCATTCTATATCGCCTTTGAAAATCAACATCAGAGTACAAAGAAGTTGGGATAAAATAATCTTCCAAAAGATTCTTACCTCGAGAATGCCTATGTCTGTCCACATTCCGGCGACAGCCGACTTGTGAACCACGGCAGCGACCTTGGTTCTCTTCATCAAGCAAAGCCACTGCTATGACAACTTGTTCATCTTCTTCTCTCTGCAACATATTTCTTTTATCTGCACTACGATTTCTCTCATTTGTTTCTCGCTCTTGCCTCTCCAAGCATCTCTTAAAATCTTCCATTTGAGAATGGAGTATGAATTCTACACTATGAGAAATGAAATTATGAAAAGATGTGGTGTGAGAACTATAAGCTGAGCCTCTGGTTTTATAGAAAATTTTGGCCATATAGAGATGTCACGTGGCTTGATTTGATTGGATGAAAATCTTATCAGAAATTTGAAATTCATTTGAAATTTGAAATTTATCTGAAATTTGAAATTTGAAATTCATCCGAAATTTGAACCCAAAAATCTTATCCGGAAATTTTATCTTATTATGAATAGTCTTGACATGTAGGAATCCGAAAATATTATCCAAATTAATTATTGAGGTAAAAAAATTTGTGAAAAAAACAAAAAAAATGAATAGTAATTGCCTTTTGTCATGGCAACGGGTGGAAATACACAATACTATTTGCAAGGGCAACGACTATTCACGTGAGTAATGGCTAACCCCCCCGCCGTGCCATGGCAAGGGGCAAATGAGTGGAGTTGCTCTTAGGTACGAAGCTTTGGCCCTTATTTCCATTGTTTTTTTCTTGCTTCTCCATCCATTTTCTTGAAAATAGGCAACATGTCTTTCATAGTTTAATTAATATGAAAATAAATGGATACACATCAATTGCATTTAGTAGAAATATAAATATACAATTAATTATGAAGGATTTGTCATTAATAAGATAATCTACGTTTCATAATTGCACACAGATAATGGCAATTTGGAATGCAAATGAGATTGTTCGGTTTGTCAATTGCAAGACTATAATGCTATTCATATCTACATGTTTGTCAATTGTAAGACTATAATGCAATTCAAACTACATGTTTGTCAATTGCATCCATAAATCACCTATTGTATTTACGTTCTCAAAATTGAAGAACAGACTAATTGGAAAATCGATCTATACAATTGGTAATTAGATTAAAAAATGACATATCAAAGTACCTCTTGCATTTCTATTACCAAAAACCAAGGCTTACCCCCCTCCCCCTTCACGATTTGGTAATTGCATGATTTGGTAATTGCTAGAATATCATTGCAAGTAAGAAATTCTACACAATGCTTTTGGAATGAGACAAAATTTTCAACAACACTGTCCAACATCAAAGAAGAGAAAGATATTAAGATTAATCAAATTGGGTTTCTTGTTTGAAAAAAACCCATTAAACCTCAAAACAAATTGGCATTTTTTGTAATCACAGTGACTTCAAGATCAACAAATTGATATCCACCAGTTGCCGTTATTCAAACCAAGAAGTGCAATTGAATAAGAGAGAGCAACAATGGAACAAAGACTGAGACTGCCAAGAATAAGAAGAGAGAGACGAGTCGTGCCAAGAAGAATAAGAGAGAAGTCACAGGAGTCTCTAAGCTGAGCCTTCTTTTTTTCTTTTGTTATTGTTCAGATTTCTTTCTTCTTTTTATTAATTATTGTTTTGGTTTCCTTTTACCCAGAATAATCCATTTAATCGGTCACTCACTATCAATGGTGTAGATTACCCTACATCAGTCAACAGCTTATCCAATGGCCTATATAATTGGGCCACGAGCTAGCCTGATTCATTGGGCTTAATTTTCTAATCGCAACAAGGCCCCATGTTTTCGTGTCGTGTCTAGCACAGCCCACCAATAATCGTGTTTGAGCCGTGTCGTGCCCCATTTAAACGGGTTGGGCTTGTGTCGTGTTGGGACAGACCGACCCATTTAAACGGGTTGGGGCATGACCCTAGTTGCTTTGGGCTAGCTTTATAACTTACAACGGAGAATCAAAGTAGGATGCTCTTTTATTTTTTGCTTTTTAATTTTCTTGTGGGTCTCTCTATTTTCGGCCAGCACAGAAAAACTAATGGGTAAGAGTCGTGGTTTGGCTTGGACCAGCACTATAAATGAAGTGGACCCCACTTCAGCTCCATAAGCTTCGACCAAAACCATATATATGTGAAATTAACTCTCAAGAATGTTTTGTGATAAAAAGTCATGCATATATGAAGAATGGAATTTCACTTAGTGATGGTGGCCAAGTAAGCAATCACTATGGACCTTTGACTTGTAAAAGAAGGCTAGACTATCTTTTGGTTAAAGAATGGACTATTGTATCATAATTTCAACTTGTAGTTTGCTTTTTTAGTTTAGTATAGTGTTTGTTAGAGAAAGCCCAATGGTTGGGGATCTAAAACGGGCAAATATAGAATAATTTAAAGCTCTGATGAAATCTTAAATAGTATCCTAATGGTTGGGGTTTTGAAATACAAAATAAATGTATGGTGCCCACTGATTAGGGCTTAAAATACAGTGCAAGCTACATCTTTTGTTCTGTGTGGGGCTGATTGGGTTTCAGGGGCTTCAACCACATCCATATATTTAGGGACCTAGTTGTAATATTTTGCTCCATTCATGGGTTGCTATACCTTGCAGCCCCATTTACAACACTCATTGGGATTGCCCTTATAGACTTATAGTTGCATCTGAAATTTGTTATCCTTATGTTTATTTTACTCATTCATGGTCACTAACAATGTTTTAAATAGCGTTTTCTTCACGCACTATGCAGCGTGCATAAAGGCGATGCGTTGAATTTTTTCGATAACACACAGTCACTTAGCAAACTCCTAGATAGAGCATGCAATTTGAGCAAAGCATACGTGACATTATCGAGGTGTCAGTATTGCATTCAAGTTTGTGCAAAGTTAGATCCACTCGGATATGAATCTAACGTTGATATGTTGTCTTAGTATGAGAGAGTGAGAGAAGCAAGTCCAAGACGAACGTGATGCTTTGTGAGAGAGGTTTGAGGTTCAGATGAGGAAGAGGAGAGATGTTGATATATCACCGAAATCCCTATAGTTTAGGTTGATTGATTTACAATTGATTCTGTATATTTGTTGCCTTAGTAGTACAGCTGACTTCTTGTATTTGCTCCTTGATGAGTTCCTTAATTCTAGGATCACCACTGTATAAATATCATTGACATTGTAATGAGAAAGTATTCTGGTTGAATCAAAACATTAGCCTATTCCTTTTTTTACATGGTATCAGAGCAGGGATCCCAACCCTAGCTCTCCTTTTTGCATAGCCATACCTCTTTCTCTATCATGGTTGACGACTCAACCAAAAAACATTCTTCCAAGGATGGAAGCACTAACGATACTTCCAGTCCCTTTTTTATTCATCATTCAGACCATCCAGGAATGGTCATCGTTTCCAAGCTTTTGAATGGAGATAACTATGGGACATGGTGTCATTCCATCAAGATCTCTCTGAGTGCCAAGAATAAACTTGGTTTTGTCGACGGATCTGTCAAAAAACCATCAGTGAAGACTGATCCAGAAGGATTTTCCCTATGGCGGCGCTGCAATGACATGGTCCTATCTTGGATCCTGAACTCACTCGAACAAGATATAGCCGATAGCATGATTTATTCAGACACAGCCCATGATATCTGGCAGGACCTTGAGGAACGTTTCTCCCAAAGCAACGCGCCCAGGATTTTCCAAATCCAGCGTGACATAGCTTCACTTACTCAAGATCAGATGACCGTCGCTGCGTACTACACAAAGTTGAAAGGTCTCTGGGATGAATTAGCATCATACAACAATGTCTCTCCTTATAGCTGTGGGGCAATGAAGACTCATGCTGAACAAGAAGAACAAAACAAAATTATGCAGTTTCTCATGGGACTCAACGAGTCCTATGCTGCAGCTCGTGGACAAATATTGCTCATGCAACCCTTGCCTGCATTTCGCAAGACATATTCCCTAATTTCCCAAGAAGAGAAACAACGGGAATTGGGATCCTCCCGACCTGTTGTGGAGGCTGCGGCCATGGCGGTTCGACAGAGTCAAAGAACTTCCAATCCAAATCGTAGGCCTCTTCATTGCTCACACTGTGACGTTGACCATCACACTGTTGAGACATGCTGGAAACTGAATGGGTACCCTCCAGGCCACCGCCTCCACAAGTCCAAGAAAGCTAATGGGAATGGCAATCGTGACAAGCATGGGGCTGCATCCTTCTCAGCTAACCATGTGACTTATAGTCCCACCTTGCAAGAATTACAAGCTGCTGTACCTAATCTTTCTGAGACACAGTACCAACAAATGCTTTCCATGATGAATGAGAAGATGAATGACCAGCCACCGTCCCAGGCAAACGTTGCTGCTCTGTCATCAGGTTTGTCAAGGTCGAGTTTGCCCTTACATCAATGGATAATCGATAGTGGGGCAACCGATCACATCACTTCATCTTCGCATTCGCTTACTTCTAAATGCTCAAATTCTTCAATGCCACCTGTTGTCTTGCCTAGTGGTGAAAAGGCTCCTATCTCTTCTACTGGGACTTTATCTTTAAATTCACAAGTTCATTTACGAGATGTTTTACATATCCCTTCTTTCAAGGTCAATCTTATGTCTGTAAACAAACTTACAAAAGGATTGAATTGTTCAGTAACCTTTTTTCCTACTGGGTGCAGTTTGCAGGACTTGGCTACGAAGACGACGATTGGTTTGGGTAAACAAAGTGGGGGTCTATATCACCTTGTGGCGTTGGGTTCTGCATCCTCAGCTTCCAAACCTTATTCTTCCATACCTCAATCTTCCTACAGTCTTGTCACCACCTCTACCCATTTATGGCATCGGTGTTTGGGCCATTTATCTTCATCTCGTTTACAATTTATGGCTAAAACTATGTTACATTTTCCCTTTCATTCAAATAATATTTGTGATGTTTGTCCATTGGCAAAACAAACTCGTTTACCTTTCAATACTAGTTCTATTTCAACTACAAAGCCTTTTTCTCTTCTTCATTGTGACATTTGGGGGCCTTATAAAATTGCCTCACTTTCTGGGGTACGTTATTTTTTAACAGTGGTTGATGATTATTCACGGTTCACTTGGATTTTTCTCATGCACCATAAAAGTGAAACACAGAGTCTACTTAAATCCTTTTTTTCTTTTGTCCAAACACAATTTTATTCTCAAGTGCAAAACATCCGTGCGGATAATGGGGGAGAGTTTATTTCTCTACGTGCTTTTTTCAAGGATAATGGGATAATTTTTCAACACTCTTGTGTTTCCACACCACAACAAAATGGTGTTGTGGAACGCAAGCATCGGCATATTCTTGAGACGGCTAGGGCATTACGTTTTCAAGCTCATCTCCCACTCCATTTTTGGGGTGAATGTGTGCTCACAGCCACTTATTTAATCAATAGATTCCCTACACCTATTCTTTCACACAAAACCCCATATGAGATGCTATATGCTAAGCCTCCTTATTCACACATGAGAGTTTTCGGTTGTCTCGCTTATGCAACTTCTATCAACCCATCTCATAAATTTGCTTCCCGAGCCAAGATATGTGTTTTCATTGGTTACCCCATTGGACAAAAGGCTTATAAATTATATGACCTTGATACCCACAAACTCTTCACTAGTAGAGATGTCATCTTCCATGAGGATTCTTTCCCATATCAATCACTGGCCCACCAATCTTCCACCACAACAACATCTGTCTTACCTATTCCTATTTATGACACGCCACTTAGCCCATCACCCAGCCAAGATATCAACAACCAAGATACCACCAATCAAGATACACCAACACCACCTCTTCCAAATCATGACCCGCATATCACCCCAGAGCCACAATTGCCAATTTCTTCTCCACCACTAGTTTCCGCACCATCTTTGAGACAATCCCATCACCATAAGACACCTTCTGTTCTTCTCAAAGATTATGTTTGTTCACAGGTGACGATGCCCCAATATGACCCTATGTCGTCTTCCTCGCCAAGTCATCATAAAGGTACTCATTATCCTCTTTGTAATTATTTGTCTTACCGGCGCTATTCACCATCACATCTCTCTTTTATTGCCAACATTAGTAGAAGCATGGAACCCCATTCTTTTGCAGAGGCAGTACGTGATCCTCATTGGAAAGAAGCCATGGATTCGGAACTACAGGCTTTAGAGTCCAACCACACTTTGACCATCACCACTCTTCCTCCTAGCAAAGAACCTATTGGTTGCAAATGGGTCTATAAAATCAAGCATCACTCAGACGGATCCATCGAGCGTTATAAGGCTTGTTTGGTGGCTAAATGGTACACCCAGACAGAGGGCATTGACTATCACGACACTTTCTCTCCTACAGCAAAAATGGTCACTGTTCGGTGCATTCTTGCTCTTGCCGCTGCCCAAAATTGGTCACTTCACCAACTTGACGTGCACAATGCTTTTCTTTATGGGGATCTCCATGAGGAAATCTATATGGCTCTACCTCCTGGTTGTCGGTGACAGGGGGAGAATTTGGTATGTCGCCTCAACAAGTCTCTATATGGTTTAAAACAGGCATCTCGACAGTGGTTTGCAAAGTTTTCAGAAGCCATACAAGCTGCAGGCTACACCCAATCCAAAGCTGATTATTCACTCTTCACTTGCAAAAATGGGAAGTCTTTTACAGCTCTCTTAATTTATGTCGATGACATTCTGATTACAGGAAATAATGTAGCTGCGATTAATTCTCTCAAACAGTTTTTGCACACTCGATTCTGAATCAAAGACCTTGGTGATTTGAAGTATTTTTTAGGGATTGAAGTGTCCCGTTCCAAGCAAGGTATATGCATCTCCAGAGGAAATACACCTTGGAGATTCTCAAAGATGCAGGTATTTTGGGAGCACGACCAGTAAGTTTTCCCATGGAACAAAACATCAAGCTCTCAAATGAAGGGGAGATACTCAAGGACCCGGCCAAGTATAGAAGGCTCGTGGGACGTTTAATCTACTTGACGATCACACGGCCCGATATCACATATGTTGTACATGTGCTTAGCAGGTTTATGCATGAGCCACGCATCCCACATATGGATGCAGCGGTTCGAATCTTGAGATACCTTAAATACACTCCAAGCCAAGGAATACTCTTTCCAACACAGGATGACTTAAAGTTAAAGGCGTTTTGTGATTCTGATTGGGCGTGGTGTCTGACGACTCGCAGGTCGACCACAGGTTACTGTGTGTTTCTAGGAAACTCGTTGATCTCTTTGAGGACAAAGAGACAGAAGACTGTGTCTCTCTCTTCAGCGGAAGCTGAATATAGAGCCATGGCTAGCACATGTTGTGAGCTCTCTTGGTTGCGGTGTCTATTACAAGGCTTGCAACTAACACATTCAGAACCAGTCACACTACATTGTGACAACCAAGCTGCATTACATATAGCTGCAAATCCGGTTTTTCACAAAAGAACAAGGCATATTGAGATGGATAGCCATTTCATCAGAGACAAGATCCAAGATGGTTCAATAGTTACAAAACATGTTTCTTCCTCACAACAGATGGCAGACATCCTGACGAAGCCTTTAGGAAAAGAAGGATTTTCAACAATGCTGTGCAAGTTGGGAGTTCTTGACATCCACTCTCCAACTTGAGGGGGAGTGTTGAGATATCACCGAAATCCCTATAGTTTAGGTTGATTGATTTACAATTGATTCTGTATATTTGTTGCCTTAGTAGTACAGCTGACTTCTTGTATTTGCTCCTTGATGAGTTCCTTTAATTCTAGGATCACCACTGTATAAATATCATTGACATTGTAATGGGAAAGTATTCTGGTTGAATCAAAACATTAGCCTATTCCTTTTTTTACAAGAGAGGTAGCGAGGACTACGGTTCTCATCTCTGACTCGCAGCTTCACGTACAAGAAGAGAAGATGCTCAACATTCTTGATTTGGCAATACGCCATCGTTTAGTTTAGTATATGCGTCTAATAAAAATGGGCTGATTTTGGCTTATTTGCTTTTTAGTTGTTGGCCTCAACATATGTGAGATGCCTACTTATGTGGACTATTTAATGAAATTATTCACCATACCCTAAAAACCTCTTAAATTTTTTATTTATTAACTATATTATATTTATTTTGTGTATTTTCTTATTATATAAAATTTTAATACTAAAAAAACTTACTCGTCAACGCATTGGGGCTTACACTACTCGTTACGAAATATAAATTGCGACATGTTAAGTGAGAGCGATTTAAAACACTGCTCACCAAGAGCAGTTTATAGATACTTCATCGACTTACTTTTTATCTGTTGTTGGCAACGTAAGAGCTTTCTTGCTTTAGAGCTAGTGGCCAAGGTAACCAATTCCTATGGAACTTTGACTTGTTAAAAGACTGGTGTATGCATCTTAAGTTTGCCAAATCTTATGTGCTACATTATTCAAAAGAATGTCACTATAACACACCATTTGGTCAATAAAACATGGTTCATGTGCCCATATTAGTGACCTAACTGTTTAGTCACTAATTGGTTGTGGAAAAATTGGTAACTAATTAGATTTATTTTAGGCTTATTTAATGTAGCGGCCCCTGAAACTTCGGTCAAAATTCACTCACCCCCCCCCCCCCCCCCCCCCCCCCCCCCCCCCCCCCCCCAAAGTTAAAGGCTCACTTAACCCCATCGACCGTGATTTCGTATTCCACTTTAACCCCCACCATTATCTCCATTAATAACTTTGTCAGTTTTGATAACGTGGCATGGCTATTTTAGGTTTTTTTTACCATAAGTGATGATGTGTCATGTGAATGGCCCAAATCTCAGTTTTGATGACGTGGGAATTGTGATGCTTTTACATGACACATCATCACTTGTGGTAAAAAGACTAAAATAACCATGTCACGTCATCAAAACTGACAAAGTTATTAATAAAGATAATGGTGGGGGGGTAAAGTGGAACATGAAATCACGATCAAGGAGGTTAAGTAGGCCACTTTAACTTTAGTGGAGTAAAGTGAGATTTAACCGAAGTTTTAGGAGGCATTACAATAAATAAGTCTTTATTTTATTTGTTTTTAATAATACTATAAATTCACGTCTAATATATATATTTTTCTTTTCATACATAGTCACTTGCAGTTATAAGTTTGATACTAAAAAAATAGTATAAACTAACACAATGCATTTCAAAAACTATCCATGCATCAACATTCCTCAGTAAATTCACAAGACATACATCTTTCTAAAAGAAAAAATCCTAGATATTTAAACCAAACATAGATGTCAATTGATTATGATACCAAAGTAGGATGCTTTTTTATTTTTTTATTTTCTTGTGGTTGTCTCAGTTTTATGAGAAATTCTAAGTGGTACGGATGTACCACGTGAGCGTGTGATACTCCCATTTAAATATTGCCATGTGACACCATCACCATCAAAACCCTCATCTTCCTTAATGCCCCTTTCTCTGAAATTGATCATGACAACCTATGCCACCTCATACTATTTTCAAACCCAGATCTACACCCCATCCTGACTAATTATTTTATTTTGTGAAATTACATTTTTGCCTTTCGGGGTAGGGGCTATTGTAGTCACTTTTTGTTCGGAATTATTTTTTGGATTTAGAGTTGCACCATTGCATAGAGCTCGATCTCACGAGTTCATCGACATGTAGTGGGCTCAAATCGAAGTTTTAACGAGGAAGTTGTGATATGCGGAAGTGCAGTGGCATAATCGTAATTTTGGAGAAGTCAAAATTTAAAATAGTGGGCCCGTTGAGTTCTAAAATACTCCCCATGTTGTCTCAAGCACGATGGTATGCTCAGATTAGCGTTTGGTTACCGTTTGACTATCAAACGGATATTGAGCCTAGTATGCGATATCCATGTTTAATAGGTTTGGACCGTTCGATCAATTCCATTTTCAATTATTTTATTCCTCATTCCTCTAGGATCCTGTTGGAACTTGTTGATAGAAAATCAGAATCCTGGATACTCGGAACCAATTGTTTGGTAGACGTTGTTGGACCTATCAGAACTTTTGAGTAGGTAATCTGAGGTCGTGGGCCCCGCGAGCCCCGTTGACCAATAGAGATTTTGATCACTCAATTAACCACGAGTCTTCCAAGGTCGTCTCATCCTTCAAAAGGTACTAGATTGGCCCTAGGAACTCCCTGAAAGTGGTGCATACAATTTGAGTCTCGGGAATTAGGATTTTGGGTTAAAGCTCATGGTTGGATATTTTTATTGATTAAGTCCTCATATTCTTCGAAAAAGGTACCCAGGCTCCACGTACTCAACATGTGGGACCCTCGCAGGGTCAAGCAGCTTTGGACTTTTTGTGAGTGAACTTTATTTTTAAATGATCATTATTTTCAAATAATGGAATTACATGCATATATGGGTTTGATGGAGGAATTGATTATTTTGGTTATTAAGACTATGAAATTATTTTATTGTCTTAGCTATGGTTTTACAACATGTATGAGAGCTTAGTACCAATATTTTATATAAAGAAATTGGATATGGAGTTTTGGACTATGATGTTGTCGAGATGTTTATGTACATTTGAATATTTGGAATTCATATATGTTTATAGTAATTGAATTGGGAAATTGAATATGGTATATTGGAGTTTGGATTGCACCATGATATGTACCTCTCCTTGGATACTGATACTTGGATACGATGGATGTTTGGATATGTCAGAACTCGAGCACCCTTGCGGGGTGTGCTGTAGGCCCTTAATGGGCAGTCTGCACGCGTAAGACTTGTTTCTGCCACACGTGCGATGTGTTGACGGCGTGTATGCTGCGAAGCCATAGTCCACCGGTTGGACTGCTCAACCTAATCATGGGTTAATGTGATGCTATCCCATGTTCTAGCCAAACAATCCCCCAGTTAGATTGCTTCCCGGTACTTAATAATGGTGTAGTGAGTATATATGCTTGTGTATATATATATATATATACACATACATATATACAGTCCCCTTCAGTTGAGGGATCCCTCAAATAGTGTTATTTGAGGGATAGGGTGCTCAACCGTTGGATCTGTTATAATGACCTTGTGTCGCTGAGATTGAATTACATCTTTTAACCCGTTTTCACACTCCTGGCCCACCACAAACTCTACTTACGCTTGGGAACGACGTACGCTGGAAAACCAAACGTCTCTCTTCTTCCTCCAACGCTTGGAGACCTTTCACGCAGACCAAACGACCCAACATGAAGAAGACCCATCATCGTCAGTTGAAGAAGAAGACCCACCATCTATGCGACCATTGGTTCTGATTCTTTCAATATCTGAGCCATGGTTCTTCCATTTGGAGTTCTGGGATGAGTTCTGATATGGTTTTAATGGGTTTGAAGATCACTCCTCCAGAATTTTAATGGTTTTTTAAAATTTTGGAATATCATGTGTATGAAGTATAAAAAAAACAACAATTTGATGAATGGAATTTCGATTTTGGGTTTCTGTGTGATGAGTTTCGATTTGGGTTCTATTGAGTAATTCTTAATTTGGGGGTTCTTGCTAATTATTGTTAGTTTTTTTAATGTTAACCCCAATTTATTTATTCAAGGACGAAGTACTGCTAGAACAAGATGTCAACCCAATTCATGATGAGGGTCTGGTAATTCACAACAGTACTTCTCAGTTACAAACTGGTAAAAGATGATTGTTGATTTTGCTATACTAGTTCGGTATCTTAGTTAAATCTCATGGGGCTCTGTTTTCTGAACATAAGATAGAGTAGAAGGTAAAAAGAAAATGAAATGTAGATGTTTCATACACTTTTGTCCTTGACAGATAGTTTTGATATGTATAGAATTATATTAGACATTTTGCTGCTTTCAGGAGAAGAAAAAAAAAGAACAGCATTTTGCTAATGTGCTACCCCAATAATAATGTTTGTGGCTTTCTATCAATGTGAAACATTCAAAGTGATCATGATTGTACTACTTTCTGTTTAGATGAATACTTTCTGAATGCCAACTTGTGAAATTTATTGAAGTTAATAATCAATTTAAGGACCACCTTGCTTTCAAGCAATTCTATGTTGAAGGGCTTTGTGAATACAAGGCTAACCTCTTTGTCCCAAACTCAATATTATTTTGAATAACTGTAGTGTGGTCTTACTTTTATTTATTTTTTCTTGCATTGCAGGTTTGTAGTGGAGTAATCTTGTTCGTTCACTCTTGAAGTCCAACATCTGATGTACTCTGGATCTAATCTTTGCTGTTGTTTGTTTAAACTCAATAAGGATTTTGTAGCTCTTCTGTGTAATAATGGTTTTTTTTTTTTTTTTTTTTTTTTTTTTTTTTTTTTTTTTTTGTGGTTTGGTTGTAGGGATTTGATGGGAGGATGACTTTCTATAATGGATGTTGTACATAATTGTTTTTCCCTTCTGTAATGAATACTCAATGTTATCAAGTTTATTTTATCTTAGTAATGAAAACTTTATTCAGTTCATAGTGTGGCAGTTTTTTCCGTGTTTTCACTTTCACTGTTCTAAACTTCAATGGCATATGATAGTTTGTTTCACTTTTTCAATACTGGCAAACTCATCCAAGACATTCATTCATATAACACCAAAACTTAACTATGATATTAGAGAATAATAGCAAAAAAAATTTGTTTCCTTTTAATTGAAATGATTTCTGAATGTTTTCTTTGTTCAATACACTGCGCATCAAAAGGCATTCTAATGAAAACAAAAAATACAAACACAATATTTTCATTAGGAGGCTAGCTGCAGGAAGCTTGACTGGGCAAACATAGTCTTTCTTCACGTGCAACTCTACAACCCAAGAAATAGGTGGAATCACTGGAGTTTGAAACATCATCTAAAAAACTCATCATCCTGACAAGACAAAGTAAATAAATAAATAAATAAAATTTATCGTTTTCAATAACAAGCAAGTTATATAGGTGGAAGAATTATTATCCATATCATCAACAAAATTCTCCACATAAGTTATGTGTATAACTATAATTACCTGTGATGAAGAACTATTATCTTTTCCATTAGAAGCATCTTTGTCAACATTTGAAGATCTATCATGGTCAAAGATAACATCACAAAGTTACACAGGAGGTTAATACATAATAATAAAAAAGGAAAATTACAAATAAGTTTGCATTCTTACGATTTTTGAAGAATAGGACAGTTCCTTTTGTCATGTGTTTGTCCATATTTTCCACACCCATTACAATGCCGACCTTTGTATTTTTCTCTCGCCAACTCCTTTATGCCCTTAAGTCTGTTCCCACTTCCTTTTGCTTTAACATGATCTCGCCAACTCCTTTCTGCCAAACGTACTCTTTTCGTATGACCTCTTCGTCTTTACTCTTCTTACTAGAGTATGATTGAACACTAAACCCAGCTTCCCTTGCATATTGATTGTAAAAGTCATACACTTCTTCTAATGTTTCAAATTGTTAACCTTGGAAGGGAGTGATCTCACCAATTACTTGAGGATAGAAAATTGATACAGAAGGATTTGTTTTCGAATCAGTTTCCATGTGAACTAATATGCCATTAGTAGCTTCCATAGTTGAACAACAGGTGAGCAAATCTGTTTAACCATAGAACATGCACAAGACTAGATTAACCATTGAGCAAATCTATTTAACCATTGAACAACAGGTGAGCAAATCTGTTTTCCTTAATCCAAAAGACTAGATTAATAAATATAAAAAAAAAAAAAAAAAAAAAAAAAAAAAAAAAAAAAAAAATAAAAAAAAAAAAAGTCAGCCAAGAACACACAAACACAAACGTTGAATGGAGCATTGAAAGCACAAGTTTGATGGAAAATTACAAAATTACAATACTCAATAAAAAAAAGTTGTAGAATTGTTGATGAGTTCTTAAATTTTATATCAAAACTCAGGATACCCCTTTTTTTTGTGTTTTTTTGTACGTCATACACATGATATTCCAAAATTTTAAAAAACCATTAAAATCTGGAGGAGTGATCTTCAAACCCATTAAAACCATATCAGAACTCATCCCAGAACTACAAATCGAAGAACCATGGCTCATATATTGAAAGAATCAGAACCAATGATAGCATACCTTTGTCGCATAGATAGTGGGTCTTCTTCTTCAACTGATGATGGTGGGTCTTCTTCTTCAGCTGACGATGGTGAGTCTTCCTTTTCATGTTGGGTCGTTTGGTCTGCGTGAAAGGTCTCCAAGCGTTGGAGGAAGAAGAGAGACGTTTGGTTTTCTAGCGTACGTCGTTACCAAGCATAAGTGGAGTTTGTGGTGGGTCAAGAGTGTGAAAACGGGTTAAAAGATGTAATTCAATCTCAGCCACACAAGGTCATTAAAACATATCCAACGGTTGAGCGCCCCATCCCTCAAATAACACTATTTGAGGAATCCCTCAACTGAAGGGGACTCTACATATATATATATATATATTTTATACTTATATATTTATAAGGATCTTTCCTTGCATATTGTGTTTTTACAAGCATATGTCTCGGAAAGGGGTTAGTTAAAGTGAAAAAGGTCCAATTTGATTATTGTATTATATACTATATATGTTTTATGGGATTACAATGGTTTCAATTTCATGTATACTATAATAATGGATTAAATTGCATGGTTTTTCATCGTTTTCATAAAATGCTAGGGTTAATATGTTCGATTATAATTATGTACAAACTTTTTTTTTGTCCACTCACAATTTCTAATTTGCGCCCCCCAGGTCGTAGCTTGACGTGACTCGCACAACCAAGCCAAGTCTCTCTCTTCCGGTGCATCGACTTCCTTGTAGGATATCTTGTTGTTTATTTCTTTTCGAAAACTACTTGGGTTGTGTAAACTAAATAATATCTTAGATTGCTCTGATATTGCCCATGTAGGGTTGAATTTGAGGTGGGAGGCCTATGTTGTAAAATGTGTGCTTACAATTGTGCGTTTTTCCGTTTGAGATTTTTTTTATTGCTTCATTTGCAGGCGTTTGTAGTTTGGGGAAAAGTCCATTTTTCAGGGGAGACTCTGCCGAAATTTTGGTAAAAGTCTCGGCCCATCTTCTTTGTTTTGGGAAAAAGGGTTATTTTAGTAAGTGGGCCTGACATTGGTTAGATGTGGGACATGAAGTAGGGTTCGTCACTGATTTCAAGGGGGAATCCGGGGCAGATCCTGTCATTAATACTATAACTCCTTTGTAAAAATTACTTCAAGTAATACAATAAAAAATTCTCCCAAAGGTCTCTCTATTTTGTATTCACTTTAACATTTCACAACCATTAACACAAACACCAACACTTCCACTATTCCATTTCATCATCATCATCATCATCATCATCATCATCATCATCATCAATACCAGTTTTCTCTTTCTCCTTTTAAACTCCACTGCCTGCAATTACTATAAGGAGTGAAAATGAAAAGGAAGGGAGATGGGTGGTAGTCACGGAAAGTAGTGTGGAGATGGGTGGCAATCATGACAAGTAGTGGGGAGATGAGTGGCAGTCATGGCAGGTTTTGGGCATTAATGCACTTTCACCCATTTGGCCATGGCAAAGGGCAAGTAAGGGCATACACTATTCATGTGAATAGTGACTGTCCTACTTTTTTTAATTTGGTTTTCTCACTCATTACCATTGCAAGCACTATTCACATGAGATATGTAAAGATGAATTTGTATAGAGTTTTAATGTGAGAAGTGAAGAATATGGCTAGTTATTTATAGAAAAACCCCATAAGCACCAGCTCAGGCAACTCTAGCCTTTGGGCTGGCCTGAGTAATTGGGGCTTGTTCTTGCCCAAGTTGAGTTTTCTTGTTGTGGAGCTTCTTCCAAGCCCAGGCTGCCCTAGCAAAAGAACACCGGCAGAAGGGCTCTTAGGATTGTTATGGTCGAGAGGGGTAGTTGTTGGTAATTCTCTCTTTTTCCTTAAGTTTTTGTATTTTCTAATTTTATTTCATAAGATAAAATTAAGATATTAGTTTACGGTTGCGATGCCTTTGGCCGTGTCTACGTCTGCATGAATTTTGGTTGTGGAGAGCTTCATGTTGTTAAAGATGTCCAAATTTTCTATTTGTTTTATGCTATTTTGGGGGTTATTTTGGGGTTTTGGAGTTTCTTTATGTTTTTCTTTGTTAAAATATGAAAACTATGAGAGAATATTTGTTTGTGGGAATTTTCTGTGTATTCTTCTCCTTGTAGGAGGTCATATTTATAATACAACGAAACCTAAATGGGCAAGTAAATAATAAATTCCTAAATCTATTTACAGTAGGAAATCAGGAATTAAAGTAAATCAATTACAATTATAATAGGAATTCTTGGTGTGTAAGGAAAGTAAGTCAATATCCACAAGTCACACCAACACTCCGCCTCACGTTGGTACATAGATGTCGCCAATGCCCAACTGATCCAGTGAATTGTGGAATGCTTTACTGGAAATCACCTTTGTCAAAATATCTGCCAATTGATCCTCGGATTTCACAAAAGGAAACTGAAACACTTTAGCCTCAAGCTTCAGTTTGATGAAGTGTCAATCCACCTCAACATGTTTAGTACGATCATGCTGAACTGGATTCTGTGCAATGGCTATAGTAGCCTTGTTGTCACAAAAGAGATTCATTGTGGATGTAGGTTTATACCCAAGTTCAGTAAGCAACTTTCTTAACCAAGGAAGTTCACAAATCCCTTTAGTCATGCCTCTGAACTCGGCTTCTGCACTGGATAAAGCTACTGCATTCTATTTCTTGCTCCTCCATGTCACCAAATTACCTCCCACGAATGTAAAGTAACCCGATGTGGATTTTCTATTTGTTACATTACCTGCCCAATCTGCATCTGAATAACCATCAATATTTAGATGACCATGTTTTGAGAACATAAGTCTTTTTCCAGGTGCAAACTTCAAATATCTAAGTATCCGAAGAACTGCATTCATGTGGTCTTCACTTGGAGAGTGCATAAATTGACTGACAACGCTCACCGCATAAGCATGTCTGGTCAAGTATGTGACAAATAGATCAATCTTCCCACTAACCTTTGGTATCTTTCTTTATTTGTTGGAACTTGATCTGGATATTCTCCAAGATGATGATTCTGGACAATAGGAGTGTCCACAGGTTTGCAATCTAGCATTCCTGTGTCTGTCAACAAGTCCAAGACATATTTCCTTTGAGAGAGAAATATGCCTTGCTGTTATCAAGCCATCTCAATTCCCAAGAAATACTTGAGTCCACCTAGATCCTTCATCTCAAACTCAGTAGCCAAATAGTCTTGTAGTTGTGATATTTCCTGTTTATCATTCCCAGTAATAATCATATCATCAACATAGATTATTAATGTTGTTACCATCCTTTTCCGATGTTTCAAGAACAGAGTATGATCTGAGTTGCCCTGTTTGAAACCATTGTTTTTCATTGTCATGGTGAACCGTTCAAACCATGCACGTGGTGACTGTTTCAATCTATACAATGCTTTTCGTAACTTGCAAACTGTTCCAGTCTGAGTAGTATTATATCTAAGAGGAATGTCCATGTACACCTTCTAAGTGAGTTCGCCATGTAGAAAAGCATCCTTTACATCAAACTGGTGTAATGGCCAATCCAAATTCGCTGCAAGGGACAATAAGACTCTGACGGTGTTTAACTTTGCAACTGGAGCAAAGGTTTCTTCATAGTCTATACCATAGGTCTGTGTGTACCCTTTTGCCACAAGTCTTGCTTTGTATCGCTCGATAGATCCATCTACATTGTTTTTTATAGTAAACATCCATCTACATCCGATAGTCTTTTTTCCTCATAGTATAGTCTCCAATATCCAAGTCTAATTTTTCTCAAGAGCTTTCATCTCCTCTTTTATAGCTTGAACCCACTTAGGATCTTTCAATGCTTTAGAGACCTTGGTTGGAATATGGATAACAGACAACTGATGCACAAAAGCCTTGAGTGGTTCAGAAAGCTTCTCAGTGGATACATGATTTGCAATTGGATACTTGGATGTCTTGCCAATATAAGGTGAATAATGGTTTGGTGGCTTCCCACGATTTTACCTGAAAGGTAATTGATATCCAATAGTTTTATCCTTTAAATGCACAAGTCTAGTAGGAGTAGTTACCTCAAGGATATTCTCAGGAGATTGGTCTGTTGGTATTGTTGAGTTAGAGAGGGGTTCTTCATCTTGTTGTTCTGTATTGTTTGTAGGTGTGATACTCGAATCAGAAATATCTTCGCATGGATCAGGTGGGTCAGGCAATTGATCGCTATGAATGGGTGATTGATTGTTTGTCGGCAGAGAGTAATCCCGTGCTGCAGACTTGGGACGATCGATCATTTCTGTACAGAGAAGAATTTCTTCATTTTATAAGTTGCTCCAATTCTGCTTTTCACTTCGTATCTCCCCTTGAAGCGTAGAATTGGATGATGGGTCATGGAAGAACAACTCAGATTCCACGTCGGATATGAGGGTGATAACAGCGGTAGCCTTTCTAATAAGTGGCATAACCCACAAAAACACAACGAAGCGCACATGGATCAAGTTTGCTACGTTAATTTTTATGGAGATGAATGAAAGCCACACATCCAAAGATTCGGGGTGTGAGTACCAAAACAGAGGGCAGAGGTTTGTGTTGTGCAAGCACCTGTAAGGGAGTTTTAAAGGTCAATACACCAGAAGGCATGCGGTTGTTCAGGTGAATTGCGGTGACAATAGCATCATCCCAGTGATGGCGAGGAACATGAGTGCTAATAAGAAGTGCTCGGGTGGTTTCAAGAAGATGTCGATTCTTTCGTTCAGTAACACCATTTTGTTGCAGTGTCTGAGGAGAAGTCGTCTCATGGATAATTCCATGTTGTTGGAAGTAAGTTTGAAAGTCATGATTGACAAATTCTCCATCATTGTCTGAGCGAAGAATCTGGATTTGAGCATTAAACTGAGTCTTCATCTGTTTGTGGAAGGACTGAAAACGGGAAAACACTTCATTTTTATTCTTCAGCAAATAAAGCCATGTCATCCGTGTACAATCATCTATGAATGTGACAAACCATCGAACACCAGAAGAAGCAGTGATAGGTGAAGGTCCCTAGACATCAGAGTGAATTAATGTAAATGGAGTAGTATACTTGTTCGTACTCAACGAGTAGGGCACACGGTGACTCTTAGTCAAAATACAAGTATCACATGTGAAGTCGGAGTCCTTGAAACCTGAGAATAAATCTGATATAAGATGCTTCATATAACTAAAAGACGGATGTCCCAATCGACGGTGCCACAACCAGATTTGTTGTTGTTTGCTATCAAAAGGATGCACCACATTATTAGCCACGTTGGGACTGAAGTCATCTACAGAATATAGCCCCCCTCTCTTAGTACCACGACCAAGAATCTTCTTAGTGTGAATATCCTGAAGCAAACAAAAACTCGGGTAAATACACAACAATTCAATTGTTCAGTAAGCTGACTAACTGACAAAAATTTATTGGATAAAGATGGAACAAGTAAAATATTAGACAGTGAGAGAGAGGATGAGAGTTCAACAGTGCCAGCCCCTGTCACAAGATAAGTAACTCCATTGACATTTGCAAAACAAGTTTGTCGAGGTTGTGTAGTATTAAGAAAATCATCAGGATCAAACGTCATATGATCAGTTGCACCGGAATCAATTATCTAGCCCTTGGAATCAATCTTAGCGGAAGTATGGAATCCATAACCAGTACCATTACTGGTCGTATTGTGTTGTCCTCGATCTTTAAGAGTAGCCCACCAATTGGGATAGCCATGCAATTTAAAACAAGTCTCATGAGTGTGTCTTAGATCACCACAATATTCACAATCTGGTCCATGTGTCGGGATCGTTAGTCGAGAAGTCATAATCTGTGCAGCGGAAGATGTATAGGATACAGGTTTAGTAGGAATTCAGATCGGGATCTGAGCCTGAGTCAGGGCCGAAGTCGGAGTCGAAGTCGGGATCGAGGTCTGAATCAAAGACAAATTCGGGGTCGGGGTCGGAGTCATCATCGGAGTGGGGGTCGAGGTCGTTGTTGGAGTCGGAGTCGGAGTCGAGGTCGTCGTCGTCGTCATAGTCGGGGTCGTCAAAAGAGGATCCTGATTCAGAATCAAATTTGGGGCCAAAGTCTGCATCTGTAGGAGCTGAGCCATCTAGGCACTCAACTCGGCTATGGTTGGTTGAGAAGGAGAGAATGAGTCGATGGTGCTACCTCCATGAGGGATGAAAAAATCATCAACCCCCATAGCAGTGGCGGGGGTGTGAAACTAGTGTCAGCAATTCCAAGATCGCCGCTCTGATACCATGCTAAAATATGAAAACTATGAGAGAATATTTGTTTGTTGGAATTTTCTATGTATTCTTCTCCTTGTAGGAGGTCATATTTATAATACAACGAAACTTGAATGGGCAAGTAAATAATAAATTCCTAAATCTATTTACAGTAGGAAATCAGGAAATAAAGTAAATCAATTACAATTATAATAGGAATTCTTGGTGTGTAAGGAAAGTAAGTCAATATCCACAAGTCACGCCAACATTCTTGACTGTGGATTCCTTCTGGGTTATATTTAGGACAGTGGATCCGCTCTCCCCTCGTTGCAATGCTCCAGTGGGCTAAAGCACTTGGAGATCCATTTTTGCTAAATTCATGGGTACTCCTTCAACTACATTGGACATGAAAGTATCAATACAAACTCTATTTGTGGACACCAATATTCATATTTATGAAGTTTTATTTAATACTAATATAAAGATAGAATTTTATAGACATACTTATGTAAGCCAAAAGAAAAAGAAAACATAAGAAAGAGAAAAGAAAAAAAAATTTGTTTCAAAGATGACCCCGCACAATGAACCCATAACCAGTCATTATCCATTAGATGTGAAATAATTTTTTGGTTGGGTGAACCCAGACGGATGTTGAGCCTTTGTATTAAGAATTTACGCATTTTTCCGCATTTGACTTCATCTTAATCGTTGTAATAATCTAACGTCCTATAACATGACACGTCATCTACTATACAATTTAGATTTATGTTATGAGACCCATCATATTTTTTAAACAGCCTAAATTGGAATTTTGCACTACTCCTCCCCTCCTACCGCAACCAGCACCTCCCCAACTTTAAAAGGGCTGGCCCTACGGGTTTCGGGCCAGCAATGTCCAGCCCTTCGAGTTTTGAACCAGCATGGTCCAGCCCATTAGGCCGAATTACTTCATCCCAAATCACCGATTGGGCCTAAGATACAGCCCATCTAACCTAATTTTTATCTGCCGTACACTATTTATATCCTTTTCCTTTCCATTTCCCTTTACTCATATTCAGACCTTCTTATCTCATACACATAAACCAAGATATCTCTTGCAATAGTCGGCGCTGTCTATAAATTGCAAATCAAACGTTTTTGCTCACATTTCTGAATATCTCATGGTTTCCCTATTATTATAGACATTTCATATGGATTCCCACAAATGGTAGCAGACCCGAATATGAGTAAAAGGGATGCATCGTCTTGGTCCCATGGTTTCCCGAATATTCTATAATATCTCCACTATTATAGACATTTCCAGTTTCTTGAATATCCCTTTTACTTATATTCTATTCTTTTTATCTTTTTCTCACTGAGTTTTACACAAAAATTTAATTTAGTCATTGAGAAAAAGTTTTAGCCAAATTACTAATTGTGTTTTCCAAAATTTACAATTTATAGGCATTTTGTTATTTTCTGTTAAGTGCGCAGTTTTTATTTTAATTTTTCTAGAAAGCATGTTTAGTTTTCTTCCTCTAACTCAACAAGTTAGAGTATATTATGCTATTATGGTTTAGATCGACCAAAAATTGAACAAATGATAGGTCAAGATCATATTGTTCATTGAGAATTGAAGAGGGGAGAGCGACAAATTGAGAGAAGTCTTGGGTTGAAATCAAAATTATGAGGTATAAAGTCACAAAGTGAATGCTATATTGAAGCTTGAATCGATTGAGTGAGAAGTATATTGTGATTTTGGATGGCAATAAGATGTAACCAAGGTGATATAAAATACCAAACTATATTGGTAGGTTATTGATGACTTAAACGCGATGTACATATACAAATTTGTTTTGTGCATATTATTATGTCTTTTCAATTACACTAAGCTTTCCATCTACTTCATTCCTAGGTAGGTGCAAGAAGAAAACGGAGAAAAGGACAATGCTTGGGTCCAACTACTAAGGACATTCTCATCCGTACAACCATTACACATGCACAATTTATTTTGACCAAATTTATTACCAAACACCAATTCTTTGATCATGGGTGCTAAAGTAAACATGTTCTCCCTGACCAATCACCCAAATATCATAAATATTAGGGTTAATTGGTGATTTGCCCATTAAACTTGTACTTAGAGCACCTCCACCCCAAAGGGCAATAGAAAGGCAAATGCAAGGTAAGGTTTGACACTATTCACGTGAATATAGTGTCAGCCTTACCCTTTTTGGTTCCACCCTAAATGGCAAGGGCAAGGGCAATTATTATTAATTTTAATTAATTATATTTTTTTTTTATATTTAAACCATTAATTTTGGCATGAGAAGTGAAAAATAGGACTAGGAATTTATAAATAATAAAAAATCTAAAAATTTTGGTATTTTTTTTGATTTTATTAAAAAAAAATTTTAGTTGTTGACGTCATCAATGACGACAAGCAGGCAACAAACTAAGAAAGACCCAACCTACCTTTCTATCTAAAAAAAAAAAAAAAAAAAAAAAAAAAAAAAAAAAAAAAAAAAAAAACCCAACAAAACCAAACAAAAGCCCACAGCCCACCCTTGCCTTTGGCCCTTTGTCTAGGCTTGTGGACCCCATCAACTACCTGGTGTGCGCTGGAGCCAAAAGCTGGGCCTAAGCCCCCTCCTGCTCGGGCAAAACTGCTGCGCTGGGGGTGCTCTTAGCTTTTGATTTATCCCTTTTTTTTTTTATATAGAAAATTAACGATACAAACTTTTTTTCTTAAAATTAAAATTAAAAATAAAATCAGATAATAAAAATCAAACACATCACATACAACACCAAAACCACCGCCATATATTTGAACAAAAAAAACCCATATGCACATATTTGAACACACAAAAAAACCCAAATCTATTTGATCAAAAACCGCATCAGGGGTAGAGAAGTTGTGGTGAGGTGGGTGTTAGGGATGGACCTAGGGTTTGGGGGAAGAGAGAGAGAGTGTGTGATGGTTGTTGTGGTACAATGATTTAACAAAAAATTAAATGAAATGTTGATAATTTAGACGGTAGGGGGGAAATTGGCAAAAAGAAAAAGTTCATATCCTTAATTTTCTATAAAAATTAAAAAAAGAATAGAGGGTAAATCGAAAGTTAGGTACAATTTCAAGGGCCAAATCACCAGTTAACCATAAATATTATAATATCTTTATCATTCTCAAAAAGCAAAAAAAGAAAAAAGAAAAAAAAAAACCCCGTATGTTTTTTGTTTTAATATGAAGAAATAACTATATCTCAAAATAAAAAAGAAGAAGAGATAGCTAAAAAACATGAATAATCTATATATATAAAGCAAAAGGTAGAGAATGGTGAAACATTCAAAGTACCAAAAAATGTCATTGTTTAATTCAAACATTAAAATTGAAATTATTAATTAAATGAGGATAATATGGTAAATTCATATTTTTTTTATTAAAAAAAAAAAAAAAAAAAAACAAAAAAAAAAAAAAAAAAACCAATTGACACATGGCAAGGCTAGTAAATAAATAAAATCAATCAACAAGCAAGGGTTGTAATAAGTACTGACTGAAGTAGTCTCTTGAGTTGATTGAAACGATTAGATTCCGTTTCGAGCTTCGTGAACTAGATCAACTCCGTCTAGTCGGCAACTTAAAACATGCATCCATTCGACTCATTCAAAGAAATACATCTCTCAATCAAGCTTTTGAGTTAATTCAGCCATGGCTTCTCTTCTTGACCCTCCAACATTTTCAGCTTCGTTACCCCACTTCTTCAAGATCATTCTAGAGGACAGTTCTAAAATCAGAATTGTAAGCACCTCTTTCTCTCTCTCTCTCTCTCTCTCTCTCTCTTACTATATGCTAATAATGTTTTCTCTCAACATGTTCTGTTCTGCAGAAAATTCCAATGAGGTTTTTGATGAAATATGGAGAGAATTTATCAAGTCCAGTACATCTTAAGCTTCCAAATGGTGCGGAAATGGAAATAGAGCTCAGAAGATGCAACAATGGTGAGGTTTGGTTTGACAAGGGTTGGCCAGAGTTCTCAAAGTTTTGCTCTCTTGACTATGGTAGTTGGCTAGTCTTTGGATATGAAGGGAACTCCAACTTCCATGTGTTGATATTTGATAGAACTGCTACAGAAATTGAATATCCTAAGCCTGAGATGGAAGAAACTGATTCTGAAGAACAAGATGATGCTGATGATGGATCTGTTGAAATCTTGGATGTTTCTGAAGAAGAAGAAGAAGAAGAAGAAGAAGAAGAAGAAGATGATGCTGATAACGAATCTGTTGAAATCTTGGATGTTTTTCCACCCTGCCCAAGAAAAGCACGGGAGATATCTCCATTGCCATGTCCTCAACCGCACAAAAAAATGAGAACACGTTCGAGTGGAATGATGCTTGAAGAGTCACTGAGAAACAAGGCCTCAGATTGCTCCAAATCAGAAATGAAAAGTAAGGAATATATATTTTTTTTTTTTGCTTCTGTTTCTTACCTTTATTGTAATTTGCCTCATTATGTTCTAGCTTGCAATAAATCCTATTATAATCTTGAACAGGGGACAAATCTCCATTAGTACCATCAGAGGTCAAAGATGGTGTTGGGAGGATGCATATATCAACTACGAGTGGAAAAGCTATAGCTCTTCAGAGAGCTATTGCTTTCAAATCTGTAAACCCTTCTTTCAGGGTTGTCATGCAACCCTGGTATGTCAAACAAAGTTTTTTGGTAAGCGTTTCTACAAACAAGTTACAATCGCTACGATCCTCTAACTTCAGTCAAAGATGCAAGCATGAAAATAATTAAGAACAATAACAAAATTAATGCTCTATTTCTTCAAAATCTTACTGTCTTAATTTCCTGTTTTCCATTTCTTTTAAGCCAATGCCATCCGGGTTTGCCAAGAGACATCTTATTGAGCACCCTGCTGGTAATGTTGTCCTTCGGGTTTCAGATGGACGAACTTGGTCTGTTAAATTCAAATATGAAAAATCAATAGCTCGATTCCAGTATGGTTGGTTGGGATTTGTAAGGGACAACAATTTGGAAGTGAACGATGCGTGTGTCTTTAGCTTGATCGAGGACGTGAAACTTTCATTTGATGTTGTCTTTTTCCGGACTACAGAAGAAGCTGCAAATTGCCCCTTGTCTCCAGGTAAACAATCAGCTGTTAATTTGTGAATTCATTACGTATTCATTATCTGTTCTTTTGTTTTTAACTTTTGTGAAGGCAGGCAACACATCTCTAGGTAAGTGAGGAATGTGCTGAGGTGTGAATTAAGTACATTGTGCACACTTATTGATTATAAGCTTTTTGGTTATTTTAAGATCGGGGAACCACAACTAATCAAGTCAATTCACAAAAATCAGAAATCAAAACTATGGAATGTATATTTGTTATTATTTTTATAGTTTACCTTCTTTTTAATTAAGATGCAACCTTATTTTTCTTGTAATATCCGATTATAATCTATGATCTGCCCACAAAGAAAGATTTAGGAGGCTTGTCTAGCAGTCAAATATTCCTAAAACGAACAACTGATGTTCTCGGGAGGAAGTATGCATTGACTAAAAGTGAAAAAGCTCTGGCTCTTCAGAGAACCAATGATGCTTCAGAAGGCAATGGAAAACGAAGACTCACATAACATTGTTCTAAATTAGAAGTGAAAATATAGGAACTTATATGATTCTATTTTATTATCTTATTGTGTTTCCTGCATTTCTGTTCTTGCTTGTGATATACTTGTAAATTTTCACAGGGAGACATGATTTTCCAACTAAAAAAAGGTGGTGGAGGCACATCTAGCAATCGAACTGGAAAAGCTACAGCTCTTGACAGAGCGAATGCTTGCAGATTGCAAAACCCTTCTTCTTTTATTGTTTCGATTAGGCCCAGTTACATCAATGGTCGTTGGAGGTTGGTAAGCATTCTATAGGCCACCTGCTGAGCCATAACAAATTCTGTTTACTTATATCAGTTACTAATCATTAATATTCTCCGCCTTCAAACATTTCCTTGGTTTGCTTTTTTGTTTCAGTGGTTGCCATCCAAGTTTTACAAGCTATCTCCTAGTATTAAGCATTCCTGTGAAGTCATCCTTCAAGTTTCGAATGGGAGAACTTGGTCTGTTGGTTTGAGCAAAGGAAGGCCCAGATTCAGGCGTGGTTGGATGGAATTTGTGCGTGACAATCATTTGGAAGTTGGTGATACGTGTCTTTTTGTGTTGATTTCCAGCAAAAGTACACCTTTATTTGATCTTGTCATTTTCCGCTCTGGAGAAGGTGCAAAGTGCACCAATGATGGGGAGCAAATAGTACCTACGAAGGAAGAAACTGATAATGAAGATGGGGATTCGAGTGATGATTCTAGTAACGATTCGAGTGATGATTCTGGTGATGATTCTGTTGAAATCATGGACAAGTTTCCACCCCCAAGAAAAACAAGGGTGGTGAAAAGTCCTTATCAATTGATTATTGATCTTTAAGTCTTTTTTGTTTAAGTCAGTTAACCAATTGGCCAAATCAGACTCCTTCCTGTAATTGCAAGATGTATCAGTCCTTCTGTGGTTTTTTTAGTTTCTCCTTTCTTTCCGTACAGAATGTGCTCGTGAGATTATCAGCCCTATCAAACTAACAAGATCCCTTTGTATTCTGAAGCCAATTCACACTTTGTATCATGCCCTCATTTAATGATGGATGATTCTGTGTCCCCAAGGCAGATGAATTTCTTAATTTGCTGGCTAAACTTAATATTCAAATTTTACGTTCATTTTCTGGCATTAGAATTTTATCTGAGAGTGGCAGTACTGACGTTTGAGTTTTTTGGCGTTCTGCATTACTTGGACTTTTGCCCTTCTATACTCGAATACTTGACACTAAATAAGTTTTAAAAGTCTTAAGGTATTCAATTGTGACTTTTAAATAGTCTTTAAAAGTTTAGTTGTATTCAATTGTGAGTTTTAAAGAGTATTTAAAAGTTTTGAGGTATCCAAAATGTTAATGGCTTTTAAAAGCTTTGTTAAATAAATGACTTTTCAATACTTTTAAAGCTAATTCTTACTACCAAAAGTTTTGCTAATTTACACCAGACTTTCATGAAAGTATTGGAAAGATGGAAACAAAATGTCTCCAATTCTTTCTTCCCTCATTATATCAAGCAACAAGCAAAGAGATCTTTTTTCTTTATGGTTAGGGCTCTACTTTGATATCCCATCTTGTATTATGGTTTATTCACGGTCATTGAAATGAATCATGGCTAAGCTCACTAAAAAAAAAAGAATCATGACTAAGCTTTCTGAATCATGACTAGCTGAACGCCAATTATTTCCTTATGGTACATTTTCAAATGTACTTTGTCATTTTATAACTGTACTTTGTCATTTTATAATTGGATACACCCCCCTAAGTAAATACAACTCTCTTCGATATACTGGTGGCGAAGCTTTGAAGCTTGAAGATCAACTATGGCTTCTTTTACTCGGGAAATTGATGACCGGCCAGGATTTTCCCCTAACACTCCCCCTTTTTATGAAGATCATTTTACAGAATACTTGTAGAGACAACAAACTTGTAAGCATCTCTCTCTCTCTCTCTCCTCTCTCTCTCTCTCTCTCTCTCTCTCTGTGGCTGGTCATACATGCGCTGCTGCTGCATGAAGGTTGAAATGAGTCTCCATTTCTCATGTGTGTAAAAAGTCTTGTTTATACTAAAATCAACGGCCAATAAAAGCCAGACGTGTGGACAAAATATGGCGTCGGCAGGGAAGCCCTCGGCACCCAAGCCTGCCGATCACGTGGTTAAAACACAAATCACCCACTAGACACGTGAGGCTTCTACAGTGAATGTCAATAGTCCCGCATCGAAATTCTACACAACTCGCACACTTCCCAAGGTTTATAAAAAGGGGCACAAGCCCCAAAATGGAGCTAATATGAACTTTCGGCACACTGCCCTTCGTTCTGTTCAGTTCTCTTACTAAATCCGTACTTACTTAAGTATTGGAGAGTCTTCGGCCGGTACCACACCGGTGCCCTAGGCCTTACCGAGTGCTTCTTGTCTTGCAGATCGGACGCTCCTACCGAGGCCCAGAGGGATCCGAAGGCCCAGACATCACTAAGTTGGGCCCGAAAGTGCCGAGCCACTTTTTTGCATCAACAAGTGTTTACAGTAGTTATGTTATGATTGAGATGATTCACTTCTTGGCCACCAAAAAATCAGATAAATTCTTTTACTTACGAACGTTTACTTCAAATGTTTCTGTTGAGTAGAGGGTTCCAAACAAATTTGTGATGAAATATGGTGAAGATCTATCAAATCCAGTGTAGCTTGAGCTTCCTAGTGGGTCAGAATGGAAAGTGGAACTCAGAAAATGGGATGGTGAGGTTTGGTTTGACAAAGGTTGGCCAGAGTTTTCTGAGTTTTACTCTCTAGACAAAGGTCACTGTCTAGTTTCCCGATATGAATGGGATTCGAAATTTCGTGTTTGCATATTTGATAGAAGTTGCACATAAATTAACTATCCCTTAACAAGGCACCTGATGGAAGAAACTGATGAAGATGATGATTCTGATGATTCGAAAGATGATTGTGATGATGCGTCTGTTGAAATCTTAGACAATTTTCCACAATGCCCAAGAAAAACAAGGGAGAAATCTCCATTGCCACTTCATAGGCCTCACCAGAAGAGTAGAACAAGTTCAAGTGGTAAAACAGAAACCAACATCAACTTGCACAATGTGGTTCCATTTTTTATTAGACCAAGAAACTCTCAACCTTTTGAAATGATATTTGAGAAGTCAAGGTCCTATATTGTCTTCTGCATTCAGTTCTTGCGTCTAATATCTTATGGTAATCTTTTTACAGGTAAAGATGGTTTTCTTGCCTAAAAAGAAGACGGCGGAGGCACGTCTAGCGCTAGAAGATTCCAAAAACGAACATCTAGGTTTCTTGAGAGGATGCATCCATCGACTAAAAGTGACCATGAAGATGATGATTCAGTTGAAATCTTGGATGATTTTCCACCCTGCCCAAAAACAGAGGAGAGATCTCCAATATCACCACTGGCCCAAAAGAAAAACAGAACGAGTTAAAGTCCCAGAGCTGGTCCTGAGTTTTTTGGAGCCAGTCGCTTAATTTCTAGTTGATTACTAAAGTTTAATGTGATTGTGTAACATTTTGGTTAGCAAAATGGGATTTTATTTGATTTATTTCTAAAATTCGGTTTGTCATTCATTCTACAAGCACATTTATTTGTACTGTCTAGCATCTGTGGTGCAGCCATGGGTCTAGATTTATGTCCAGCTTAATGTTTTTTTACGTAGATTGGACATTTCACTAATATTGGTAAAGAAAAAAAAGAAAGAGATATTTAGTTTTATACCAATTCATAGCACTACTGATATAAATAAATTCTACATTATTTAATTTTTATTAAAAAAAAACCCAAAAAATGACAACTGGCATTTTGAATTTAATTTTGATTATGAAATTACTTTGATGCCCTATTGAGTGTTTTGAATTTTTTTTAATGAGATTTTGGGGTTGGACTTTTTTTTAAAGAGGTTTTGTAATTTATAGGAAATTTGAAGTCTTTTTGTTATGTTGTGAATGAGCTTTGGGTGTGTTTCCAAAGTCCATTTCATGTGAATTTAAAAATATATATAATTTAGGCCCCTATATTAGGTATAATAGTGAATCTCAAATAAGAAAAAAAAAGAAGCCTTCAAGTATTTTTTTTAACAAAATTAAATGCATATGACCAATCCTGGTATATTGGGTAATTTGGCCATTGATGATTTTAGACCTTTTTCTGTGTTTTTGCTGGGAAGTAATGGGGTTAATTGGTTGGTCTTTCCTAACTTCTTCTGTAGGCCATGGACACCTGTTAGCATTCAAATATGAAGCTCATTCCCATTTCCATGCATATACTCATATTTAAATAACCCATCTCACAAATTCCATCTTCAAGAGGGATGATCTTTCTTGCATTTCCTGAATATTATTGGCTCCATAGATTCAACCTAATTGAAGGTAAGTGGCTGTCAAATTTGCTTTTTGCCCATTTATGCCTCAAATACGTGATCTATGATCTCGATTAGGGCTCGTCAATGGGCCAGGCTGGGCTAGCCCGGCCCAAATTCAATGGGCTTGGGCCGGGCTTTAAAGAGGAGAGAGAAAATATCGGGCCGGGCCAAGCCGGATTTTTTTAGAAAATTCAAAGCCCAAGCCCGACCCATGAGTGAGGCTTGAAAAAGCCCATCGGGCCGGGCCGGGACTAAACGGGCCTACTTTATTAAAAAAAATCATAAACTTAATCATAAGGGCATTTTAGTCCAAATTTGAGATTAAACTCACTTAATTCCAATATTTTCACATCAAACCAAATTCATAAAACACCCAATAAAGTCACACAACTTAATAAGATTTTCCACAAAAATTATAAAACCAAGTATTATTTTTGAGGTTATTATATAATTAGATCGTAATACGTTTTAAGAAATAATTTTAAAAAATAATAAGTATCAAACAAATATTTTTTTTAAAGGATGGTATGAATAAATATGCAAATATTTGGTGATGTGTTCAAGAAAAACATGATTATATTTGGTGGTACAATTATGTTTCGTGATATGATTATATTTGGTGATGTGATATGTTGTTCATCTTATTTATATATATATATATAATTGTTGAATTAATAATTGACACAAATTAATGTGCTAATCATCCAATTATAAACTATGAATGAGTAAAGAAAAGTAAATGAAATGAAACAAATTATATATGTGATTTAGGTGATAAAATCATAGACCTAAACTCTTATTTATACATAATTATATATGTATGCGGGCCTAATGGGCCGAGCTTTTGTGGGCGGGCCGGGGCGGGCTTTCTTGGGCTTAATCGGGCCGGCCTATAGGCCGAGCCGGGCTTTAGACACCCAAGCCCAAGCCTAGCCCGGCTCAAGACGAGCCGGGCCATCTCAAAGCCCATAACGGGCCGGGCCGGGATTTTTTTCGATGGGCTGGGCATCGGCCCATGAGCCCGCGGGCCAAATGATGAGGCCTAATCTCGATTTTGCATAGAAATTGTGCATGCCAAATGGAGGATCAAGAAATTATTATTGGAGATATTTTATGAGATAATTCATAGAAATTATCTTTAAATATTAAGTGGTAATTATCTTAACGCCGAAGGTGGTGCCTTAATATGATTTATCAAGGATCTCCATGGAGCTAAAATAAGAATTAGGGTAAACTGTAAACTCCCAACCTATAGAGTCATTTACGAGTGCATACCCGATTTTGGGGACATTTAAGAGTACATACTCAACGTCGCGAAAAACCTATAATTTGTCCCCTCCGTTAGCGAGATTGTCAGAAAATCCGTTATCTGCCTATGTGGTATTTGTGGGAACTCCTTTTTATTTTTTAAATTATTGTAATAAATTAAACATATTAAATTAAAAGTTAAAAAATTAAAATTAAAAACCCTACCCAGATTCTCTCTCCCGATTTCTTCCCCCTTCCTCCCAATTTCTTTCCCCTAGATTTCTTCAACCCTAGATTTCTTCCCCCACCCAAATTTAATTAACCACAATTATTCTAAAAATTCATGTCTGTAATTAACAACCAATCCCAGATTTGTCTGTGATTGTATTGGGAAATAGGAAACCAACAAAATTGGTATCATTTTCCTCATCGTTGCCACCATCGTCTTCATAGCCGTTGTCTTCGTCATCTCAGAAACCCATTGTGTGGTCGTGGGGGTTGCAAAGAGAGATAGATAAGGCATTGGGGGAGACTGACGGTGGTGGGGCTCGAATTTGGTGTGGGTTGTAAAGCTAGGATATGAAGATTGGGACTGTAGCTAGAGAGAGAGAGAGAGAGAGAGAGAGAGAGAGAGAGAGAGAGAGAGAGAGAGAGCGTTTGGATCTAGGAGATGAGGTGGTCAGGGGATATGAGTGGTGATCTACAGTATGAAATGGGGAGGTGGTGGTGGAAGGGGTGGGGATGTGTGTCGGAGTTTTTGGAGGAAGGGGAAGGGGAGAAAAGCGGGCTAGACTGAATTTTTCTTTATTTTACTGATCTTTTGTAAAACAACCCAGCAACACCCCCTCTCTGATTGATCTTGTGTACCCAAAGAATGAAGATAGTTTTTCGGCTTTTTTTTTTTTTTTTTTTTTTTTTTTGGATGTATGGAAGGAAGGTTCTGTGAGAGTTGAGAAAATGAATTTGTTGTGCTTTGAGGAATTTGATTTGTCAAGCAAGAGAGATGGATCGGTTGGGGTGGCTGGACTGGCATATGAGGAGGATGGGGGTTAGCATGGTGGGTGAGCTGGGATGTCGAGGGCTGTCGGTTTTGGGGTGGGGAGGGGTGGCTATTGAGTTATGATCTGCAAGCTACCTTTCCAACGCCTGGTTCTTGAAATCGCTCAAGACTTCAAGATTGACCTCATGTTCTAGAGTCATGCTGTGCTTGCGCTTCAGGAAGCTGCAGAGGCCTATTTGGTGGGTCTGTTCAAGGACACCAACCCGTGCGCCATCCATGCCAAGAGGGTGACAATCATGCCCAAGGACATTCAGCTTGCTAGGCGCATCCTGGAAGCAATTGGAATTTAGGGTTTGGTTGTAGAGGCTATGGAGGAAGAGAGAGAGAGTTATAGGTCTGGGTTCAAAGAGAGAGAGAGAGAGAGAGAGAGAGAGATTTGTTAAAATAATTTAAACAGTTAAATAAATTTTTTATTAATTTTTTGTCCACGTGGAACCCAACGTCAATTAAAAAATGGGTCCCACAAATGCCACGTAGGCAGATAACAGATTTCCTGACAATCTCGCTAACGGAGGGGGCAAATTGTAGGTTTTCTGCAACGTTGAGTATGTACTCATAAATGTCCCCAAAATCGGGTATGCACTCGTAAATAACCCTATAGGTTAGGGGGTTTACTGTAGTTTACCCTAAGAATTATTATGCCATCAGAAGTCATGCACGCCACTTCCGTCTCTTCTAACAGCATCATCACAGTTGAGAATGAGAGTTTGGATTGGTGGCTTAATCCACTTCACAGGTAGAGAAACAGAAGAATTACACGATTGCTCAACATTGTGTTTACACCTTCGACTTAGAGCACTATGAAGGATGATGGCATACCTTGGGCCCAAAGGCTAGAATCTTAGCTCAAGCTTAAATCCAAACACCATAGACTCAAGCCCAAGGCCATCTAAGGAGATTCCAATGCCGTTCTTCGGCCAACTGGACAAGTTCGTCGTAACAGTCAAGCTCGTCCAAGTGGGAAGATTCGGCCCAATGAGCTATTTCGGCCTGATAGGCAGAGTTACCCCAGCAAACTAGCGTGGCCTAAGAGGCAGGCTTGACCCAACTGTTAGGTCTCCTAAATAAGATCTAGTCTCGTCCCAATCCTTGGCCGAATCAACTACGACCTAGTCTTTTATTAGTAGACTCGGCCACGACCCAAATTACACCCTGTCCTCTAGCTAAAGGATAACATCTTCAAATGGCTTCATGTGGCCACCATCTTGGGAGATGAAAATAGGGTGACATATTGAGTGAAACATGGAATGGGCTTTTCTGGAAAACCGGCGTACCAAGGAGAACATGGAATGTGTTTTCTAGAAAATGGGAAGACTTTCCGCGTCAAAACAAGCACACATTTTGGAATCTATTAGTGAAGCTACAGGAAGTCATCATTAAGGATAAAACGACAAAGGCTATTCCTACTGACATCTGTCCAAAGTCCTTGACATCCTCTAATCAGATTAGGAGGGATAAAAATTCGACCTCGGCTGTGAACAGTACTCGGCCGAGGATAAGGTTATGACGTGCCCACTATTTATGGGTTGTCAGCCACTCAAGCCACTTGAAATAAACAAGTCTAGAGCTAGTTGTTCGAGGGACCTACCACTAAAAGAAGAAAGTAGATGTAGCCCCTCAGATCATGACTTCTACATTTTCAAGATTGATCTTCTCACTATAAATACAAGACCCTCAGCAACATTCAAAGGGTTCCCGACCAACCAAGCCTCCCACATAGCAAATTATCTTTACGTGTCATTTATCTTCCAGTCATGTATTTTCAATATCTTTAAATGCTTTTCTAGGAGTAGTGGTAAAGTTAATCATTCCATCCATCAATATATCATACGACCCTTGATTTTCAAGGCGCTAGAGCACCATCCCTATTACTTTTCCATCCACCCTATATATCATACATCCTCCGCAATTTAGCGAGGCGCTAGAGCACCATCCAGATCCATCGACTGTCTTCCACCATCAACCCCAATCAATGGCCTTATCGCTTTAAGCAAAGTCATATCCCAACAGGCTGTTCACCCGTTTTGATTTTAATCCTGTGAAGGTAGGGTAAAGTTCTCCATTGGCTTGACAACTATTGATGGTCAACAAGTCAACTTTCTTTTGTGCGTGAGTGTGCCACTGCTAGCAATTTCAAAACCCTAGCAGACTTCTAAAAAATAGATAACTTGCGCCCTAAGTTATTGACTTTTAAACAAGCAATTGTGAATTTGGGTGAGGAATATCTCCCAAGTAAGTTCTTTTCTTGCCTCAGACTGGTGAGGACTTTACAATTTTTCACAGTACAAAATTAGTAGTTCTGGCCAGAATAGATAAAAAGAAAGTAAAATGTTTTAGGCATAACTGCCTAGTACAGGACTCAAAAACGAAATGACAACTCCGAAACAAGACAACAAGATGTTGGACTTCGATTTCTTCCTGGATAACTGCCTCTGAATCGAGCTGGATGTGTCTGTGTTGGATTGGATTGTCAACACCTTCAACTGATAACTTTCAGCTAGAAATCGATACCAACGTTTGAGTTTGGCAGAGCTTCAATTTATTCTGGGCTATGGAAAGCTTGCTGAATGGGCAGAATTAAGGCCTCTTCAGTTTGGAGAGGGCAAAAGTGGCTGGATTAATGATCACTGAGCTGGAACTGGGCTATGGCGCCTGTTCTGCTTAACCAAGGCTTTCTATAAATTTGCTGAGGTTTTCATATTTGTAAAAAAAAACCCTAACTCTGCTTGACTTGACTTTGTGCTGAACCAAATTTGTAACGAGAGGAATCTCACTTTGTAAAACTGTTTCTCTAGGCTTGAACTGGAAACAGAGATTTGAGTTATAGCTGACTTGTTTCTTGTGGCTCAATGAGCTTTGGTTGCTTCAGTGTTTGAAGGCTTTTGAGATCAATGGATCTTTTTGAGTTTGTCAATTGTGACTTTGAGAGTTTTTGTCTTGATTGATTTTTTGGCTGTCCTCTATTTGTTCACCCTCTCTCTTATTTTATAGGAAATACTAGAGTGGGGTCTTTAATCTTTGAATAATGGGCAGCAAATCTTTCCAAAAAGGTCTTTCTTTTTCAATGCCACAAAAATGGGAAGTTATCTATTCTAGCAGAGAAAAACCATCATCAGTCTGTTCCCATGGTGGTCTTTTCCTTGCCTTTCCCAAAGAAGAAAATCAACTCCTTTTTCTCTCTGTTTGTTCCTTGTGAAGAAGGAAAGGCACAATCTGCCATGATGGTCAGTTTGCTTTTCCTATTGAACAACTCCTTTGCTCCCTACTTATCTCTTGAGAGCGTAGTCTGCTTATCTCTTGGAAAGGTCACCTGCTTTGGTGCAGAGTTTCTCTGTATATAAAAAGGGATTTTGATCTTTTTGGCTGCATAAATTTTGGAGCAGTCTTCCTTTTATACCTGCCTTCATTAACTCTCTATCAACCCCTCTGTGATAGTTGAAATTTTTGACTTTTCAAAGTCAGGTAGTCACGTGGGGCTCTTCTGAGAAAACAGTTTTTTAGTAAGAAAAGATATGCTGACTTGCTTTTGAGATCAAGTGGCGAGAATTCTTAAGAAGCTGAGTTTAATCCAATTTCTTAGAGGTTTTAGACCTGCTTGGTGATGAATTACCATTTAATTGGCAATTTTATTAGTTTATTTACTTATTATTTCTGTGTTTTTAAACCTCTGCCACTTTTGCAAAAGACATGGGCCTCTAATGTTGTTTGGGCTGCTTTCCTTTTCTTCAAAACCCACTACTGTTCATTTATCATGGTTTTGAGAAATTCTGGGCTGGGCTCGCAGAATTTCGAGAAATTAGTTAGGGCTGCTATTCAGTTTCTTTTAAACATTAGTCTCAAGCTGTGCTCATGTTTGTGGGCTGCATAAATGGGCTAGGCTTGCAGAATTTAGGCCCAAACACAAGCGTACTCAATCCATCCATCCATCCATCCACATCATCTTCAAATGAACGTTAGACAGTACTGGCACGCCCTCGCACACCCATCAAATAGAAAGTAGGACGACCTGTGTTGGCGCATATCCCTTCGACCTGGAGCACCAGGTTATAAGATTTTGCGCAACCAACACATTGGCTTTGAAAAGAGCATGCATCTCCAGAATGCTCTCCACATTCACATCCATTTGTGGTTCACTCCTCCATGCAATAAATCATTGTGAAGCTTCCAAACATGCTAAGCTTCACAAGAAAACGTCTCTAACTCAACTTGCGACAATACCTTCCCCTCCAAAGCAAATAAATATGAAAAAGAGCCTCTTTCAACATTGAGCCGTCGTGCCAAGTTCGATCGTTCCCAATATTTTTTACTATTATCATCATTCAAAAGGATAACCTTACATGAGGGTGGACTTTCCCAACTTTTCTCTCTGCCCTTTCTCTTGCATTTTGGTTTGCACCCTCTCTGTTTGAGAGTTTCCTCACCTTCTGTTGGTGGTTTTTCTTGGGTTTTATGCTCATTTTGGTGGTTCTTATCCATCCTTTTCCATAGCCAGTGTTGTTTTCCTCTTTTTTCCCCATCTCCTTTTCCTTTCCTTGTCCCAAAACCCTGATCTTGCATTACTCCCTACTCGGCTTGAATTCTCGCAACCTCTTTCACTTTACTGTGTTGTCCTCTTCAGATCCATGGCTCCATGTTCGCATATGTTGGAGTGTGATTTTGGAATATCCTTAAAGCGCTTTTGTCACTTATTGGTCGCTGGAAGCTGTGTACATCCTCCCCATATTGCTCTCCTAGTTCCTATGTTCTTCTTTGTTTTTGGTGTTATCTTGATGGTGGAGTTGCTAGGCACCTTCGGTGTTGGTGCAAATTTGGGGTTCTCCTTCCATGTGGTGGCGGCTAGGGTTTCTTTATGTTCGTTTGTTATTTTGTTGGCCCTAGTTTGTTTGTTTTGTTGGGCTTTTGTTTGTTCTGGCATGGGATTTTCTTACTTTTTTCATTTTGTTGGATGTTGTTTATTGTGTGTGGTTGGGCCTTTTTGCTATGGGATTCTGTTTGTGATCCTACATGATTGGGCTATCTACCATAATTTCCTTATCTAATGAAATTTATGTTGACCAAAAAAATATTTGTTTACTATTTTTACAACTCCACAGTTCATGGCATACATCCTCAACATCGAGCCCACACCTCACACATACTTGGGACTGAATTATTCGCTACTTAAACAAATTAACAGCAGCTGGCATCACCTCCGAACAAGCCCTCTAGATTAGTAATTTTATTTTATTTGGGACTGCAAGCTTCCAAATACACTTCTAGAAACCCTGCCTCACACTCGAATCAGATCCCCTCATTCCAACCTTGCTTCACACTATTGAAGAGCCACTTGATATTATGTCTTTATTGAATACTTCCCATTTTTCAGAAGAAAAAAAACCAAAATTTGCTATCCTCCAGGTATGCCAAAAGGCCAAGAGCAATGCTAGCAATCGCATCCTTATCTTCTACACAAAAAAAACTTGTCTAGTAAACCCAAGTCCCTTCCACCAGAAGGCGTTAAAGGGTTCGACACATGAGCATCTCAATTTAAACTGCGGTTCAACCAAGGTTTGAAAGTAAAAGACCGAGGAATCCACTTATCTTGAAACACCTCTATGGCTCTACTAGACCCCACCCTCCAAACTAAACCATCGTCCAGCACCTCCCAGCCCCACAATATAGCCTTCCAAATTGCTAATGGAGCACTCCCTGTCGTGCCTACATGAAATCCTCATTGGGGGAAGTTCCGAGCTTTTCGAATCCATGTCACCAAGGAAGTAGGATGTTCTAAAATTTGCCATGCTTGTTTCGCCACCATCACCTTGTTGAAAGCTTCAAAATTCTTAAAATTGAGTCCTCCATACACTTAGATTGACATAGTTTCTGCCATCTCATCTAATGAATTCCTTTCCTCCCAGCTTTTCCCCACCAAAACCGGGCAATCATGGCTGACAGTTCCTGCCACAAATCATGGGGCAACTTAAATACTCCCATGGTATACATAGGAAGAGCCTACCCAACTGCCTTGATCAACACTTCTTTTCCTGCAACAGATAATAACTTCGTGTTCCAAGCATTTAATTTTTCCACAACTGTTCCCTCACCTGATTAAACATATGAGATTTGTTCCTCTTGGAAATCGTAGGCAACCAAGGTAACTATCATGACAATTCACTATCCGCACCCTAATAAAATTGGAAATCAATTGCTTCATAATAGGATTAGTGTTAGAACTAAAACACGACGTTGACTTGTCAAAATTGATTTTCTGCCCTGAAGCCCTCTCATACAATCGAAGAATGTGAAGCAGGTGAGAACACTCAAACAAGTGAGCATTACAAAACAATAAACTGTCATCAGCAAAAAAATAAATGAGATAAGGTGGGAGCTCCTTAAGCTATAGACATGCCCCTGATTTGTTTGGTTCTTAGTACACTAGATAGAAGCGCAGATAAACCCTCAACACAAATTAAAAATAAATACGGAGAGAGTGGATCCCCCATCCCAGATACCATTCCCCGCACCTAAACAGATTAAGTCATCGTAGAGATACAATCCATAATGTGTGCAACCCATTGGTCATTGAAACCCAACCTCAACAACATCGCATCTAAAAAAGACAACTCAACTTTATCATAAGCTTTGGACATATCCAAGTTTAATATGATAAAACAAAGCTGTCATGCCATCCACCCTTGGAGCTTTTGTAGGAAACATTTGACCCAGTGCATTTTCAATCTACACCCTAGTAAACAGTCCGTGAGGTATGGCATTCTGTTCAGAAGTTACTACATCGCTAATACCTTCGCTGGACGAACACCACACCCCTTGCGCATCAAAAACTCCTTTAATCAAATTTCAACATCCCCTAGACTTTGCATGTTCATGGAAAAATTTGGTATTTTTGTCACCAAATTTCAACCAAGAAATCTGCAATCTTTGGCGCCACATCATCTCTTTCCTTTCTAAAAAAACCATCCATTTCCTTTGTTAAAAAATCTCTTTCCTACTTCACATATGCTGTACAATTCCTTTCCTAGAGATCATCAAGTTTACGTCGTAAAATTTTAACTTTAACAGAGATATTCCCCACATGTTCTTTGTTCTAGACTTGCAAAGAATGTTGACAAGCTTTAAGTCAGAATCCGAATCCCACGCGTGAGTAATAGTATCTTGACACCCCAGAAGGTGGTGCACATCTCCTCAAAAAAGAATCCCCTATGTCCCTTCTCCCATCTAGGTTGGTTAAACTCTAGTAAAATAGGTAAATGGTCTAACACCTAAGAATTTAGGTGTTGAGTGTAAGCATCCGGATGAGCCTTCGGCAACTCATCATTGGCCACCGTTCTATCCAAGTGGGTTTGGACCTTACCTTCCCCTTACGGCTGATTTGTCAAGGTATACTCGTATCCTTTGAAATGAAGAGACAACAAACCACAATCATCTAGAGTCTCTCGAAAATCTCGCATTTGTGCCATAGGTCAATAGCGACGCCCAAGATACTCATAAGCCTCAACAATTTCATTGAAATTGGTCCAGACACCGTGCCTGCAATTTGATGCAACAACTGCCATAAATGCCGCCGAAAGCTTCGTATTTGGATTACCATGAAACCCAGTGAATCGAAAGTATCCCATAACATGGTCCCTCAATACAGCATTAATATGAACTGGAGATGAAGAAAGAACTTGAACCTTTAAGCCATGATGCCAAAGTAAAGCTAAACCTCCAGCCAACCCTTCTTTGCACCACACTGTAACTCCCCACTAAACCCAACTGACGTTGAATCATCTTCATTTGAAGTGCTGTCTTTTTAATCTCTGACAAAAAGATAACATGAGGCTTTTTATCTCTGAGAAGAGCTTGAAATGTTCATGTATTGCTCAAACCATGAACATTCCAACATAAAAGTGTCATTTCTCGTGATGGGCCCAATTCCCAAGACCCATCACGGATTGGCCAACCTTGCTCACTGAATGAACCAAACTCCTCCCAATACCTTTGTTCGACAAAACCCCCTTCCTAGGGTCTTTCTCTTTTTTAGGGCTGCTTCTAGAACGAGCTTTGCCCACTCTAAAACCACGCCCTATCCCTTTAGCTTTTGCCCCCGGGGAAACATTCCCATACAGAATCGGCACCTCCTCCAAAGCAATATGTTTTCCTTTGTTGAATTCGCCAATCCCATCACTAATGTGAGTAACCTCGGCCTCAACCAAAGAGTCATTGCCCTGAACCTCACCAGACTTCTCAAGCCCAATATCCAGGCTAGAAGGGTTATCCAAACCTGGTGCACATGAGTAATCCACCCTTTTCCTTTTAAAAAGACTCACTAAAGGGCTTTCAGCCCCTCGCTCCACTTTCACCTCCATATCATCCTTCTGTCCACCTTGCCCATCAAAGGCCTCCGCAAGCTGACGGAACACTACACAACCTTAGTTGAGGGTTGTGGAATCTCCTGTTGCCTAGGCAAATTACCCAGCAGCACAAAACACTTGTTTGTCAAATATCCACTCGAATGTAAAAAAAACATATTTTATCATCGTTTTCCACCGACAATATTGCTCAACAGCTATAGTTCCAGATAGCTTTACCTTATAGTGCGAACCCACGTGATCAAGCTTCCCACAAAAGAGAGAGAAAATTGGTATCCGTTCATATTCAATCTCATACTGCTTCGTTGGTTCCTTAACCGCAAGTCTGAGCATCACACATCGTTTCAATGTCTCCAAAACGTTCAACCCCACTCTGATGCGTAGGAAGCTACCAAGGCAATCCCCATTAAGACCTCGATCCACCATAAAGAAAGTTCCCAAATAGTTGCCTATTTTTTTGCCCATCACCGGCATTAGAAAAAGCAGAGGAATACGTCTCACCTTAACCAAGTAACTTTGGGTATCTAAAGGGAGCGACATAGGATCCATACTTGCATCCATTGCCACCAAGAGAAGCAAAGCACGATCAAAAGTCCACAGAGAACCCTAATCACTTTCTTTCTATCAAAGTCCGACTTGAAAGAGAATAGAAATCTCATTGGACCATCTAGGGGAACCTCTGTGAACTCCTCTCATGTGTACCAAATTGCCTTCATTGTTCCTATTAAGGCCTTCTCATGAAAATCCTTCACCGTAAGAAGCCTTCCCACCAGAAAAAAACGATAAGCCTTCAACCCTCTTAACTCTTCCACGCCGACCACCTCAACGGCTTCAGCCTCCGAGATTGTGAGAGAAGAAGAAATCCTAGAGACAATATCATCAATCGTGGCCATCACCCACTGAAGATTTCCCCCCACGGTACCAATAAAACGACAAAACCCTAGCTGGAAACAACCCAAACTTTGAGCCCTTCCACACATGAATTGACTGAAGCTCTCTCTGCTTGCCACTCAACTATCAAGCTTGCAGAAACCCTAGTCGTATGATTGGAGTCGCCAAAAAACCCCTAACCTTAGCCAGAAAGGACTAATCAAATTCTTTTAGTGGTTACAGAAAGCCAATTTATGGCTCTAATGATCAAAATTCCAGCAAAAAGTCAATCTATGGTTCTAAAGTCTGAACTATGATAAGAAACCAATTTATGGTTATACTTCTGGATATACAGCAAATGGGCTACATAATAATTCATGCAAAAAATATGTTGAGCCAAATTATGGTTCCGAAAAATACAATGAAGAAAAGTCTAAAGTCAATTCCGAGTTTCGTAAAAACCTTTTGATGCCATGTCCCAACTATCCTAAAAAAAATCCAAAAAGTGCTAGAATTGCATGTGAATTTTTGCCGAGTATTCGACATCAATCAAACCATCCAAAATTCACAAGCTTTTTTGCAATTAATCAAATCAGAACATCATTACTTCAAGGTGACCATAACTGCATTCATCGATCTTTGTAAATAATAAAATCTTGTATAATGCTTGAAAGTCAATTTTCTTTGTAAAAGGAACTTTGAAATTTTTTTGCAATGGCTCTATAGAAATCCTACCAAAAAACCTTGATGCATATATGCGATATGAATAGTGACATTGAAAAATGGGTGTTCGGATTTGAAAGCCTTAGCTCTTGAAGAGCTAGTTTATCCATTTTTAGGGGAATCAACTTTGCATCTTGAAGAATATAATGAGAAATTAATGGTTAGAGCTGAGCAAAAAACACAATGTAAACATAATAAAAGATTATTGTGTAACTTTTGATTCTGATTTGGACTCGTGGGAGCAAAAATTACTCCCCAAGAAATCAATCCACTAACACCATGAACTTGGGAAAATGGAGCTACAATCAAGAAACATGTCCTCTATCCGTCATCATACATGAATCAAAGGCTAACATGTCTTATGCCCATGATCAAAGGCTAGCATGTTTCATGCCACATGCCAAAACCCACATGATCACCCACTACCATGCCCATGATGGAATGATTGTGGATAATGGAGAAAACCATGGAACATGAAACTTGGAGCCCAAGACTTGGAAGCCTATAAAAGGCCAATTAACCCACCAACCTAAAGTGGACCTACAGAGGCGCAATGAGGTACAATTGCACCTCCCCTCGCCAGGGCAAGCGTTGCCGATGTCGGAATATTTCCTCTTCGCTCAGGCAGCTGCTCACGCCACCTATGAATTATGAATGGCACTGGTATTGTTTAAATTATAAGGATATTTGGTTATCAATTTTTTTTAAAAGCTTTTAGCCTTTTAAAATTGCACTTCCACCAAAAAATTCCTTGGTCGTCAGTGCCACCAACCTAAAGAAAGGTTAAAAGACATGTTCGATATGACTCTTACACAATTAGACTCCTACTGACTTGAGTGTCAGAGTGTTTTCCTGTAGGTACCCCCTCCTCCCTCATTGGTGGCAATTGAAATTATGTCTAGCTTCTCAACATGAAATACAAGATTACTTGTTGGAGAACGCAAAATTTTCTTCTCTAGCAAGTAATTTTCTAATATGTACTCTTCTTCGTATTTCCTAAAGGTCTAGACTTAACTAATCATATTAGGATAAGTAGAATTTGTGAGATTCTCGAAGAAAAAGTAAGATTTGATGCTTCTTACTCTATCTATGTAGTAAAAGTTAGAGTTTCCTACTTTAACTAGGAATTCCATGTCATTGTTACCATGTTCACTTATCAGTTATCATTGAAAGGAAAATCATAATCAACTAATGACAAGAAAAGAAAGAGGAAAGTCGTTGTCTTCTAGAAAAAGAAAATAGAAATCAGTTTTGAAGTAGGGAATCTAGTCCCACGTGCATAAAGTTCCTTCCCATAAAAACCCACAATTTGTAGCACAATTTAACATAAAAATTTAAAATGAAAAAGGCCTCTCACGTACTTATCTCTTAATGATTCAAGCAAGCCCTCAAAGAAGAGTTGTTTGTGTCAAACAAAGTAGGGTAAATATTCAATTATGCTCGTATATGCTCAGATTGTATTCTTCTCCAATATGGAGGTATTTATAAAGAAGTGCAAAGATGTGTTAGCCCTAAATAAAATAGAAAATAAATCTAAATTACAATAGAAAATAAATCTCAATCACAATATGACTAAATAAATGGGAAAGTAAACAAAAACCTAATTAAGTAAGGAACCAAAATCCTAAATAAGTAAGGACTCGCCAACAGTTTGCCCCACCAATTTGTCTAGGCCTTGGACTTTCTGGTTCGTCTACATTTTGCATTTAGTTTATTGTTGTTAGATATATGCCCTAGAAGCCAATATAAAATGGATAATTCTAAGTAAATAATATATAATAATCAAAGGGATAAGAACGTTACTTTAGATACATAACGTACACAAAGTAACAAGTCCATGGATTAAGATATAAATGGAAAGTGGTCTAAAAAATTTAGATGCACGAGACCTTTCCATACATATAAATATCGCATCCTAAAATGTTCCTAGTCATAAGATCACCAATTGGACAATGGTGACCCACGAAAACTGGTACACATTATGTCTGCTCAATTGGTAGGATGACTAGTCTCAAGCCATTCGTGTAGAGACACTGAGACAGATGTCTAGATGCTCTATAGAAGATGGAGTCCACTAAACGCGATCAACTCTAGAATTCTTGCATGGAAGTCTTACTCACAAGTGTCAAACAAAGAATTCTAAGTTGTGATAATGCAAATTAATCTTTAGACTTGAGACATCATAGTTGTCTTGTGTATATGTTGTTTCTCTTTGAAAGCACTATACGGTCGTATCAAAATGATGTGACTTAAATGTGTTCATTAGGATTCTCAGCGTGTATGCAGAGACAGGTGAATGTACAACAAGGGATCTATGTTCTTAGTAAGAAGATAGAATACTCTAAAGATATGACTCGTGAATTTTTGGCCAAAGTACTGGATGGAAATTGAAACAAGAACGTTTGCAATTTCATCAAATTGAATCATATAATCTAGAGATGTCATATTATGGATTTTGACACAAGTTCACCATATCTTGAGAATATGACATAGAGAAGGATCAAATTGCATTGTAATCACAAACTGACTAGGTTTTCTAAATGAATTCTTTCTAGTTTGGGTAGCCATGACATACTGCTAGGTATCACTCATGACTTGTGGAAGCCGTGTAAGGACTAATTATAATTAGCCTATGCCAATAGGAAGAATTGTATGGAGGGATGCAGCTCACACTTGATTCAGAGTGAATCATTCATACCCACTGCGTTGCTAATTAGAACTTATAAGATTGCATACCAAAAAGGAATCGATTGGGAAATTATGAAGAGAATGAATGATTTTGTGACTTGGTCAAAGTCAATGTGAAAGTCAAAGGTCAAAGTCAAAAGTCAAACCATTATCCCGACACTTGACATGGTCACTAGAGTAATTAAATTGATTAGATTAGTTTAATTTTTCAATTAAATTTAAGAAACTTTAGTTAAAGGTCCCACATGACTTGAAAATTCAAAATGGATTTGACCATATAGACTTACGCACATATGTGACACATTACAGGATTACTGTGTTGGACCAAGATAGCAAAAGATGACACACAAAAGGGGGGGGGGGGGGGGGGGGGTTGGGTGTGTGTGCTACACTAGGGTTTGGGGGCATTTTTGTCACTCTTGTGACATTTTTTATCCTATAATTGTGTAGCTATGGAATCCTATCATCCTAGGGTTTTCAAGTTGGTGAAATTGGAAGAGAGAAAATATCAAACTCTCTCTCCCTAACCCCTTCAATCTATCACATCAAGTAAGGGTGCTAGCACCACTCTTCACTTGTTGTCTACTCATTTTCTCATCCTATTCAGTCCTTGGTGAAGAGCTTTGGGGAGGTGCATATCTTTGTACCTATTTGGAGAGCTACAAGGTGGAGAATCAACATCAAAGGGAGAGCCAACAAAAAAGGGACCACTCCCTCTACTTGAACACCATTCTTGGTTTCAAGATTCGCTCCAAGAGTATGAACATCTTATCTTTCTCTCAAATAGGATTTAGAGAGTCTTTGGTGCACACTTTCATAGACTTATAAAGATTGGGACCAAGTGAGACTTCCATGAATCCCTAGTTTATTTAATGCTTCCGTTCTTACTTTGATTTCATATTAGATATGGCTTGCTAGGTGATTTATACTCTCAAAGTTTGGTTGTGGAGTTTTTAGAAATCTCTACACAACACCATTCCCACAATATTCCCTTCAATTGTATTGTTTATCATCACTATGTTTAGCTAAACTTCTTTGCTAAGACTACGGTGGTATTCCCTAAATTAAGGATTCATGGTTTTGAGATGCTAAGTTATTGGTTTCAAGTTGTTATCATCATTGTTTTAGCTCATACTATTCATCAATTTCGATTGATTTATCACCTTAAGGGTTTGCATCTATTTTATTTAATGTGTTGTGTGTGATGGACCAATAATTTCATACTTCAGTTAGCTTCTTATTAAGAATTGTGATTGCACATTACTAGTCTAATTATTGTGTTTCACGTGATTCCTTTGTTTTCACTAAGCTGAGCTTAATGGATTTCTAGTATTAGAGTTATCTTGAGCATAGGTGATTCACATATAGAAATACTTCAACTTGACGGCACCAATAAGTTAGGAGCTCATACTTAAGGAAAACTCGGCACTTGTCCGGGACCAATAAGGCTTGTGTGTAGAATCATTGAAATTTGACTTGTTTATATGTAACTTGCACCTAAGAACTTGGATAAGAGAATTAGTGGTTGAGTTTGGTACCCTAGTAATCATCATACTATACTTGGAACCATAACTTTAACGATTGCTTTGCTTTCTTGTTTTGTCATACATTTTGTTCTTGTTTGATTACTTTGTTTTGAAAAAAAAAAGTAATCAAACAAGAACAAAATGAATTCATTTCATATGAGAGGTAAAGAGCCAGTGAGATAAGAGAGGAAAATAGGGAGAGATGGGAGAGAAAGAGAGTTGAGAAGAGAGGGGTTTGAGTTGCAGGGGAGGAGGACATGAAGGAGGGGGCATAGGTAAAAAAAAATATTTTTTCAAAGTCTTGAAGGGGTGACAGGTGTCACTTTTTAATTTGTTAGGGATACTGATGTGGAAAGCTTACCATGGCATCCCCATGCCAAGCAAGTTTTTCTACATGGGATTGACCTCATGCTTGCATTAAGCTATACAATTACTGATTCATGCACTTGCAATTAATTAAATTAGCTTTTAATTTATCTAATATCTAGGTTGAGTTAACAATAATTTAAGGAATCAATTTCTAAAAACTAGTTGTCCAACTAGTTAATAGATTTTTTTTTTCCAAATGTTAGGGAGATTGCATTTATAAATTACGCCATAAGCGCAGTACAAATACAAAAGCCTCAAGGGTTAGAACAAACGCCCTCGAAGGGATACACCAAACACATACGGAGAGATCTAATCACATCATCAAACTTATATCGTACACCTCCACTTAAAGCCACGCAGGGCCACAGATAGTCGGCTTAATCGTCTCAAATCTGTAATAACCAAGTACATCACCCATAAAGCAACTTTCAAATCCCAATTCTCCCGAAGAGAAACCATAACCACACATCAAACTCAACAGAGTTGATGCACTTATTGAACCAAAACATAAACTGAAAACCAATAACAACCAACCCTAGCTCATGACTATGGCTTGAAAGAAGGCAGACCCGAAAATAAGACCCATAAAGCCGCCATTGTTGGTGCCGTTGATGTCGCTGCTACCGTCATTGTTACAGCCAAACCTTACCTAAAAGAAGAACACACAAAAAAGACCCCAACAAATCCACGATCCAAACAGATCTAAAATCCACCCCCTAAACATATCTGGGTACATATCTAAACTCCCTATGCCCTAAACTCCACATTCTCCACAATCCAATCAAGCTTTCCCCATAAGGAAAGCAGCAAGCTAAGAGAGGGAGAGATTGAGAAAGGAAAGAAGAGGAGGAGGAGTGGCCTCTTCCCCTTCCCCCTATCACGGCGTGCTTGAAGAGAGAGGAAAAGGGAGGGTTTGAGATAAGAGAGAGAGAGAGACGAAAGGTCTAGGGTTTTTAATTCTTTTTTTTTTTTGCTACTAGTTAATAGATTCATTATTACATATTAACAATACAATTTCGATATAAATATTAATAAACATTTTCTCCCTCTAAATACCCACATCAGATCCTCTGTCCATGTTTTTGTGTGTCCCTTTCTATTCCTGCCATAAGTTTTTGACACTTGGCATCCCACTTAACCCTACTTTAACAGAGTTATTCCTACTCTAACTCTATTTTTTTTCTTGTGTTCCCCCCTTCTCTCTCTCCTCTTTCTTTTATTCTTCTTCTTTCTCTTCGCCAATTTTCTTCTTCCTCTTTGTTTCCTTATCTCTCTTTTTCCTACCCTTCTCTCTCTTCTTTCTTTCTTTTTTCTTCTTCTTTCCACTAATACTCAAGAAAACTGGCGAGAGAAAAAAAAAAAAAAAGAGAGAGAGAGAGAGGGAAAACATACGAAAATAAAGAGATAACATAGTTAGGGTTTAGAGTTTAGGAATAAAATTGTTAAAGTATGGTTAAGTGAGATGCCAGGTGTCAAAAAAGTAAGGCAGGGACAAGAAAGGACACACAAAAACATGAACAGAGAATCTAAAGTGCTAATACCATAGAGTGATAATTAGTTATACACATGATTGTTATTTGTTTAATCATTGGCCACATTAATGAAACCCTATTTAATATTTGATCATTATTTGTAAACCGTTGACGAGTTTTAATATAAATCGCGAACAACACAAAATGCTTAAAAGAGGAAAAAAAAACTTTAATTATGGGATACATAAATGAACTCGACCCTCAAAATTGACATATACACATTGCCTTTTGTCAACAGTTGACCGTTATATTCAAAAAATGATATTTTTCGACAAAAAGAGAAAACCCTAAGAGAGAGAAGTTTTAGTTACCGTAGAATACCTTAGGAGAGAAAAGTTTCAGCCATCGGTCCCCTTGGGTGTTGTCAGTGGTGTCCATCCCTCTCCTCCTCCCCTCGTTACCCTCCTAGCGACCTTCCACTCCCCTCTCCACTTATGTTCCTCACTCATCCCCTCCAACGCTTTTGTCTTGGCTGAGTTTGGTGGCTATTTGGCTGTCTTTGGAGACGACGTGGTGGCATATCTTTTATTTAATTGTTTTGTGTTGCACTTTTGTGTTATAACAAGTGCATCAACTCCTTTTGAGTTTAGGGTTTAGGGAATTAAAAGGTTGTTGTTGCAGTTGTCGTTTGGTGCACTAATGTGTATGTTCGGTTTTTTCAAGCTTGCAATATTTTTGCCATAATTTCTTAGGCCATGTGTGGTCACAAGTGGAGGTACACCTTGTGTGCTTGCTGTTGATGATAGAGTCCTTCGTACTTGGTTTAACCCTTTATGGTTACTATGCTTTTGTATTTATATTAACTTTTTATTGTTATTTCTATTTGTATTGGCCCTTAGAATTGTTGGTCTTTAGACATGAATTATGAATGTAATTTATTGCATTTCTCTAAAAAAATAAATAAAAAATTAAGAAAAACACAGTTGACCGTTATTCGTTAACCATTAACATCTAGCCCTTATTTAATATGAATTTCGAGGAGAAAAAATTACTAAAGCAACAAAAAGGATATATATAATGAAGCGTTAATGAACTTTGTACTCCGAAAAAGTCCATATATAATATAATCATGGGATACATTAATGTTCTTTACACCCCCTAAAAATACATCCATTTACAAAACCTTATTTTAACACTTGAGTGTTTTATAAATTGATACATGTACTCGTGTAACTTCAAGAACAACTATACTTGTTGGTAGGGTTAACAGGCCTGAGATTTGGAGTTATCTACCTAAAGGGTTCCTATAAGCTTAATGTTGATGGAGCTATTGACAACAGTACATATTTGGATAGTATAGGTGCAGTGGATCTATAGAGGAAGTTTAATTGTTGCAGATGCTTGTTGTTCCCCTTTTCTCATAAAAACTGATTCTTCTGAAGCAGCCATGATGGTTAATTCTGGGGAGACTATTTGGGCTGATGCGAGAGACTTGCTTATGCATTTTTCTTTGAAGGAAGTCCAATTTCAACCTAGGGAGGGTAACAAAATGGCTCATACTCTTGCATGCTTCGCTTTACACGAGCACAATCCTTATTACTGGTTAGAACAAGGCTCGGAGTGGCTAATTAATTGTCTTACTAATGACCTTATTATTATAACCAATTCTTCATGGTACTAATGAAATTACTCTCTTTTGATAAAAATAAAAATACAATCTTTGCGTCCCTCAAACAATACCTTCATTTAAAACCCAACGTTAATAGTTGATAGTCATATCCTTTTATACATGTATGCCATACATTAACGAATTTTGCTGAGTCTGTTATATTAAAATACACTATCTATCTAAGAATGCACTTGCAATTTGTGGTCTCATTCAATAACGATAACTAAACACGAAACTCTAGATTGTAAAGTGTTTTCCTTTGCAATTGTGGATTCAAAAAATGATTTGTTAGTAGTGAGTATAGTTCGCTGCTCATGAATTTAATCTTCTTGTTTTCAATTAAGTTTGTTGCTTCATACCTTACTTTCAGATTTCTTTACATCAGATTGGAAGGGACTACTAAGAAGCTACAGTTTATAAGTTTAAGTTAGGCCTAAGAGAAACCAAACCACAGGATAAGCCCACTTGATAGTTACTGTTGGATTAATTGCCACAGGAAAAATAATTACTCTGTGGGTGGGGAGGATTTAGATTATAAATCACACATAAAATGCAAGTCATTTTGGTAATTTCAAGGTTAGTAGGTATGAACCCATTTGGAGGTTGGTGGATGAGCTGATTTGGAAATCATGCAAATTAGCCAAAAAATATGGTGTCCAAGGCAACTGTATTTTAACTGGATTTGGGAGAATAAATGCTGTTACTCCATATATGCATATGTAGTTGAAAATATGACTCATATATTGTTTTCACTTTCCTTTAATTTTCTACACCACCTTTTCAGAATTGGAAAAATAAATAAAAAAGCTTTGAAATGGTTGTATTGCCAGACACCTCCTTGCTCATGTTCATGATTCTTAAGAAATCATGTCTGTTCTCCCAAAAACAAAATGGGACATTTTCTCTTCCTTATAAATCTAAAGCCTTTCTCCCTTTCCAGACCATGTACATTTGAGCTCTTACCTCCATTGTTTTAGCTTTGATACCCCTTTTCTCCCTTCTTTGGTCCTCACAACTCTCTCTCTCTCTCTCTCTCTCTCTCTCAAGATGTCTAGCTCCTCAAACAACAACATTTTACTACCACTTTCCGTCCTTGATGAGCTGGCACTTGTGGTTTCGCAGTATATACCTTCACTAGATTTTGGCATAGATTTTAACAATTTGCCCGAGGATGTTTTGGCCACTGGGCAAGCCCAGCCACTGGCCGCTTATCCAAACCCTAGCGCACTAGAAAGCTCTAGTGCTCAAATTAATGAGGAGTTGCACAACCAACTCTTCAAAAGCCTGAAAGAAAGTGTTGCTGTAAGTTTGTTTCTTGTATGATAATGTGGTTAACTTGATTACCATATCCAGACCTCTTTAATTTTTATTTTTTTTTCCTTTTTTCAGGAAGTTACGTCGGCATTAAAATCCCAGTCTTTTGAGCAACCACAACCATATACTCAAAGGCCAATCATACTCGCAGATGCGCCGGTTATGATCCAATATATAGATCTATAATATATATATATATATATGTATAGGTTTCAATAGCCATGTAATTTATCTTGCGCAGTACTCACGAAGTTTGCTTTTTTATTTCAAGTTACAGGAAGCATCTAGAAGGTCACGAGGGCCCACCACTCCTGCTGGTCAATTAACTGCAGTGTGTTTCAAACTGCCGGAAGCTTTTTATAGGAATGATATTGACGTTGAGAAGGTATATACAGCTTCCATACATAAAAACAGTGGCCAGGAGCCATGGCATGCATTGATATATCTTTATACATATACACTGTAGTCATATAACAATGATGAAACACAGAGGATTTACAGAGAAACTCACAGAGGCAAACACAATATGGAATTTGAGAAGGATCGTACAAGAAAACATAATTAATACGTACTGACATTCATGACAAATGATGAGATAACTAAAAGCACTATACATGTCTAATAATACCTAAAAACCACCATTATTCGTGCCCCTTTAACTATTAGGCACTAATTAATAGTGCATTTAGCCATCCTCATTCTGTGCCACAGATGTCAGTGACTATAATGTTGTTTTCACGTAGTATTTCTTACATGTTGATGAATTACAAGAGAGTTAAGAGTATTTATATTGCTAATAAATCGTTGCTTAACTAAATTTTTTTGAATGTGGTTGCCTACAGTTGGTGCCCCCAGAGGCAAACCAGAATCCAAATACTCAGATCGAACGCAAGTTCTCTTTCTTTCAAAGACTTGGAGGCTGGAGTATTGAGCGGAAATGGAGATCTAATGGAAAAAATTCTGACATGGTAATTTGACTAGTTGATTTGTCGTTCAGATATCATGCCTAAACTCAATCTTATAGAACATATTCAAATCCGACGATCAATTTATCCATATATGAAGTCAGTTTATGGGGTTTTGGAAACCTTAATTAGTTCATAAATGTTCCTAAAGCCCCTACTACATTGTCAATGGCAAATTTGCCCAGTTGCAGTTTTATTTTGATGTGATTATAGAAACCCTAGTTCTTTCATTTTTCCTAAAGACTGAAAATATTACTTGTTCATATCTTAAAAATCTAGAAAAATAAAATCATACATATGACCTTGTATATTATCTAAAGATACTGAAATGATTTATGCAGTATTACCGGCAGGAAGGAGCAAAATCGACCTTCCGATCTGTTGGTGAAGTCGTCAGATATATAATGTACGAAGAAGACCCAGCCACGAATAAAGGAAAAGAACAGGAACAAGTGAGTTAATTTGATCAAACAGTTAAAACATAGATACTTTTTGTTTTATTTGTATTGAATATAACACTACTCAAATTAAGAACTCAAATACTTATTTAAGTTCGTAATATTATGCAACATTTGCTAATTTTGTTCATCGGCAGGGCGAAGATGGGTCTGAGATTAAGAGAAGTCGAAAGAGGAACTTTAATCATTATATGACAGCGGAGTTAGTGCAGTCCTAATGTCTCATCCAAGAAATATGGAAATTGGCGGCCCCAGTCACGTGATGAATTGTGATGATTTCACCATTGATGATGTTGAAATCATCGGTGATGATGAACGCTATTATCTTCATCAGAATGCTCTTGATCAAGAGGGGCGGGCCAATGCACGCTTCACTACTGATAATGGTCCAACGGTTGCAGATGATCAAAGCTATTATCTCGATGATGAGATGTATGCGATCATCAGGGATCTAAATCCTCATTGGGTCGATGAGAATCTAATGCTTGAGGCGGCTTTGGCTGTCTCGAACAGAAGAAGAGAAGATGTAATTAATGTATAATGAGTTCTAAGCATGTTGGATTTTCGTTCTTTTTTTTTGTTTCAGTTTTTGAAGAGTTATTATCAAATTTCTTTTGAAAATATTCTTCTTGTTAATTTAAATTTTATGCCGTCAACAGTCAATCATATTTTACTCATCTGATGATCGACTCAGGTATATGTGCACTTAGCCAATGTCTTGGCAGAGTGCTCAAGTTTCATATTCTTCAGGAAAAAATGAAGTATAGTGAAGAAGTTTATTCGATTAATTTTAATTTAGAGAATAATTGAGAGTGATGATAAAACTTAAGATTTTTCTTATAAATTTTATTGCCCTGGTTCGATAGGGGATTTAATTTGTTGATGAACTGAAATTTTTAGGGCCCGTTTGATAACTATTTCAATTTTATTTTTTATTTTTTATTTTTTATGTTTTGTGCTAGAGTATGTAGGATAAAGAGGGAAAGAATGGAAGTGAGATGATAGTGGAGATGAGATTGAGAGGGAAGGATGGGAGGGAGGAGTAACAAAAGTGAAAATAAAAATAAAAACCTGAAATCTATTTGAAATTGTTTACACTTTCAAGTTTTTATTTTCACCTTTGTTCTCCTCCCTCCCATCCTCCCCTCTCATCCTGTCTCACAATCTCATCCTCACTTCCATTTTCGTCTATACTCTAGCGCAAAAAATGAAAACTAAGAACTAAAATTGAAATGATTATCAAACAGGACCTAATTATTCAATGAGTGAAAAAGTATAACTGCTTGGGATGATTAGGTTCTACGTTTGCTAGTATTGGCATTCCTAGCCGAAGTTGTATTGTTGCTTGGAATTTTCTAAATCTTATTCGAGCTCAAATGTTTAGTCTAGGTTTAGATAGATTAAGACATAGTCATCTCAAGGTTGATACGAGTTGAAACTCATGATCTCCAAAGGTAAAGCATGTGTATTGCATGGCATTCATGTTTAATCATACCAGTTTTTATTCTTAGATGACTAGTTTATGTATTGCACTGAATTCTGTATAATTTATACTCAGATGACGAATGTGTATGAACGTATTTTGACGATTCAGTTTAAGTGATCACGTGACATTGTCTGGTTAATTTTAGTTTTCACGTGTTTTGGCCTTCTTTTCAATGTGGGTTGTTCACCTTGGCTGCCAAGTGGCCCTTGCACTCGCCCAATCTTACGAAAAACGTTGGGGCTGAATCTTGTTGGCTAACACTTTCATTTCCATTATTTTCATCAATTGATTTCCTCTGGTTTGGCAGAGAAAGTGTTAATGGTGTAGAAAATGGATTTCAAACCTTCTATGTAAAATCTACATCTAGTTTTTCATCACCAGTTTCATTGCATCAACTTTTCTAAGAAAAACTTGGTTTTTCTCTATGTTTTTGGCTGAAAGTGTTCTTGGTGCAGAAATGTATTTTCCTGAATTCATATTTATAAAAATCTGCATCAATTTTAAATTTGACCCTAGTCTTTGCCATCATTCATACATACAGTTCTAGGTGCAGATTCACTATTGATTTCTTCAAAATGTTGGTTTCTTAAAAAGATTAATACTAATGTTGTGTGAATCCATATTTTCTCATGTTGAAGTTGACTTGCTTGGTGAGCTGCTGGTGCCATGAAGTTGTTGAGCTCAAGGAGGAGTTGCCATCTTTGTGAAGACTAGTGTTGCTGATCCACTATGGGTCAAGTGAGGAGTTGTACATAGATCAAGGGTGCCATGGAGAGGAAGAGCTAGAGGAGCTAGTTGCCATGCTCATGAAGACCCAATTGAGGTGCATCTGATCTAGAGTGAGTGGAGAGTCTAGGTGATTTTGAGCTTGTATAGGTGCCTCTGTATTGAATTCCTTTTTTAACATAGTCGATTTCCTGGTCAGATTGATGAGCCCCAGTTTTTCCCAGTGGTGGGTTTCTGAGTAAACATGTTCTTGCGTCTTGCTTGATGAATATGTGTCTGACATCTATGTGTTTCACAAAGTTGCTTTTATTTATACTTGGTGTCTATTGGATTGCTTTCCCTTGAATGTTTGGATTAGAGCACACACTTAGGTCACTCTAGTGGTTGCTGTCACTGGGATGCCTAACTTAACGGATCTTTCTAAGTGCCTAAGTTTTCACATATTCATGCTCTGTTTTGCAGGTTAATATATTCAGTTTCGTGCTTGATTAGTCCGTTCCGTGCCCAATTTTTGTCTGTGTATGACTCCTTGAGTGTTCTAGTCATCTAGGCGTTAAATCTGGGTACATCGTCTTGGTCGTGTCTCCTTGTAGTTTAGTTGTAACCCAAAAGTATTGGAAGATAGGGACAATTTCTTGGGTTTATTGTCTTTGTGGATGCACTATTATGTATATTCTTATGTGTATTATTGAGCTTTATTTTTTTAGGGAACCTCGAAAATACAAGGGAAATTTTACTAAAGAAATGAAAAGTACAACCGAGAGGGAACAAACAACCTGACCCGCGACTCATAGAATCATAAAGCAGTGCATCCTGAATAAAATCAGGGAGCTTTGTTTTAGTTTGCTTGCAAATTGTAGTAACATCACACAATATATATCTTCACCACACTTGCTGATCACAGTCCATGTACTATATCACAAGTATATACTTCACCATGGATGATACAACATATATATCATGGTTAATTCAGTTTTTCTATGTTATGGATCTCCTTATGGCAAGAACAATGCACACGTCATTCTTAAGGCTATCAAACAATGTATTTCAAGGATCGAAACTAATTCTAGGTCATCTTTGAAATATTATTCATGCAAAAAAATCATTTAATTCGGTCATCTAAAATGTGTGGAAAAAAAAATTTTCATTTAATTCGGAAGTTGTTTGGTCATATTAATGATCTCTACGCTCGTAAAAAGAGATCCATATACAAACCACTTTTTTTGACAATATATATTTGCCAACTATATATACATGCATTAATTAGCAAAATAATTACCAAAATATATAGAGTGCTGCTAAACAAACCCTATGATCTAAGTAGACCCTAAATTATTATTTGGGTGGGTTTTCTCGAAAGGAGAAAAGGGTCTCTAGGGTTTGTCTCTTCGACGGCGGCTCTCTTGCGGCGCACGACACTCCTTGTAGTAATCTGGTGAGTGGTTGTTTCAACGTTAGATCTCTCAGGTTGCGGCAGTGTGGAACATGGAAGACTTAGAGTTACGGTTTGGTGCCAATCTTCGCCTTTATGATAAAGAACGGCAGGGGGTTCGAATTGGGGAGAGTGATCTCGGCAGTCAGTTCGTTGGCCACCACAACACCCTTGTGGCCAAAGTTCATTCCCAGCGTGTCGTCAATAAGGAGGGCTTCATAGCCTCTTTCTCTCGTATGTGGAAAGGCATTGCTGGAGTCTCGATCAAGGAGTTTGCTGACAAGTCTTTTTTGGTGAGATTTGAGAATCACAGAGACAAAGCTAGGGTTTTGGGTATGAAGCCTTGGACATATCATGATGCCCTTGTCTTGCTCTCAGAGGTCACAGTGGGCTGTGACGTTAGATCTGTGGATTTGAATTTGGGTGTTTTCTGGGTGCAACTTCATGGTATCCCTCTTTAAACATGACGGTTGCCGTGGTCAGAAAGATTGGAACGCTCCTAGGCCAGGTTGCGGAAGTGGATCATGCAGATGGGGAGGACTGAATTGGGCACTTCGCGAGAGTTCGTATTCAGTTTGATGTCAACCAGCCCCTTATGCAGGGAGCTTTTGTTGAGTTTCCTGAAGTTGGATCGATTTGGGTCAGCTTCCTCTATGAGTACCTCCCTAAATACTGTTTTCTTTGTGGCTGCCTGGGGCATCCAAGCCGTGTCTGCTTGGACAAAGTTGGAGAGTGTTCACCCCAACGTGGTGGGGTGGAAACCTTTTATGCTTTCGCTGGTCTTGAGGCTGTTGAGGATATGCGAGGCAGGCCTTTAAAATCTGTTCTTTGTAGGGCGGCGCATGGAAGCCCAAATTCAGGTTCATGGCGGCCTCATGAGCAACATGCACCGGAGAATGGGCTGTCCCTGGCAGAAACTATCCGGAAGCAAAGGGAGCTCGATGCACGCCGCAAGCAGGTTTTAGCCCAAGCCTGGGATGCAGGTCTGATTGGTTCAGGAGGAGTGATTCATGGGGCTATGGCAGCTACTGCTTCGACCTCGGTTTCCATTGCGGTGGCTGAGCCGTTTGAGCCTGAGGTCAGTCCCCTGGTGGTAGAGGCTCCTAGTTTTCTTTGCGGGGCTGATCCTTTGTGCCCTAAACCACCCCATCGGGACCAATCTTTGAGGAGCTGTGGCAAAAGAGGTCGTGTAGATTTTGAACCTAGGGTTGCTGGCATTGAGACTGGGGTTTCAAGCACTGAGACGGGACTTGGGGATGAGGTTGTTGGGGATTCCAGAAAGCGAAGATTACTGTTTCTTGAGGATTCAGAGCAAATAGTAGAGACCGGCATTGACCTGTCTCCATGGTCGCCATGAAAACATTCGTTTGGAACTGTCAAGGCATTGGGGGTGGCTTGATAGTTTCCAGTTTGAAGGAGCAAGTTCGGCTCCACACCCCCGATATAGTGGTACTTCTAGAAACCAAAACTAGGAGGCACCGCTATGAATACCTGAAGAGGCAATTAGGCATGGAATTTTTGTTTGCGGTGGAACCGCGTGGACTCAGTGGAGGTTTATGTATGTTTTGGCGTGATTTTCAACAGGTGGAACTAATTAAATATGCCGATTTTTGTATTGAGGCTTTGCTTTATGATCCTGATTTACAGCTTAAATGGTGTTTCCTCGCTATTTATGCGAGCACTGACGATCATACTCATAATGGACAATGACGTATCTTATCTGACAGGATCAGACGCTGTCCTGAACCATGCTTATGTTTGGGAGATTTCAACGATATCTTGGAGGCTACCGAGAAAAAGGGAGGCAACCCCCGTTCAGAAAGGAGTTTGGCGGACTTCCAGGCCTTTGTGACTGATGTTGGCTTTCTGGACTTGGATTTTACAGGTTATCCCCATACATGGCGAAATAGACGGGAGAATGGTTTGATCCAGGAGAGACTTGATAGAGGTCTCGCCTCTGAACCTTGGCTTCGGAATTACCCGGAAGCTCGAGTGATGCATGTGGCCTTGGCGGGTTCAGACCATGCGGCTCTTCTGCTTACTACGAAACCTTCTACCACCCGTTGGCACCGCAGATTTGTTTATGATTCACGGTGGGGTCGTCATACCCGATGCAAAGATGTTGTATCAGAAAGATGGCAGAAGTATTTTCCAGGGTCCCGGGGAGACCAACTTATTGGGAAACTAGGCTGGGTGCGGACAGGTCTTGTCCAGTGGTGGAGACAAGAAGGACGCAACTCTTCTGATCATATTAGTCTTATTCGAAGGCAACTGCAATCTGCCTACACCGATCAGGATTTTGATGGCTCTAGGGTGAGAGCTTTGGAGCAGGACCTCAAGGATGCTCTTCGCAAGAAGGAGCTCTACTGGAAGCAAAAATCACGCATACAATGGTTGAATGAAGGAGAAAAGAACACGAAATTTTTCCACTCCAAAGTGATGGCTTGTCGTCGTCAAAACCATTTAACGGGCTTGGAGGATGCAACTGGTGTCTGGTATGAGAAGGAAACTGATATTCACGCTATTACTGTCTCCTACTTTCAAGACTTGTTCACCACCAGTCAGCCATCACGCATCAATGAAGCAGTGGATTGTGTCAGCAAACGAATCACTGAGAGCGAGGGCTCCCTATTGCTTAAGGCTGTAACACAGGAGGAGGTTTTCGACACTGTAAAGAGCTTGAGTCCCTCAACCTCTCCAAGGCTTGACGGATTCACAGGGGCTTTTTTTCAACATCATTGGGCTGTGGTTGGTACTGATGTCTTTCGACTAGTTCAGAGTTTCTTTCACTCTGGCAAGCTACCTAGACAGCTTAATCACACACTTATCACCCTTATCCCCAAAATTCCGAATCCCCGAAATATGAAGCAGTGGAGACCAATTTCTCTTTGTAATGTGATTTATAAAATTATCTCAAAAATTCTTACCAACCGTTTGAAAACTGTGTTGCCGCAGATTATTAGTCCGCACCAGTCAGCTTTTGTGGCAGAAAGGCAGATCACGGACAACATCTTAGTGGTGCACGAGATTCTTCACTCTCTACAACGGAGTAAGCGCTCAAGCTTGATATGGCGAAAGCCTTTGACCGTGTTGAATGGCCTTTCCTGATTGCAATGATGAAGAAGCTCGGTTTCCCTTATCAATTCTGTTCATGGATTTTTGAATGCATCTCCACAGTTTCATATAGTGTTCTAATTAATGGTGCTGCAATTGGCCATGTTAACCCTTCGAGGGGATTGAGACAAGGGGACCCTTTATCTCCTTTTTTGTTTCTGATTTGTGCATAAGGACTCACCTCTCTCATTAAAGCATTTGAAGAGAGGCAAGCTTTGCATGTGTTTCGGCTACGTGGGGATGGGATCAGCATTAGCTATCTTTTGTTTGCTGATGACTCCGTCCTATTTTGCAGAGCCGATGAAAGGGAAGCACAATTTGTATTAAACATTTTACAGTGTTATGAAGCAGCCTCAGGCCAATGTGTCAACTATGATAAGAGCTCTATTTTCTATAGTGGAAACTGCTCTTCTCGCATTCACTTACAAATGGAACAGATCCTGCAGGTTAAGGGCCGCAAAGAATTTGGTAAATATCTAGGCATTATGGTAGATTTTAGGGCTTCTAAAAGGAAGGTATTTGACGAGGTCCGTCGGAAGCTAGACGGGAAGCTCCATGGTTGGGCTGAACAATTCCTTTCTCCGGCGGGCAAAGAAGTTCTCATTAAAGCCGTTGCTATGGCCATGCCTTGTTATGCCATGTCATGCTTTAAATTACCAGTATCCTTGTGTAAAGAAATTGAAGCTGCTATTGCTAGGTTTTGGTGGAAGTCACATAAAGAGAAACACGGCATTCACTGGGTTAGTTGGGCAAACTTATCTCAACTCAAAAAGGCGGGAGGCTTGGGCTTTCGTGATATCCAATGCTTTAACCTTGCCTTACTTGCGAAGGTTGGTTGGCGGATCCTTCATAATCCGAGCTCTCTGCTTGCTTGCTTGTTACATGATAAGTACTTTGCCGGGGCATTTTTCCTCTCTGCTACCTCTCAAAAATCATCCTCTTGGGGTTGGAAAGGCATTCTCCAAGGGCGCCATCTTCTTGAGTCTAGGTTGCATTGGCGTATTGGAGATGGCATTAAAGTTCAGGTGAGAAATGACCCATGGCTTCCTTCTCCATACACCTTTCGAACTCTCTCGCGACATCCTGACCTACCCTTGATGGTCCATGAACTCATTGACCCCCTTCTGAAAGCATGGAAACAGGATGTGATTAACAGATGCTTTACTCCAGAAGAAGCCACTCGCATCTTCAGCTTACCTATCAGTCGGTGGGGATGTCTCGACAAGCTAATTTGGCACTTCAGCTCGCATGGTCGATATATTGTTCGTTCAGGCTATGAGCTTGCCCTTCACCTACAGAGGAATGGTGAGCTGGGGCGTCAAGGTGCTGGTGAAACCAGTGGCAGCTCCTCTCATAGTGCAGTTTGGAAGTCAATTTGGCATGTTCATGCCCCGCCCAAACTCAAAGCCTTCATTTGGCGTGGTTGTTCCAACATTCTTGCGGTGTGGCATAATTTACGTCGGCGACGAGTGTCTTGCCCCGGGGAATGTGGTCTTTGTGGCCTCCAGGATGAAACTCAAACTCATCTTTTTTTCAAGTGTGACTTTGCCCGTGCCTTCTGGTTTGCAAGCCCTCTCCAACTCGATGTAAACATGTTAGAAGGTGAAGATTTTATCTCTACTTGGCAACATATAATGTTGACTTTCAAGTCCTCTGAGCACGCAACGGAGGCATTCCAATGGTTTGTTTTTGGGTTGTGGCGCATCTAGAAAGCTAGAAACATGGCAGTCTTTAAAGGTGTGAAGGCTGATCCCTCAGAGGCTGTTCATCTTTTGCTCAATCAAGTCACGGAGTACCATGCGGCTAAACCAGCAGTCCAAGCCCGTCCTCACATAGCCACCAACAGCTCTGCACCACAAAATTGGTGTAAACCTCCGCCAAGTTTTCTCAAGGTGAATTGCGATGCTACGTGGTCAGCTCCGGCATCGAGCGAGGGAGTCGGTTGGGTCATTCGGGACACTTTTGGGTTGCTGCTCTGTGCTGGTGGGGACCTCCATGGCTCCTCCGCACTTATGATGGAGCTTCTTGCTATTCGTCATGCTCCTAGTGCATGTGTTCATTTCCATCTCACTGACTTAATAGTGGAGTCGGATACTCAGACAGGAATCTTGATGCTTACTGGACAGATTGCAGTAGTCTCAGATTTGGAGGGGATTATTTTTGATATCAAGCACTTGGTGGCTTCTCTTTCTCGAGTCTCCTTTGTGTTCGCTCCCAAGGCTTGTAACAAAGCTGCTCACACTGTTGCTGGTTTCGTTTCTAAACAGGGGGGTAATCATGTTTGGGATGACCTTGGAACTGACTGGCTTTTCAATATTCTTGCTTCCGATGTAAACCTTACAATTCGTTATTAATAAATTTTTCCAGCGATTTTGACAACAAAAAAAAGTAGACCCTAATATTTAAATCAAAATGTAAAATTAACTGAGTACACCTTATTTAACTACGAAAAATACCCCTAGTACACCCTAATACACTTTATCACATATTTCTATTTTACATGATCTCTATCCAGATTTTGAACTTTAATTCTAATTAATTTAGTGAAGCAGGCAACTCTCAACATCACAAACAGTCATTATGTACTTTTCAACTTCTAATTTGAATGCTCTACTATATGAATGATTAAGCTTGGGAAAAAAAAACAAAAAACCTTCAAAAACTATCAACCGACCAAAAACTAGAAGGAAAAGAGAGAAAAAAAAAAAAAAAAAAAAAAAGTGGAGTGGATAATGGTGATGAGGAAAAAAAAAGGCAACACAATTATCTCGTACATAATGATTGAGCAAACATGGTAAAATATCTTCAACTTGTGGTCTGCAGCAAGAACATAGAAATAGCCTCTTCAAGTTTCAAGGCAAGACAAAATTCAACGCAAGAATCAATTTAAGTTCACTATGTAGAATCTTCGTATTATTAGATGATTACATTTTCTCTGCCACTAACTGTGAGAATCTGTATTCTTAAAGTTAAAAAAAAAAAAAAAAAAAAAAAAAAAAAAAAAAAAAGTTTAATATATATATATATATATATATATGTTCATTTGAAATAACTATAAATTATATATTTATTATTTGTTTTTCTCTAAATGGGTACCCTTAGATATTTTTTGGGTATTTAACTCTTATAATTGTATATATTTATAACAATATTCAATTGTTAGAATTGTGTTATTCACCTCCTGTGTATTAAATAGCTAAAAATCTATTTTTATCTTTCTGAGCAAGTTAACTTGGACAAACTCCTCCAAGTAAAGGATTGACAAAAACATTCTCTTTGTGAAGACCTTTATTTTTAAAAGTATATGTATTAATAATTTGAGAATTAAATATTTTAATACATATTTAGTTATATATTTTAATTGATAATATATATATTGGTTATACTTATGTGTGTAATTATCTTGGTACATATATGTAAATATTTTTGTTATATTTTTATATTAATTATTATGAATACTAATAATACTTATATATTTCTATGTTTATGATAATATTTAATTTCTTTGATCATTAAACAAATATATAAAGAAGTTTGTTATCCATGTGTCGTCCACTTCATGCATGTTAAATGGCTAAGTTCAAAAGTGAAGTAATTCTATTGCATTTGCAACACCTTCTGGTATTACATTTTATACATAGCAGTCTTACATTCATTACATGAATTATCACCTTAAGTTCATCTATTTACCTTGCAGAGCATGAGACACCTCATGCTATAATTCCGGGTTACTGGAAGCCTTATCTTGTTAATATCATGCCAAATCGACAACATACTATTTTGTTAGTTGTCATAGGTTAGTAGCAACTGACTTTCCCTTAATATAAATAGAGCATTCTACAATTGAAATGAGAGAGAGAGAGAGAGAGAGAGAGAGAGAGAGAGAGAGAGAGAGAGAGTAGCTTGTGTTTTCTTCAAATTTGAGCTAGCTTTGGAATCGAGGTAGGGGTTTCTTAGGGGCCTTTTATATTGATTTAATTAAATTTCGTGAGCATTATATTATGCATGGTATTACAGTTTGGTTGACGCTCCTTGTTATTGGGTGTTTACGTATTCTTTAACTATTTGAACAATATTGGCGTAATTATATATCATTGGTCATATTTTAAATGGTTACATTGTTGTGAGATATATAGGATATGTGAAAGGCATAATTATATCATGTCATAGAAATTGGTTGGAATTGTTGGATTGAGAAAATAATGGAAAAAGAAGGTAATTGAAATAATCTTTTGTTTAGTTGAGTGTAACTCTTGGCAGGTACCAGATCTCAAGGATCCCATAGTGCACATGGTTTTTATTCGAGGATACAGGACTGGCGACATGAAGTTAGACAAGATTACTAACAAAAGGGGATTTATGGGATGATTGAGACGGGGGTTAGTTCATATAAATGGGCATTTGGGACCAAGTGGTATAAGCATGGTATGGGACGTGTAGGTCTGCTTGTCCAGTTATATGAATTAAAGGGAGTAAATGAAGAGCATTCATGCATCATTATTAATAATGTGATATTTGGTTGTGTGATTGTATGTCACTTAATTTAGTTATATCAATTTACCGTGAAAAGGTTTATGTCCCTATTGAGCTGTGGTTTCGCTCACCCCCTAACAGATTTTGCAACTACTGAACTTGAAATCTAGAGCTTGTGATGATTTTGGCATATCTATAGAGTGTATTGTGTACATAGCTTGTGGATGAATAATAAGCTACTCTTTTAGTGAACTCTTAAGTAGTTCTAACTTGTAAAATAATGTAAAAAATTTCAGATTTCAGATGTTGTCATTTCTGTTGAATATTTTATGCGAAATATTTATTTTGTTTCTTTTAAATATTTCTTCACATTTTAGTTATAGTTTTTATTAAATTCTATAATTAAGGTGTGAATCACATCTTAACCAAAGGTTTTGTAAATCCGTAAGTTGGGGCGTGACACTAACGTTTGCTTTGTTCACCTAGTGAGTGAATGTTAAACGAACATTCAATGACACCTCCTTGCGCCTCCGTCAGTGCTATATGCATTTTTCGCCGTGGGCACCCAGCAAATACAAAAACTTCTCTACCTTTGATTAGGATTGAATATAATGAGTAGGGTGTACTTATTAAAATTATATTTATTTCACAATTCAATACATCCTTTTTGGTCATTTTATATTAGGGTAAATTAGTAATTCAATAAATAGTTTGGTAGTAAAGTGTACTTAGTTAATTTTAGGGTTCATTTAACAACACTTTATATATATATACCCTAATTACATAAATACTAGATACACGTAATTGTGGATATATTAATGACATATGCGCCCCTAAAAATAAGATCCATATATACAAAACCCTAATTTAACAATTACAATTGTTTGTAATAAAAATGGGATACCTTAATGAACTTTATGTCCCTTAAAAAACCTCGTTACAAAACCATATTTTGACAATCGCTCCTCAAAGAAGATCATTCACAAACCCCAGGTTATCAATTCATTTGTTAATCATGAGTCAACTTAAGTTACCATTGAATTCCTTTTATATGAATCTCAACTTGAAACACTGAGGGTTCCTGAGATTCACTATATGAACTTCAGTCCCAACCCTAATTTCTTTTGTGTGGCAAAAAGTCATTTTTGGTTCATGTAACAGACCACTTTTAGAACTAAGATCCCCGTGGTCTCAATTTGATCAATTTTGTCCATATATGTAGTTTGAATTCCAAGCAATTCAAGGACAATCTCCAATTTTGTTCAAATTTATGTTCACATGGAGGGGGCCATTTCGGTCTAATCTTACAGACCCTCCCCAACCACCCCCACAGCCACCCCAGTAACCCCTCTAGTAGCTTTTCTTATGCTTTCAACTCTGAAAAGTCCCTTACCTCTAATCTTGAATAAAAAGATGTGTGACTTTTTAATCTTAATCTCTAGCTTTTGTTTTTGGGAATTTGGGTTCATGAGGAGAGATTTTATGCAATGCATGGAATTAGGGTTGGAGTTTGATGAGAGAGAGAGAGAGAGAGAGGAAACAGTGGTTGGGAGGGAGGGGGAGGATGGGGGGGGGTGGGGGGGGGGGGGGGTGGTTGGGGTCGGGAGGGGGAAGAGGAATGGGAGAAGGTGGTTGTGGGAGTGGTTGTCAAATTGAACTGAAATACCAATTCATGTGAATAGAAATTTGACAGAACTTATGAATTGTCCTTGAATTTGGAATTCAAATTACATAGACAAAATTGATCAAATTGAAACCGCAGGGATCTTAGTGATAAAAGTGGTAAATAATAGGGACCAAAAGTGACTTTTTGCTTTTTGTTTTGTTTTGTTTTGCTTTTGTTAGGGATAGTCCTCCATGTTAATTAACCCCCACACATGAAGTCGGTCTATGTCGTTCCATTCCATCAAATATTCCTTAGTTTGCTAACGTGGCAGTAAGCAAATGGCTTTTTGTTTAGTACCTTATTCAAGAAAGCAAAAATCAACTTCTATATTATTTTGATTAAAAAACAAAAGTCAAACCTATATTTAATCCATATTTTCTATTTTTCTTTTGATCATTTTACAAAAAGGGTATACATGTCTTGAAAAAATTATTAGGCATTGCCTAATGGCTCGACTTGTACTGAGTTGAATATGATCTCAGCCCAAGTCAGTTTTTATGAGTCTTTATTCAATTTAATAAGTTCAGTCGTAGCATTTATAAGTTCACTAAATAACGGCTAGGACATTTGTTTAACTTAACTGAAATAATCCACTCTAGTCCATATCCGTATATCTTTTTCCATGAGATTGACCTTTGGAGTAACACAATGGTGTACAAAACAACCCTAAAAGCTCTCTCAGAAAACCCTAAGGAAAAATCATAGTTTTTTTGTATTGTGATGTGGATGCAGTTGCAGCAAAACTCCGTCGTCACCATGAAATAGTCTCTGTCTTTTGGCCCTCGTGGACAAGAAAGCTGTCAGGTTTGGGGTTAGCAGGTGTGAAACTAATGAGTTTAGCCAGTATGGCGCTATGGATCTCTTTGCGTTACCCAGGAGAATGTGGAGCGGTGGTCGTGCTTCTTAGTTTGTTTAAGTCTAATAATTCTCAAGAACTCTTTTAGGAGTTTGTTGTAGTTTTATGTGTAGGTTTTTTTTTTTCTTGTTTAGTGTTGGACGGGCTTTCTGTTTATGTTGTTGCAAGGCGGATCTATAGGTTAGAGTACATGTGCTTAGGATTCTTGAATCAAGAATTTTAGTCATTCTTGGGTTGTGCGTAATTCTCTTAAGATCAATTGAACATGTTGTTGCATTTGATCATTAGATAAGATTTACCCACATTCGACACATATTCTCAACCACAAAAAAAGACTTCGACCTTTGATCCATCAACCTCTCCCTACAAACCCATGATCCATGCATGGCCTACGTACGAAGCAAAGTTTTAGGCTGTATACTATTCTCATTGGGCTTACCCCAAATCATGTTTTGAAAACATGTTTCAATTCAAGAATAAAAGAAAATCATATTTTTGGTAATCAGTAAAGGAACCCATTTACTAATGGGGTCTTAGCTCAGTGATAGAGTTGTTATTATGGTGGCTGCGATTCGATGCCTCGTAGCATTATGTGTGTGAATGTGAGAGAGAATATCCCACTTCCCTACCTAACTGTGGCAAAAAAAGAAAAACAAAAACAAAAACAAAGAACTCATTTACTACCAAAATGCTAACAATGTTAACAATTATGGCTCTCTGTGCTCTAAAAAAAATAGCAATAAACTCCCAAAGTGGCCATTATTAGCAAAACATCTTTACCCGAACACACTGGGAAGAAACATCGTATATATCCTATCCGTCCACAAGAAGGGGAGCGGTGGTCTTGTTAGTTTGTTTAAGTGTAATAATTCTTAGAAACTCTTTAAGATTTTGCTATAGTTTTTTAATGTTTAGTTTGTCTTTTCTCATTTAACGTTGGCTTTCGATACAAATTTGCCATTTCTACCGTTGCACGATGGATCTACAAGTTTGAGTACATGTGATTATGATTGCTGAATCGGGAATTTTAGTTACTCTTGGGTTGTGCGTGATTCTCCCAAAATCAATTCAACATATTGTTGTATTTGGTCACTGAAAAAGATTTACTCATATTCGGCACATAGTTACTTTGTACTTTTGTTTTATTTATCAATAAAAACATCGCTTAATCTCACCCAAAAAAAACAAAACAAAAAAAAGACTTCGACCTTTGATCCATCAACCTCTCCCTACAAACCCATGATCCATGCATGGCCTACGAAGCAAAGTTGTAGGTTGTATACTATTCTCATTGGACTTACCCCAAATCACGTTTGAAAATGGAAAATACTTTCCTCCTCATTACGTAAGTAGGAGTTTCTACATTTTTGCCAATAAAAGTGTGACATATGTGTCAAATTGTGATTATCAAGAAAGAGTAGTATCTCCTTATAAGTAAGGAGGCAAGTAGTATCTATATTTCAATTCAAGAACGGAAGAAAATCATATTTTTGGTAATCAATAAAGCAACCCATTTACCAATGTGGTCTTAGCTAAGTGGCTGCGATTTGATCCCCATAATATCGCGTGCGTGCGTGTGAGAGAGAGAATATTCCGTTTCCTCACCTAACTGTGGCGAAGAAAAAGGAACTCATTTACTACCAAAATGCCAGACTCTAAAAAACGCAGTTAAACGATAACCCCAATTAACAAAATTATGGCTCTCTGTGGTCTTAAAAAATAAATAAATAATAATAAAAAAAAGTAATCAACTCCCAAAGTGACCATAATTAGCAAAACATCTTTACACCCAACACACTAGGAAGAAACATCGCATATATCCTATCCATCCATAAGAAGGGGACACGCATGAGCCTGCCTGCATTGAGTACAACAATTTATGTCGTAACTTTTATATTTTAAAATAAAAATGCATTATAAAACGGGGACCAAAAACGATAGGGACTGAAAACTACAGGATATGGTTAGAATCATTCCCTATTTTAAAGCTCAATTCAAACGCTACGTTCTATAAGTGCTGGCTTACAGTTATTAGCTATATTTCTTGTGGATGAGAGGCCAAAAAAAAAACAAAACAAAAAAAGGGCAAATTTTGTTAGATGCATAGCATGTTGTAGACAGGTGTTACATGTCAACTATCGCTTCATTATTAGAGGTGGAGCCACACACAGGCCAGAGATGGCTGTGGCTCCCCCAATTCTCATGAACTCCATTGGAATTTTTGTATAAAATTTGGAAATCGGTATGTAATTTCATATCTTTTTCAGCTATTGATCCCCCAATATTTAGACTCTAGCTCCACCATTGTTTGTTATCATTGCTTTAATAATTATTTTCATGGTCTAGTTATAAATTTTAATACATAATATTGAAAGGTTTTGCTTGGATGAAATTATTTGATATAATATATTTGAAATGTTTGTGGAACCCACTTGAGTCTTTCCTCTATTGACCATTAATGACGTCTTTAATCTTCCAATCCAAAGAACTTTTGTTAGTGGGTATAGTTTCATTGGCTAAGCTCTTTCACCTCCACTTATATAGGTAGAGGTTCGAAAACTCTAGACACCCAATGAATATTTGTGTAATCCCTCTCCCCCAATCCATTATACTTAAAAAAAAAATCCCAAAGAACTTTCAAATAAAAGATTATAAGACTGAAAAATGAAAATGAAAAAATTGCCAGAGAAAATTGTCAAGGTTGATTGACAATTGTCCATGTCTCCTCTCCCACAAAAAATCTATCAATATATATGACATTATTCTTTAGTCATGAAATACTTCTTATGTTGATTAAGGAGTTACTGTTTTGTATCAGGTCTGCACTTACAATGCGTTTGGATGAGGAAACTTAAAAGTACGTACTAAGAAATTTATAATGATGGAAATTAATGTTCTAGAATTGTAAAGATTTTGTTTTGCTAATCAAAAAGCATAATGGATTAAATACTGAATTTAACATTGATCTTCTTGTGGTAGTGGTGGTGTGTCATTATGTGTGATATTGGTGGTGAGGTTGCTAGTGATGGTAGTGGGTGATGGTGACAACGATGGTGGGTGATTGTGGTGAAAAATTGTAGCGAGGGCCATTGAAAAGTGGTGGTGGCACCATTGTGGTTGTGGCGGGGATGGTGGCCATCAAAAAGTGTTGCTGGTGGGGATATGGTGGTGCATAGAGGCAGGGTTAATGGCCATGACAAGGCGATGGTAGGGGTGACAACGATGGAGGGATGAAGAGTTTTCCGCAATCAATGGGGATTTAAGTCCTTGTTTGGTTGATGAGAATAGAATGGTTGAGGATAATGATGGTGGTGGTGGCGATGAGGGTTGGATAAAGAGTTGTCTGTGACCATTGTGGATTTAAGTCCTTTGTTGGGGTCGATGTGAATAAAATGCTCGAGCATGGTGATGGTGGTGGTGGTTGGATGAAGAGTTTTCTGCGATAATTGAGGATTCCTTGTTGGGTCAATGAGAATAGAATGCTTGAGGGTGATGGTTGTCACATCCCGGGATCAGCTCCGCCGTAGCACAATATTGTCCGCTTTGGGCCCCCCTCTCTGCCCTCACGGTTTTGTTTCTAGAAGCTCACGAGCAACTTCCCAGTGGGTCACCCATCCTGGGATTGCTCTAGCTCCAACTAGCTTAACTTCGGAGTTCCCATGACTCTGAAGCCAATGAGCTCCCAAAAGGTCTCGTGCTAGATGGAGGCCGGCATGTACATATAAGGCACATCACCCCATCTTCGTTGGTCGATGTGGGATGTTACTATGGTGGTGGTGGCGGTGGCGGTAATAGCTGGATGAAGAGTTTGTCTGTGATCATTAGAGATTAATTAATTAAGTCCTTGCTAGTTTGATGAAAATAGAATGCTTGAGAATGTATGTTTAATGTTTAATGAGTACTAAATGTCTTGGATTTCCATTTTGTTCTTGCTTCTGTTTTTTTAAACGTAATTACCAAACTTGTTGTTTATTTTGGCTTAATTAATGTTTTACCTCTGGGAATGGGTGCTTGGTTTCACTTTACCCCGGAAACTGAAATTTTCTCACATAAACCTCGTAATTTCTAAACATGGTCGAAAATTTCTCACTTTACCACTTCTGTCCATTTCAATCCACAAAATCGTTAAGTGTGAAGTGGCATGTGCATTTTAGTAATTTTAGTTATTAAAAAAAACTTTAAAATTCAAATTAAGGGTTTTTTGTTTTTAAGTCTGATTATGTGTGTTCAAGAATGAGGATTCAATATTAATCAAAAACCTCATCATCACAGTCAAACTAACCACAGCCTTCACCATCAAACCCATCACCTCATAAGAGCACCGCCACCGTAAGAACCACCAAGCCTCACTTTCACCTTTACCCAATAAACCCCATCCACACCATCAACACCACCACCATCCACACTGGAAACCCATTCACACAACCCACAGCAAATCCAACTACCACCATCCAATTGACCCCACCAATAGTGCGACCCATACCAATTCAGACCACCACTATCCAATTGAACCCATCGACAACTCCACCCATACCAAATCAAGCCAGCACCGTCAAACCTAACCAACCAACTACCTATGGAACCACCACTGACCATCGACTAGTGAAATTGAAGGGAAATCGGTGAATTAGAGAGAGAGAGAGAGAGATGAGCCAGAGAGTGTCAAACAAAGTAGGGTAACTATTCAATTATGCTCATATATGATCATATCGTTAATCTTCTCCAATATGGAGGTATTTATACAAGTACAAAGATGTGTTAACCCTAAATAAAATAGGAAATATATCTAAAGTAGAATAGGAAATAAATCTCTATTACAATAGGACTAAATAATAATTGGTAAGTAACCAAAATTCTAACTAAATAAGGAACCAAAATCCTTACTAAGTAAGGACTTGCCAACACTCCCCCTCAAGTTGGGGGCAAAGATATTTTGTACTTCCAACTTGACAAGCAAGTCGCAGAACACCATACTTGAGAAGCACCAATCGTAGAGAAGGTCTTTTCATCAACCACGAGTGAAACAAGTGACAAACTAAAACAAAGTTGGCAGCAGAAACACAAGAGCAAACCTTAAAAAATAGGGCACATAGCAGAACATAGAAACTCTGTGAGCACTGTAATAGGTAAGGCAGAACACAGAAACCATGTAAGCACGATAGTAGATAAGGCAGAACACAGAAATAGGCAATGTTTAGGGTTAGGGGTAGGTTTTTTTTTCTCATGTTGTAGAGACAGATCAAAACACAGCAACATGATTGGAAATTACCATAGTGTTTCCCTTTTTTGGCCAGGGCGGCTGACGGAAGGAACTTTTGGTCCTTCTTCTTTTTTGAGTGCGGGGCGTGCCACTACTAAGCCACGAATTTGGCTTGGTTGGAATGTAAGTGTATGTTGCGTCCGAGATCTGACTTTAATCAAACGATTATTCGGCCGAGTAAGGAACCTCGTCATGGCCTAGGTTCTTTCACTACCTCGGGGTCAAGGCTTTATGTGAGCGACCAAATGATGTGGAGTGGGTGGAGATGTAGATGGAAGGTGAAACGTAATGAAACGGAGAACAAATGCGTAAAGTAAAGGTGCTTAAACTTAAATATAATTTAAAGACAAATGCATAAAGTAAAGTGCGAAAGATAAATAATGTAAAGACGAGAATTAAAGTGCGATAAATAAAGCAAGAACGAAATGAAAGCGATAAGAACGATAAAGTAAAATGAACTTGAAATTAAACTTAGTTGAAGTGGATAACGATGAAAAGTAAAGCAATTGAAATAAACTTGAATTTAAATGACAAGAAAATATAAATTGAACGAGAATTTAAACTTACACTAAGAAAAGGAAGAACTCGCTACACTAAGTGCATGAAAAGTAAAATCCTAAGTCTAGGAAAAGAAAAGTGCAAGACGAGAAATAGGGTTGTCTGTCTAATGTTGTGTGTCTTCTGTCTTCTCTTGGTAAGGTTTATATAGGGCATTCGTTAGCCCATGGGCTGGCCATTGAATGGCCAAATGTCAACTCTTTTAAAACTCTTTCCTTTTGAAGCCCCTCGAATTTGTGGGATCACATTGGTGGAAATATTCTGATTACTTGATTCTCTCATGTTTTGGCGTATGTTGAACTATCATTAATCTCATTGATTTGTTTCCTTGTGAGGCCTTCATCACATGCACATTGACCACCGGAAATCTTAGGCGTGAATCCGTGGCTTGGGCCTTGACCTCCGAGATTTCATCTTGACATCTGGTGGAACCTTGTGCCCCTTGAGTTTTCAGAATTCTAAAGTTGAATTACCATTCGTCGACCATCCGCCAAGATGGGTGGTATGAGAACTCCAAATATTTGGATGTTGGGCTTGGCCCTACATTGGACTATATTTGAGTTCTCAAATATTCGAATATTGGGAACTCGGCGGACATACCTCCCACCGAACTTCAACTACCTTGGCTCGACTTTGCTTGCCCAAGTGTTGAGAGGAGGGCGCCAAGGTGAGCAAGGAGAAAATTCACCCCCGCCCAACTCTTTGTAAAAGGAGTGGCCGACCAAGGTATTTAAGGAATGTTCGGCCCAACTTTTTGAGAAGGAAGCATCTGGCCACTTTTGAAAGGATACGCCAGGCTACTTTTGCAAGGATACTCCTGACTACTTTTGGAAAGGGAAGCGCTCGGCAATATTTTTAAGAAGGCACCACGGCCTTTGAAGAAAACACCTTGGCCGCATTTTTGAAAAGGAACCATGGCATTTGAAGAGAAAACCTCAGCCACCTTTTTGAGAAAGCACTTCGGCCGCTAGGAATTATCGGCTGCTAGGATTTTTTCTGCCGCTAGTAATTCTTTGGCTGCTAAGAATTCTCCGTCCGTTAAGAACTCTTCGCCAGCTAGGAATTCTCCAGTCGCTAGGAATTATCCAGCCGCTAGGAATTCTCACATACTAGGAATTCTTCCTTGGCAAATTGGGTGAATTTTGACCACCCCAAAACACATAGCAACGGAAAGCGAAGCAAACAAAGGCAACATCGACCACAACAACGGCAACGATAACATCAGCCAAAGTGAAGGAAAATTCCTCCATATCTACTGTACCTAATTCACCTAGACACAACTTCTCTTCACTCCCCTTCTCCCCCTGAAGAGAAAGGGTCGTCGGAGTCAAGAAATAGGTAATATCTTCATGGGAAAGAAAAATAGATTTTTTTCACTTACCCTCCCTCCTTGCCCCTTCCCTTGAAGAGGAGGGGAGGAGAGAACTTAAATTGCAAGGAGAACGCAAATACAGGTCACAAGAAAACCTAGGCTCTTATACCATGTCAAACAAAGTATAGTAAATATTCAATTATTCTCATATATGCTCATATTATTATTCTTCAACAATATGGGGGTATTTATACAAGTACAAATATGTGTTAACCCTAAATAAAATAGGAAATATATCTAAATTACAATAGGAAATAAATCTCTATTACAATAGGACTAAATAATAATTGGTAAGTAACCAAAATTCTAACTAAATAAGGAACCAAAATCCTAACTAAGTAAGGACTCGCCAAAAGAGAGAGGGGGGTCTGCTGGTTGCTTTGGGGATAGGGGTGACCGGAAAGGGAAGAGGGGGAAATGGAGGTTGGGCCTGGTGAGTTGATGGGAAAGGAAGAAAGATGAGGTGGTTTGTTAAGTCTAAAAAAGAATTTAAAAATTAGTTTTTATATTTAATTTGGATTTTAAAGTTTTTTGATAGCTAAAATTACTAAAACACACATGCCACGTCAGCACAATTAACGGTTTTGTTGATGGAAATTGACGGAAGTGGTAAAGTGGGAAGATTTCAACAATTTTTAGAGATTCTAGGGTTTAAGTGAGAAAATTTCATTTTCATGGGGTAAAGTGAAACCGAACTCCTGTTTCAGGGGTAAAATAGTAATTAAGGACTACAAGTGATATTAGGCGAGGTCAAGTTCAACCAAAGGAGCTTGGGTGCAGGAGTTACTGCTCTTAACAACTACAAACCTCTTGCATCAAACTTGCCTCTAAAATTCTTTTTAATTTGAATTTGAGTGCTTTACCAAAGCCAACAGTGCCAAAGAGTTTTTATCGTTTATAGCCAAAATTTATCCTTAATTTTAAACCAATCAATCAATAATATATATAAGTATCAATAGCAAAATTACATCATTATTCTAGATAAAAGTTTATTTCACACAAATGAGTTTTTGCTTCGTACCTTATTAGAAAGAAAAGAAAAAAAAAAAAAAAAAAAAAAAAAAAACTAACTATGTTTTTTTATTTGTCCATAAGCGTTTCTTAATTAAAAGAGTTATCTTATCTATGCTCTTCTTCAAGAGCGGACAGAGATTCTGATAATAGTGAGCCAAACATGGTTTACAATTCACACCCAAAAAAAACAAAACAAAACAAAAAAATTTATTTTTATGGGGGTCTGTGATAAGAAAATAGCTTTAAATATTTCCAAAGTGGCCATTATTATCTCAACATCTTTACCCCAACACTGTGGGCAGAAACATCGCATATATCCTATCCATCCACTAGAAGGGAACAGGGATGAGCCTACCTGCATGGAGTACAACAAAATTTATGTTGTACCCATATTTTAAAGTGACGATCTAGATTGAAAACGACCCAAAACGATATAGATTGAAAACGACAGGATATGGTTAGAATCATTCCCTTCTCCAAAAGCTAAATTTAAACACTACGTTCTAGAAATGATGGTTATTTACTTACTAGTTATATGCTTAATTGCTTCGGTTTTTCTTGAAAGTATAGTCAAATCTCACGTTGTGTTTTGAAAATTAAAGTAACTCACTCGTTATATTAGCATTTTAAACAACTATTTTTTAATTGAGTTCATATTAAGAACAAAGTGAGATGTAAAACATTGATTAGCAAAATGAGTAACTTTAACTTTGAAAAGCAACGTAAAAGTTGACCAGACTTTTAAACAGGATTAGAGCAATTAAGCCTCAGTTATATTTCTTGTGGATCAGAGCAACAGGAAGCTAAAAAATATCTTATTAGATGCACTGCATGTTGTCGGTAAGTGTTATGGTCAACTTACTTCGTTATGATTGCATTTAAAGCAGGAGCTGCTGAATTTTTGACATCTCAAGTTTGAGTTTGACACAAATACATTCACCCTAGCTAGGCCCCCCTTCAGGGACTAGCCAGTCGTACTCCTGTAACTTGTATTTAGACAATTTAGTTGGACCATATGTCACGGTATAGTTAAAGCTTTGATAAATATCATAAAGGCTTGTTTGGATGAAATTAATAAATTGAGAGATGATGTATTTGAGGGTCTATGCTGGAGGCTTTCGATCTTCTAACTCAAATGTTTACGAGTATTTATTTCTATATCTGAGGTTTTAGATTCATTCCATCTTTCCCTAATATCTCTTATATCAACAAAAGAAAACTAAAAAATTGAAAATTTGAAAAATTGAAAACCTTAAGAGCAACTCCAGCGAGGAGCCCAAGCCTCTGTCTGAGGGGGGTTTGGGCCAAAAAACTTTTTCCAGCAACAAACTGAAACCCAGGCGCAAGGTGGGACCCAGGAACCTGGGCTGGCCCGAGCGCAAGTTTGGCCCGAGCTCCAGCCTGAATTTTGGGGCTGATGTCAGCAAGCTACAGTGCGCTACAGTCTACAGTGCCACTACAGTGCTGCAACGCTACAGTGCCGCTACAATCCACGTGTCGCACTCTGGACTCTCCGATCAGATTTTTTTCTCCGATCCAACAGCAGCTAATTTTTGTGCAATAAAAAAATGAACAAAAATTGAAATTTTTTTAAACAAATACCAAAAAAATACTGAATTTTTTTTTCTATAAATACCAACAAATACTCTTCACCTTTAACACCAAATCCTCATACATTTTCTTCTCCTTCTACTATTATTCACTTTCTACTCAATATTTTTTTTCATTTCCAAGTTTTATTTTTCTCTATCATATTATGGCTTCTTCTATTGAAAACGGAGGGGCATGGAGCATGATAGCTTATCCGAAAATTTGAAATTTGAAACCGAAAATCTTATCTAAAAATTTTATCCGATTATGAGATATGAATAGTATTGACACGTAAGAACCCAAAAATCTTATCCGAAAATATTATCCAAATTAATTATTGACGTAAAAAAATTTGTGAAAAAAACAAAAAAATGAATAGTAATTTTCCTTTGCCATGGCAACGGGTGGAAACACACAATACTATTTGCAATGGCAACTACTATTCCCGTGAATAGTGCCTACCCTAGCCCCCCCTTGCCACTGCAAGGGGCAAATGGGTGGAGTTGCTCTGACAACAAAACAAATTGGAAAGGTCCACTAGTCATGGTCTAATCTCCTCTCCCATTGAAAGTGTATAAATATGCAGGGGTTGCCTGATGCTTGGGCACCGCTGGCTACCACAATGAGCCTAGAATCAAGGGGGTCCAAAAAAAAATTACTGTATCATTATTCATATGCATATTATAAGTGATTTCTTGGGAGTAAAAAAAATTATTAATGACCCAAATAAAAATCACTTAAAGTTCTTTAAGAACACAAGGGCCCGCATTTAAAAATTGAACGTTAGAAAGCTATTAGTATGCATTGGAAAGACAAACATCCAATTAATCCCACTCTTTACTTTAAGGCTGTGTTTGGTAGGCCTCACTGGACTAGACAGGGTTAAATAACATTTGAAACCCATGTTTAGTAACAAGGGGGAATAACTTAAATAAGATTATATAGTCTAACAGTACAAAAAAAACCCTCACTCGCTCGTCCAGTATAACGAGGTTAAAATATGGCTTGCAAAATAGCAAGCTCACATGATAGTGAGGTTGAAATATGGCTCGCAAAATAGCGAACTCACATAATAGTGAGGTTGAAACCATCACTGTCAAGGAGAAAATCAACCACCACCAATTCAAACCCAATGGAACCACACAGGCGGTGTCCCCTAAAAAGAATCATTTATTTTTTTTCTTATGAAGATGGAATCATAAACTGTGGGAATTGTAAACACAAATACACAACTCGTAGTATATCCAAACCAGAGAAAAAAAGAGAAACGCAGGGGAAAAAAAAGGAGAAACGAGGGAAAAAAAACAAGAGAAATGCAAGAGATAGGAAGATGAAGAGAGAAAAGGAAGAAAATAATTGCCGGAGGGAAAGAAGAAAAAAAAAGAGACAGAGAGAGAGATGAAGGAACTGGCATGGAAGAAGAAAAAGAGGAAAAAGGAAAGGGAAGAGAGAGGAAGAGAGTGGAAGAGAAGAGTGAACTCGGAAGAAGAAAATTGGAGTAAAAAGAAAGGGAAAAGAAGGAGAAATTGGAGAAAAAGTGGGTTGAGGGTGTGAGATCGAAAGGGAGAGAACAAAAGAAAGTGAGCCTTCACTAATTAAATTTAAATAATTATTTTTTAGTTCGACACATAACCAAACATAGGTCTTCACTATTTTTACAATTCAACTTCTTAATCCGACGCAACACCAAACGTAGGTCAATATTTAATCCAGCTTAAGCCAATCCGAGTTAATCCAAGATAGTCCCAGGATTTAGTCTAGTCCATGACAATCCGCCGTACTTAACAACCCCCAAGAGACTTTTTTTGCCTCTTAATACAAAGGATACTCTAAACTACAAGGGGAAGGGTTTCTTACACACACACACACACACACACACACTATTAGGGTGTCATGGGGGTTTGAAACTAAGACCATTAGTCTTCAAGTTAAGGCCTGTTTTTCACTGAGCTAGACCTCTAGTTTGATGGGGTTTTTTTTTCTTGTCAATGATTTGATGGCTTCTCCAAGTTTCTGAAATCAAAGGGAACGCATTATGTTTGGGTCAAAATTAACTTGGGTCAATTCAATGGCTATGAATAAAAATAGAATAAATTGGCCCATAATCTTCCTAGTCCAAAGAAAAGAATTGCACTACATACCAAATTAAAGGCCTAATGGAATGGCCAAAAAGTGGTCATGTGGGCAAAATACGAAGTCAGAAACACCGTTCCCTCCATTTCTCACGTGGGTTAGCTTGCAAAATTTAATTAGGTGAGAGCATTAAATGCTACTCAGGATGCTTTCTGGCAGTTTTCGTATGTTTCCTTTAGGATGATTTCGGTATGAATTGTGCTTGCTTACTTTTCTTCATCCCATGGGCTAAGCATCTTCTCGACATCGCCTGATCACTGTTAATTTGCCTGACACCACCCCCAGGAATCGGGTATAGGATTTTTTTGATGTAAGGGGAGACTTCATCAATGATCATGAATGTATGAGTAGATTATCAATGGAGAATAGAGATCAAGCTCTATTGTCCCCACGATGACTGTGGTCTCCCTATTGAAGCCAGTCAGTGACCTAGCTAACTTATTGATCTTGTTTTATATGTCCATCTGTAGGACAACCAAAAGTTGCAAGATGTTGGCTACGCTTCCCTCGTCCACGTGAAGTCATTCGATCACGGCCTAAAAAATCTAGATGTTGATGACGAGGGCCTTATTGTGGCGCAGATCAAGCCCAATCAAGTCTTTCTTCTATAAGCAGATCACAAGATAGTCTTCTATTGCTGGGCAGCTAGTTAAGAGTTGGGAGACCATAGTTGCATGCTTAATCTTCCTCTTCATTTCCTTGTTGGTCAGCCCGGACTCCTTGGAGTCGGCTAAGATTGTGTTAATCCTTATGACCTTTTGAGTTGGTTCCTTGACTGCATTGTGGTCCTTAATCTACTGGATAGCCTTCTTTGCCACAAACTCTATACAATGGCCCTTCTCTTACCATCTATTCGAGGTGATTTTTCCAGGCATAGCAATCATTTATATAATGCATGTGCGTCCCATGGAAGACACCATACCTGTTGGTATCCCTCTTAGTTGGATCTCCTTTCAAGGATAGTGGTCTCTTTTACCAGGGTTTATCTTTCACTTAGGCCAAGATTTGATGTATTGGGACGGAGAACTTAGAGTAAATCTCATTTGTTGGGGCACTTCCTTCGGGTTACGACTTGTGCTTTCTCCCATAGTTCCTGTTGCTGGCTTTATCACCCTTATGTGCTTCCATAGGTGGTTGGTCGGCTTGCTTGGCACACTTTTTTTGGCTACGATCCAATAGTCATCCAAAAGCGTATAACATTCTGCAATAATGAAGACCTTTGCCAGAGGGTGGCTGGAAGCGATGGTAAGCTCACAGTATAGGTCGTGCTCGGTTAGTAAATCCTTCTTGAAAGCAGAAGATGCAATCCAATCGTCGCATCCCACAATGTTAGCTTTTTTTCACCTTGAATCTCTTTATATAGTCTCGAAGAGACTCATCATGCTTCTTGCATAGGTTGAATAGGTGGTCAGATCGCCAAGTAAGAGGTGTACTCCTTTGTGAAGAAGAGTGCTAACTCTTTAAAGTTGTTGACTGTCCTAGACGGTAAGGTATGGAACCAGTCTTGAGCTACTCCTCACAAGGTAATTACAAATACCATACACATCGGTTGTCCTCAGGATCGGAATCCCCTTTGAATGGCATGAAAGATGGTGTTGTGAATCGCCTTGCAAGGGCTGCCTGCTCGATCTCATTAGTGAATGGAGTGGAGCTCACTTGGTCTATCTCCTTGCCTAGGGCATCCTCAAAGTCTCTTCCATCCTTTAAGTCTCGAAGTCGGTCATTCACGAGCTTCTCGACATCTTCTACTCGCAAGGCTTGTGGCTCAAGTTGGTGTCTCCCATGACACTGGCATCTCTAATTGACCTCCTCATTGAGTCTCGGGGGCTGATATCTTAGGTTGTCCTGTCTAGGTGGCGTATTGTCTACGCGGTGTATTGGTGGACTGAGCTTGCCAGGAATTCTCTATGGCTTGTTGCCAGGAATTGGCTCTTCCAGAATGAGCTGGTGAGCATCTTTCTTCATGTATCTCATGAGGAAGATCACGTGGTTGATCTCCTTGGGAGCCTAATCTCGCATGAATGCTTCTTTACAAGCCCAAACCTCTCGTGCACATTGGTCCTGGGACCTAGCCTCGAATGGAGATTTGATCTACTTAGGCTAAAGCTCGCTGATGCTTGTGACATGCCAGCGTGCTGGGCAGTGTGTTCTTGTCCTCTTCCTAGTCTTCTGGTTCCTGCTCGACCTACTTGGTACCTCTCAAACTTCCTACTGGTGAGTTCCTCCGTTCTTCTTTCTTACCATTGGATCCAAGACCAAGGTCTCAGACTAAGTCAATCTGCCTGAGGAGCTATCTAACCAGGTTATTTTGGTCACCTACTACTGAGGTCTGCTATACTACATGGATCAAGAGGAGAGAATTGTGTGGAGCCTAATTGCACACAGGCTAGGGTTTCATTGGAGGTGTGCGTGGGAGCATAGGTCAAACACGATGGCAAATGAGGGAATGTTTGTAGTTGTTCCACAACGGAGCCAAAATTTGCAGCGGTGCCAAGATGGCTATGACTGGCAGTTGCTACGTCATGCAAGATGTGCCTCTAGTCCAATCGCAAAGCCATGAGGGAGGTGGCTGCTGAAGCCGGTTGCTAGCCTTTGCTGCAGCAAGGTGGTGCTGGTCGTGAGGCTGCAAGGAGGCGTGTGGAAAGTGGTGGCACATTGCACTCAGCTACAGAATATTCTCTCACGTGTCATCTTCTTATTGGTCGCCAAAGTATATGTTCCCACAACCACGCCTATAAATACACCAAGCACACTTAAGCCCACTCGACAGCCTGAGTAATTTTTCTTTTATTTTAGGCTTAACTGTTGCTGATGAACTATCATTCAAATCTCTAGTTTGCTCTTGAATTTTATGTTTTTTTTTTCACTTGAACTTAACTTTCATGTTTGACAATCCCACTTCTTTCAATTTTGTTAAGGAAACTGTTAATTTGCTGACGTGGAACAAGTAAGCCCCATTTTTGAATTACTTGTGAGCTTTGTCACGTGGATAAATAAATTATATATATATATGTACAAAATTTTCTTTTTGAAAAATGTTAAAACAAAAAATAAAAAATAAAAAAATAAAACCAAACTCCACTCTAAATTTTTATTTTTGACTATTTTTGAAAAATATATATTATTTGTTTACCACGTGAACTGATAAAAATGACCTCGAAAAGTGACCTTTAGAATCTCATGTGGTCTTATTTGATGGCCTTTTGGATGGAAAGTGAATGTGTACATTATCACTTGTTTATAAGTCTAGATGGTTTATCGTAATTTTTCTTTGTTTATGTTAAGACTCAAGATCCGACATTGGAAAATTAGCATATACTAATGATTTAAGACATCATGGGCACCCTTCAATTACAAGTTGATTTTTAGGGGCAAGTTCTACCCATGGATTCTTAACAGTTTGGATGGTAAATCCACAAAAGTGAAAAAGTCCAAGTGCCATTTGTGCAATTTCCCCTACTTTAACTATAGCGCCAGTGGTAGAGTCAATAGGGTCGGACAACCCTATGGCAGCCCTAAAAATGGCTTGGAGGTCCCTTGTTGGCCCTTGGAAACCATGGGAGACGACCTCATAGAGAAGAAGATGCAAGCTGCGAGGGAGAAGAAAGAGGGAGGAAGAAGAAGAAGACAGTGATTGATAGGGAGAAGAAAGAAGGCACGGCACAAACACAAATATATATAATAAAAAATTAAAAATTAAAAAAAGGAAGAGATGTGTTAGGGTTGTTTTAAATATTTTTATAATTCTGTTGAGTAGACCTATAAATACTAAAAGTAGGGGTGGGCACGGTACGGTACGGTACGGTATTGAGCCCGTACCGCTACCGATACCGGAAATTTGAATCGGTATGGTACGGTATGGTATTATGGTTTGCCAAAATTGGTACCGTACCGTACCGTGCCAAATCGGTATCGGTACGGTATCGGTACCATTTCGGTACCAAAATGATACAACTAAAAAATGAACTAATTCAATATTCAACACCAAAATAAGTGATGCTTAAGTTACAAATTCAAAGATTCAACATATTCAATATCCATCAACATTTTCAATATTCAATATCCAAATCCTAATCAACATATTCAATATCCAAATCAACCAAATCAATATTTATCCATCAACATATTCATCAAATCCAAATGGTTAAAACTCATGCATTATGGCTTACAAACCAAAAGAGTTAAATTTATGCCTTATGGCTTACAAAAATACAAACACAATCCAAACATAAATGACAAAAGCGTTTGAGAAATTGAAAGGCAAGCGAGAGACAGAGAGCGAGAGAATGAAAAAAAAATTTATATTTCAATAGAGTACTATTCGGTACGGTACGGTATTGACCGGTATCAAAATCTTGATACTGCTACCATACCATACTCAATTGGTACGGTACAGTACGGTACCGAATATCTATCGGTATCAAATAAAATGGTATGAAATCGGTACGGTACGGTGCGGTTAGAGTACGGTTTCGGTATTTCGGTTTAAGATGCCCACCCCTAACTAAAAGTATACATAAATAAAGTAAAGATATCACTTATCCTTTGAATTGAAAAGGAGCTTTAGGTCAAGGGTTCACACCCATTGTGCTCTTTTTTTTTGGTAATATTCTAGATATTTTATTATTTGGGTGGGTTTATTTATTTTTTGGGTTATTTTTGGGTGTGTGTATTTATTTTTTGGGTTGGTGTTATTATTTTGATAATATTTATGGTTTACATAATACATATGTGGGCTTGGTTTATTGAATAATGTTTTTGTTAATTGGAATAAGTTTGGTGTGTTTTTGTAATTTTTTTAGCATTGTTTTCCTCTTTAAAAAAAAATCAGAACTTTAACACTATATCCTTATAAGATAACAATTCTGAATCCGCCACTGCATAGCGTTAGCTGTTAATAAACAAGAAGTACAAAGTCTATAATCCAATGGTTGATGAAAATTGTATAGATATATATGGAGAGTATATATTACATATGTAATATCTTTGCCTATGTAAGCCAGAGGATAAAGATAAAAAATAGAAAAAAGACAAAGTTTCAAATATATGACCCTGCACAATGAACCCATAAATAGTCATTGTATTAATTCGATAAAATAAGTTTTGGTTGGGTGAATCAAGACAGAGACAAAAAGTGGGGTTTGACGGAGACAACGGCTATAGCTCCATCTAGCCACCTAACCTACTTCAAATCTGCCCTGTTACTATTTCTCCTCCATTATTTATATTATTTCCCTTCCTATCATTTTCCTTCACGCTCACTCCTCTTGAATCCTCTTGTTCTATATCAGAATATAAGATCTTGGGCGTCATTTCGAATTAATTTGGGTTGGATGCTCCAATTCTATCAGCGTCTGCACGGCTACACATTGATAGTGTTTTATTTGGCTTTGATGCAAAGCGTATGTTTTGATGTTGCTAACATGGATGACGAGGACGATGGCTGAGAGTTGGACTACGCAGCAACAGCGATAGTATTGCTGTGGTCAGAGATTGATGTTCAAGTACTTTAGCATCATATCAGTCATGATTTTAACAATTTTGACTGTGTTCCTTGTGGTACTGCCTCTGGTTTTGCCACCACTGCCGCCGCCACCGTTAGTACTTCTTTTTGTTCCGGTGCTGATCATGGCTGTTCTCGTTTTAGTGGCGCTTTCTCCTTTGCCGCGAGTTCCAGGTCATATGGCCGCCGTTTCTGTTTTGATATGAGTATTAATGAAGCAGCTTTCTTCAACTTTTCGTTTGTCTGGAGGTTCGGCCAAGCTCCCCCATTACTCTCTCTTTTTATTTTTATTTTTTGTAAATATATATTATCGTGCGATTGGAACTTCTTTTTTTCTTTTTTTTGGTTGTGGATTCTGTACTTGTGAACTTACAGTCAATGAAGATTTCTTGAATGATAATGCTACTGAATCTTGTCTCTCTTTGTTTAAGTCTCTAAATTCAAAGTTATAAACATATTTAAGAGGTTGATGATCACACGTCTTTCTGGAAGTTTTTTCCGTACCACTTTTCTTTTGTGAGAAGGAAGGAAGCCAAAAGACAAAAGGGGTTGAAACTCAAGAAATCCACTGCACGAATCCTGTCCATATCTCCATCTCACACAACTGAAGAAAAGTGTTTCAAGAGCCTCTCCAGATTAATTTTTTCCAAGTTTTGTTTCATACATTAATTTCTCCGTCATCTATCTCTCCTCTTTCCCACTACTCTATCTCAGCACTCTTTTTCATCCCTCCTTTCCCCACATGTTTCCCTATAGCATTAACGAAAAAAATAAAAAGTAAATAAAAACGAAGAGGTGGCCTACACTCTTACCGAATCACCGAGCGAGAGAGGTTCCCATTAAAATTTCCAACAGCTTTCCTGAGCACAATGGAGTCGATTATGTTGAAGATAACCCAAATTAATTCATGTATGAAATACTAGTGGTATAGTTAAATTTAGAGAGAAAGGTTATCGGTCCACTATTAATAACACAAATATTGTTCTTAAGTTAATTATCTGAAAAGCTCAATAGATGTGGAGTTTTATCACAAAAGGCCTCGGTTATATTAGTAGTGAAATCATTCATTATATCTTGTATTTTATTTAGTCAAGTTTCCAATGTGAGACTTATATTATTCAACATGCCTCCTCACGTGGGACCACTACATAGTGAGCCACACGTGGAGCCAAGTCAACATCGGAGTCAAATATTCAAGTCCAACACGTGAACACCACGTATTGGGTAAGGGGTATGGGTAAACATTTTAAACCCAACATGTGAACACCACATATTGGGTAAGAGTAAAGGCCCAATTCTGGCCCAGTCAACCAACCCGCTTTGATATCAAGTTAAATTCAAAGAGACAAGTCATCGGCCCACTAATCGATATTGTTGCCAACTTAACCACCTACAAACCTCAATAGGTATGGGGTTTTATCACAAAAGGCCTTGGTGATATTAGTAGTGGAACAATACATTGTATCTTGTATTTTATTTAATTAAGTTTTCGATGTGTGATTTATATTCTTCAACATAATAGACACCTGACACACATGCATGTGATTAAGTTGTAGACAATATTAATATTGAGTTTTTCTATTTAAACCCTCACATCTCTTTGTTCACCCCATATTCTAAGTTTACCCCAACTTCTAATTCAAATTTTCACGATTTCTAAGAAAATCCCATTATCTTCCCAAACTACCTCTAAATACACACCTACCAAAAAATAAAAAATAAAAAATAAAAAACTTATCAACCTCACACCCCACACCCCACACCCCACAAAAACTTAACATGC